GTTATGATCCAGTTATATGTTTGACATTTATGAGGCTGTGTAACATTGTTTCTGTGTTTTTGTTCTCGGTGAAAGCTGTAAAATCACATGTACATCAGTATTCACAGCCTTTGTCGTGAAGCTCTAAATTGAGCTCAGCTACATTCTGTTTCCTCTGATCATCCTTGAGATGTTTCAGCAGCTTCACTGGAGTTCACCTGTGCTCAATTCAGCTGATTGGACATGATCTGAAAAGGCTACACCTGTCTATATAAGCTTCCAGGGTTGACGGTGCATGTCAAAGCACAAACCAAGCATGAAGACAAAGGAATTGATTCGAGGCACAAGGCTGGGGAAGGTTACAGAAACATTTCTGCTGCTCTGAAAGTTCCAATGAGCACAGCGGCTTCTATCATCCATAAGTGGAAGATGTTTAACCACCAGGACTCTTCCTAGAGCTGGCCGGACATCTCAGCTGAGTGATCGGGGAAGAAGAGCTATAGTAAGGGAGGTGATCAATAACCCGATGGGCACTCTGTCTGAACTCAAGCGCACTTCAGTGGAGAGAGGAGAACCTTACAGAAGGACAACCATCCGTGCAGCAATCCACCAATTAGATCTGTATGGTAGAGCGGCCAGACAGAAGACACTCCCTGCCTGGAATTGCCAAAAGGCATCTGAAGGACTCTCAGACCATCAGAAACTAAATTCTCTGGTCTGATGAGACTCAAACTGAACTGTTTGGAGTGAACGCCAGGCGTTATGTTTGGAGAACAGCAGGCAGCGCTCATCACCAGGCTAATAGCATCTCTACAGTGAAGCATGGTGGTGTTGGCATTATGCTGTGGGGATGTGTTTCAGCAGCAGGAACTGGAAGACTAGTCAGGATAGAGGGAAAGATGAATGCAGCAATGTACAGAGACATCCTGAATGAAGACCTGCTGTAGAGTGCTCTTGACCTCAGACTGGGGCGACGCTTCATCTTCCAGCAGGACAATGACCCAAAGCACTGCCAAAACATCAATGGAGATGCTTCACAACAACTCGGTGAATGTCCTTGAGTGGCCCAGCCAGAGCCCAGACCTAAATCCTATTGAACATCTCTGGAGAGATCTGAAAATGGCTGTACACTGCTGCTTCCCATATGACCTGATAGAGCTTGAGAGGAACTGCAAAGAGGAATGGGCAAAAATTCCCAAAGACAGATGTGTCAAGCTTGTGGCATCATATTCAACAAGACTTGAGGCTGTAATCGCTGCCAAAGGTGCATCAACAAAGTATTGAGCAAAGGCTGTGCATACTGATGTACATGTGATTTACAGCTTTTTAATTTTTAATAAATTTGCAGAAATTTTAAAAACTCTTTTTTTCTCATTGTCATTATGGGGGATTGTGTGTGGAATGTTGAGGAAACAAATTAATTTAATCCATTTTGGAATAAGGCTGCAACATGTGGAAAAAGTGAAGTGCTGTCAATACTTTCCGTATGCACTGTATGTGGTTAATTTCAATTTTTATCTGCTCTAAAATATTGTATAAATCGCAAAAATACGGACTTTCCTTTGTCTTCCATTGAGTTTTTTTTTAAACTTCCTGCCCTCCATGTGAATTCTGTGCATCACCCAGAACTAAAACAATAATTATTAGGGGCTAATAACTTAGACTTCAGCTGTACAGTACATTAAGCCTATTCTCCAGTAGTTTATGTGCATGCAGTGTGTTTGTGGAGTGATTGTGAGCTCGAGGTCAGGCTGTGGTTATTGAAAGTAAAAGCATCAGCAAAAAACACAGAACAGAACAGAAAATAAATGTGCATATACATATTCAACAGACTCTTGAATTGCTCAAGGAACAGTCTCACAGTTTTGTTTTTTATTTTTAAAATGAGCATTAAGGGTTCAGTAATACCACAGTACATCATTTGATAACTGTCCAGTGTGTACTGCGATGAAGAAATACAAAGCTTTTATACATATGATTATACCAAACTGCTCTTGCTCTATTATATTTACAAGTTCTCCAAAAAAAAAAAACAACCACTACAAAAGAAAACCTCTCGTATTTTCGTTTATACAAGTTTTGTGATGAGGCCTGTCACAATAATCAATATATGGACTGATCGCACAACACATGGACATGAGCTCAATCATTTTTGGTGATGCGATATCTATCGCCCATATATAAAAACCAATTCATTTTAGCTGATTGTGCAACATCTCTATCTCTATTGGAGGTGTCGGTGTCAGTACGGTTAACAAACACTGCAGTATTTACTATAAATTACTATAGTATATTCTGACGACTGTAAATAGATCTGCTAGCAGATCTCACAGCCTCTGTTACTCTTTACCTGCACTTTTGTGTTCACATTTATTATTATTATTTATTTAGGACATGTTTTCACATTCTGACTCCAATGCCTCATTATTAAACTGTTCAAATGACTATAATTAAAGAGTTAAATATGATGTGTTCTTTGGAGGAGTGTACTTGCATTGTGGTGATGTTATATTGTCATTGTGGCATTGTATAATGAGTGGCATATATTTTGGTGGTGTGGATTTGATCAACTGGTCTCTGAATGCGATCTTCTCGATGAGAAGTTTGGGCTCGGGGGAGCCCACTTGTCCTGCGGGGATGTTTGCAGCTGGATACGTGATGCACGGGTGGGAGAAGTGGCGCGTCCTTTGTCTGGCTGCTTTGTCTCTGGAGGGTATTGAAGATATCCACCTATTCAGAACTTTCATTTCTGCTGATGGGCTCATGCGGGGCCCTGGGGTATCGACAATTGATGAAAGCGGTCAGTGCTGCTCAAAACCCCACCAGGCTGGCCGGTTTGATTGAAACAGTGATGGGCAGGCTCGCTAATAATCAGACTGCAATATTAGATCGCAAATTGGAAAACATCGGTGTGAAACTAGCAGCTTTGCAACAACATTTGGCCAAATCTGGAGACGTTAAATATCTGTGAAATTTGCAGTTATTGACCTAAAGTTGAAGTACTTTTTCGGCTCGCTTGTTTTTTTTTTCCTGCCAGACGGCCTCGGCTGGAGAAAAACAACTTCTCCAGGATAGCAAGATAAGGAGATGCTCTGAAATTCCTGCTCCCTGTCAAGGACACCTGTTGGACTCTACAGGCTTACACACGCATACACAGCTACAGATCACCACCTAGCCCCTCATCCTACACCTTCATGTGCTTTCACCCACTGGAGGGGGTAGGCGGGTCTGTGACCAGCGCCTCCATGGCTGCAGGACCAGATGGCTGCCCGCTCTCATCGGACTATATCCACATCCCCTGTTCCCATCCCCTGTGGCGATGTCATGTCTTGTCTGTGTGTTTATGTGCTTGACTGCTGGGGCTCTCTTTTTTCCCCTGTTCTCTCCCTGCCCTAATTCAAGAGCAAGGCGAGAGGGAGTTTCCTCTCCTGATATGTATCTTACTTCCTTTTTCTAAGTGCTACCTCCTGTGACCTGTCTTCCCCTGAAAATTGTGATGTTTGTGTATGGTCGGGGGGTTTTATTTCACTATACGAAAGTGTATGTGACAAATAAAGGCCTGGTTTAATTTGATTTGAATATATCCTACAACGAAAAATGGATATCGTGACAGACCTATTATGATGCAATTCTGAGTAAAAGTTGAAATTAGCTATAATCTGTGATGCAATAGTTTAGTTTTAACTTTTGTATTTGTCATATACTGAATGCTGTTCTACGTGTAGATGTGAGATCTCGGCAGGGCCGGAGCAAGCTGCACTGCCGCTCTAGGCAGAGGACGATCACGCCGCCCTCAACCCCAATGTGAAAACGAAAGTGAACGGATATGAAAATGAAGTGGGGTGTCGCGGACCTCTATTCTGCCGCCCTATGCGCGGATATAACTGAGGACGCGCGGGTGCTGAGGGAGGGAGGGAGGGAGGGAGGTGTCGCCGACGCTGCCCTCTCTATTCTGCCGCCCTATGCACGGAAATAACTGAGGACGCGCGGGTGTCGTGGACCACTAATCTGCTGCCCTACGCGCAGATTTAACTGAGGAGACGCGGGTGCTGATGGAGGTGTCGCTGACGCCGCCCTCTTTATTCTGTCGCCTATGTGCGAATATATCTGAGGACACGGGTGGTAAGGGAGGTGTCGCGGACATAACTGAGGACGCGGGTGGTAAGAGTGGTGTTGCGGACGCCGCCCTCTCTATACTGCCACCCTAGGCGGCCGCCTAGGTCGCCTTTATGGACACGCCGGCCCTGGATCTCGGGGTAAGATGTGCCACTCAATGTTTTTTTCTTATTTTATTTTATTGTAGAAAAGTGACCAACTGCAGAAAAAAATATTTTGAATATTAGTGTTTGGAAAATTAGTATATTGTTTATTTGTGTTTGTGTCTTTATTATTAGAAATATTTGTGTTATTATTATTAGAAATGCGAATATTTTCATGCAATATGTTCGGAATCGGGCGAGGCAGTGGCGCAGTAGGTAGTGCTGTCGCCTCACAGCAAAAAGGTTGCTGGTTCAAACCTCGGCTCAGTTGGCGTTTCTGTGTGGAGTTTGCATGTTCTCCCTGCCTTCGCGTGGGTTTCCTCCGGGTGCTCCGGTTTCCCCCACAGTCCAAAGACATGCGGTACAGGTGAATTGGGTAGGCTGAATTGTCCGTAGTGTATGAGTGTGTGTGTGAATGTGTGTGTAAATGTTTCCCAGAGATGGGTTGCGGCTGGAAGGGCTGGATAAAAACTTGCTGGATAAGTTGGCTGTGGCGACCCCGGATTAATAAAGGGACTAAGCCTACAAGAAAATGAATGAATGAATGTTCGGAATCACGTTGGCTTAGTGGTTAGCACTGCTGTCTCACAGCAAGAAAGTCACTGGTTTGAGTCCCGGCTGGGTCCCCTATAGCGCATGTGTTTGGACTGTGGGGGAAACCGGAGCACCCGAAGGAAACCCATGCCAACACGGGGAGAAGATGCAAACTCCACACTGAAACACCAACTGACCCAGCCGAGACTTGAACCAGCAACCGTCTTGCTGTGAGGCGACAGTGCTAAAGTTGTGAGGAAAAAAAAAAATCTGAATTGCTATGTCATATCTTTGAAAGTGGCATCAAAATATACTTGCAGTTGCGAGATATTGTAATATACAAACGTAAAATGGTGAACGAATTTGGAAACCTACGAACTCACTATAGAACAAACTCGAACTCAAAAACTACATTACTTCCCTTAGAATTTAGAGAAGAAAGCCTTAATCAAAACAGTCTTCAATAGCAGTGTGTATACGTGGCTTTACAATGGACTTTGCCCATCGGCAGTAACATTTTCCAGTCATCACAATCATCATTAAAACAATCATCGACTGTAATCAGAATCCTCCTCCTCCGCTTTTGAGTCAGCATCCTTGAGATCAGCGTTAGAAATGTTTTTCACTGTTCCTCCGGACATCCCAGCAGCTCCATCCGTACGGTGATCCGTCCATACCACGACCACGGAAGAATGCGGACAAACCGAGCGTAAATCGGCGGATCGATCACGTTCTTTCTGTGCGTCTCGTTGTCAAAGTTTCCCTGGAAGATCTGCCGATGACAGAAGAAAACCTTAAGGTAACACTGCAGATTAAAGTACACATGAAATCAATTATTAACCGTATTGATTTAGTTAGCTTACAGTGCTAGTTGTGTGCTGAACAATTCATCTGCGCAGGTCATTGAGACAAAAATAATGGTTTGCTCTTGTCATCTTCAATTGAAATCTGAAAATGCACTTCCTGTTTGTTTTCAGTTCAATGCTCAGATTAGGTCTGTCTGAGGTATTGGGCGTGGCTAACACACTTAACCACGCCCCTCCAGCTGTCAGTTTTAATAACAAACAGAAATGGTGAGCAGGAGGAGTCTGTTAGACTGTAATAACTCTCCTCAAACCCTTTTCACTATCTTTCTAAATGAAACGCCTACTTTACTATATCCAATCAGCTCGCAGTAGAAAAAAAAACAAGCCACGCACACTATTTTCTTGTTTAATGTTTTTTTTCTCTAGAAACTGCATCACAATTTGGAAAAAAAAAAATACAGACGCAGCTTCTGGTTCATGAGGACTTTAAGTACCAGTTCTCTCTATTACCTAGTGGATTATTACCTGGCAGTTATTAAGTTTATTAATACTACATATTCTGCATGAACTTAAGCTATATCTTTGACACTGGTATCAAAATATAAACTTGCGATTGCGAGATATGGTGATGTGCAAACTTAAAATGTCAGAATTGGAAACCTATGAACTCACTATTGTAAGAAATAAATGTTCAAAAACTAAGGGCCCTATTGTACACCCAGTGCAATCAAGTGCAGGGCATGTTTGGCACGATTTGTTGCTATTTTCAGAAAAGCGCAACAGTAATTTTTACGTTTTGCTCCACGTTTAAATAGTAAATCCATTTGAACCACTTTGTGGACTCATGGGTGTGCTGGAGGTGTGCTAAGGTCCATTGTTGGTGCGTTGCTATTTTGAGGAACTGAAATAGACTGCGTCATTGATCAACTAAAAGCTCTCAAGTCCAGCAGAGCGCTTTAGTTATGCACTGCCGAATACCAAAGACTACACAATACGTATGACTAGTATCTTTTTGAATGGAAAAAGTGTAATGGTCAATGTGGTGAATAAAGTACAGGAGCCAATCATCGATCACTATATGGTGAATAAAGTCCGCCCTCTAGTACAGGAGCTAATCATCGATCACTATATGGTAAATAAAGTCCGCCTTCTGGTACAGGAGCCAATCATCGATCACTATATGGTGTGTAAAGTCCACCTTTTAGTACAGGAGCCAATCATCGATCACTGTATGGTGTGTAAAGTCCACCTTTTAGTACAGGAGCCAATCATCGATCACTGTATGGTGTGTAAAGTCCACCTTTTAGTACAGGAGCCAATCATCGATCACTATATGGTGAGTAAAGTCCGCCTTCTAGTACAGGAGCCAATCATCGATCACTATATGGTGAATAAAGTTTGCCTACTAGTACAGGAGCCAATCATCGATCACAATATGGTGAGTAAAGTCCGCCTACTAGTACAGGAGCCAATCATCGATCACTATATGGTAAATAAAGTCCGCCTTCTAATACAGGAGCCAATCATCGATCACTATATGGTAAATAAAGTCCGCCTTCTAGTACAGGAGCCAATCATCGATCACTATATGGTAAATAAAGTCCGCCTTCTAGTACAGGAGCCTATCATCGATCACCATATAATGAGTAAAGTCCGCCTTCTAGTACAGGAGCCAATCATCGATCACTATATGGCGAGTAAAGTCCGCTTTCTAGAACAGGAGCCAATCATCGATCACTATATGGTAAATAAAGTCCGCCTTGTAGTACAGGAGCCAATCATCGATCACTATATAATGAGTAAAGTCCGCTTTCTAGAACAGGAGCCAATCATCGATCACTATATGGTGAATAAAGTCTGCCTTCTACAGGAGCCAATCATCCATCACTATATTGTAAATAAAGTCCGCCTTCTAGTACAGGAGCCAATCATCCATCACTATATAATGAGTAAAGTCCGCTTTCTAGAACAGGAGCCAATCATCGATCACTATATAGTGAATAAAGTCCGCCTTCTAGTACAGGAGCCAATCATCGATCACTATATGGTGAGTAAAGTCCGCCTTCTAGTACAGGAGCCAATCATCGATCACTATATGGTGAGTAAAGTCCGCCTTCTAGTACAGGAGCCAATCATTGATCACAATATGGTGAATAAAGTCCGCCTTCTAGTACAGGAGCCAATCATTGATCACAATATGGTGAGTAAAGTTCGCCTACTAGTACAGGAGCCAATCATCGATCACAATATGGTGAGTAAAGTCCGCCTACTAGTACAGGAGCCAATCATCAATCACTATATGGTGAATAAAGTCCGCCTTCTAGTACAGGAGCCAATCATCGATCACTATATGGTAAATAAAGTCCGCCTTCTAGTACAGGAGCCTATCATCGATCACTATATAATGAGTAAAGTCCGCCTTCTAGTACAGGAGCCAATCATCGATCACTATATGGCGAGTAAAGTCCGCTTTCTAGAACAGGAGCCAATCATCGATCACTATATGGTAAATAAAGTCCGCCTTGTAGTACAGGAGCCAATCATCGATCACTATATGGTGAATAAAGTCTGCCTTCTACAGGAGCCAATCATCCATCACTATATTGTAAATAAAGTCCGCCTTCTAGTACAGGAGCCAATCATCCATCACTATATAATGAGTAAAGTCCGCTTTCTAGAACAGGAGCCAATCATCGATCACTATATAGTGAATAAAGTCCGCCTTCTAGTACAGGAGCCAATCATCGATCACTATGTGGTCAATAAAGTCCGCCTTCTAGTACAGGAGCCAATCATCGATCACTATATGGTGAGTAAAGTCCGCCTTCTAGTACAGGAGCCAATCATCGATCACTATATGGTGAGTAAAGTCCGCCTTCTAGTACAGGAGCCAATCATTGATCACAATATGGTGAATAAAGTCCGCCTTCTAGTACAGGAGCCAATCATTGATCACAATATGGTGAGTAAAGTTCGCCTACTAGTACAGGAGCCAATCATCGATCACAATATGGTGAGTAAAGTCCGCCTACTAGTACAGGAGCCAATCATCAATCACTATATGGTGAATAAAGTCCGCCTTCTAGTACAGGAGCCAATCATCGATCACTATATGGTAAATAAAGTCCGCCTTCTAATACAGGCACTAATCATCAATTGCTATGGCGAATAAAGCCCACCTTCGAGTACAGGAGCCAATCATCGATTCCTATAGACTGACGATGCTCCGGGGAGGGGCTCGGACCAGACATGGGTTTCTGCAGATTTTGTGTGATTTAGAAATGAAACTAAAGACACAGTTGTTGTTTAATTGTATTGGTGATTATTAATATGAAATTCAATCGTAAGCTTGGCAAGCAGTTTTGAATTTGATGTTTTCCCCAATCAAACAGAATGCCCGAGCCTACTGCCCGAGAGGCAATTTAAAAGATGGCCACCGAGTGAAATGGCTTGGATGTAACTCAGTTTTCTGACCACACTTCATTATTACTGTTCATTTATTCCTTTGCAGGAGACTAGAACTGAATTTAGAAATAGTTTTAAAGGCAATTCTTTGCGCTTAACAAATGAAATTAAATATGTGGGCTAATGGATGTGTTCAGTGAAGTGAGTTTCCACTGTTTCCTCACTCCACCGAAGTAAAGAAGTAAAGAGTGAAAGTAAAGAGGCTGAATGGAGGAGACTCGTTCTTTATCCTCGTGCTGCAGATGCTCTGCTTAACTGTTTTCTCGCTAATTGAAGCGTTCAGTTTTTCCACTTATAAAGTCTGCCATGTAAATTGCAAATGCGCCATGGCACGACACAACTGACTCTTAAAGGGAATGTGAGATGAGACTCTGATTGGTTTAATGTAGGTTTTGCTCAAAACACACCCAGATCTCATAAAGAGAACAAGCACAGCCCTGTTAGACCATGCGCCGGGGCGCAAAGTGTATTTATCTGTCCTTAGAATAGCAAAAGTTGATTCAGACATGCTCTTAATGCTTTTGCAACATTCGTTTTAGACTTTGCACCTTGATCATTAAAATAGAGCTCAATGCTTTTTTATTACACTAATATGAAATTGTTCAGAGGCTAGATGAACAGAAAATATCAGCTTAGCTTATCTAAAGAAACCTCAGAGTACCCCTCAGAGATTATTTCTCATAAGCTCTTGCTTCAGTTGTATCAGTTTGTTTGGCATCTCAACCGATTTGCATCCATTTTAACCGCTTCATCATCACATGTCCACTATGGGGTCTGTTCAATGCTTAATTCTGATTGGCGGATGAACACTCCATAATAATGTGCTGTTATTTTCAGGTAAACACATACCACTATTATTACCGTTTAATTATTTCACAGCTAGATGCTAATGGTCTAATCTGATTCAATGATCTATGCTAAGCTAAGCTAAACATGCTTCTGTCGGATCTGGTTATATTTCTGTTGAATGCTTGATTTTAATTGGCCGTTGACGGTTCGTTCTAACATGTGCTGTTATTGGTAGATAAACACACAGGTAAAGTAGTTCCGGCAGGTTTTGAGCGCACTCCAGCTCTACATCACTACGCTGAATGATTTGAATTATTTCTCAGCCACAACAGTCAGAAATCACATCAAAACAAAACAGATAGCTTTGGAGGAGATGTGTAAGAAACGAGTGCTGCACACGGGAGCAGTTTGAGGATAAAAACGCGACAAATGTCTCAAATACAACATTTAAACAGGGGCTGCATCTGTGGAGACCAGAAGATAAGCAGAATATTGCACTCCAGGCCATGCATTGTTTTTTTTCTCATAGTTCAATGGCCCGTTGTAAATTATCCCTTATATACCGAATCAGTAGCACTGTCACGATTACCAGCAATTATTCACAATAACCATGGACTACAAATCCGCCATTTCTGGACTACATTCTCATACATGCACTCCGCTCACACTCACACATGCTTCCTCATCTAGACTGATTACACTTACACCACCTGAGGATTGTCAGAGACTGATTGCACACACTATTTAAGCAGCACACTCATTCACTCCCCTTGCTGAGTCTTGTTAACTGTATAGTAGCACTACAGCGCGTTTTTCTTGTCTTGTTTCTCCGTGTTTTGACCTCAGCCTTGTTTACCTTTTGTCTCCGTCTGCCGCCTGCCTTCTGACCTCTTGCCTGTTATTCAACTACGATTCTGGACTGTCTCCATATACCTGTTTGCACCTGTGTTCACCATCGCTTGCCTGACTTTGAATAAACCTGCATTTGGATCCAAACTTCTGTTGTTAGTGTCACTCCCTGTGATTACAAGCACGCTCTGATGTCATTCAGTAGTGAAGAATGATGTGCCGGTGAAGTAGTCCATATAAAGCAGGCGTTTGGCTTTCATACACCCTTAACCTGCGCTCTTATTATAGCTCTCGCTCACAGATTAATCCTCTGAGAGAATCTATTCCAGCATCTCTTATCAGCGCTGTCAGAATACATCATCAGCCCTACACCACTAGCAACCTCCAGTGACCTCACAATGTGTGTGTTTAGAGGACAAACATTGTCTCTTTCTCTGTGTGCGTGTGCAGAAGTAGCTATACTTGAGGGCTCGCCACAGCAGAATGAAACGCCAACTTATTTAGCATATCGACTTCCATAGTAGAAACAAAAATACTATGGAGGCCGATTTATTTGTATTTGTTTCAAACATTATTCAGAATATCTTATAGCAGTGGTTTTCAAACTGTGGTACGTGTACCACTAGTGGTACGCAGTAGAGATCTGCGCAAGACTAAATTTTGAATCCCGCCCGCACCCGCCAGGTTTTAGCCTGCTAAGACTGCTCCTGCTTATATTAAGAATTTATTGTCCCGCTGCCCGACCCGCCGCGCCCGATCCCGCTAAAGAGCGGGGGAGAACAAAACTGAAAACCCCCCAGCTATACAGTCCAGACAGCCAAGCTGTCTGTATAAACACAGCACCAAGCACACACACACACACACACAGACAAATCTCTCTCTCATACGCGCGCGCGCACTAACACACACACACAAGCACCAAGCAGACACACAGGCGTTTGCTGTTATATCAACTCAAAGGCTTGTAATACCATGTATCAAGTACCAATGTAATACCAAAAGGTTTTATATAAAGGTATATAAATACTGAGTCGCGCCAGCTCCGGGCCGCAGCGCACATTACTCTCGGGCCGATTCCGGCGCGGATGCGGCAGCGTCGGCTCGCTTACGGCCGCCGCATCTGGCCCAATTGATTCGGGCCGGAATCGGGCAGTGAGTCCACAAGCATCCGGAGTCCGGCAGCCGGAGCCGGGCTGAGTGGTAAGTCTCTGGCAGGCGAGAATCTAGCCGGAACTGGCCCGAGTGTATTTTGCTATCTGGGAAATATCTCTCTCTCTCTCTCTCTCATTCGCGCGCACACAAGCACACACACAGGCAAAGCTCGCTCTCTCTCTCTCTCTCATTCGCATAGCAATATCTGCGATATTGCTAGACAGCCCGCTCCCGTCCCAAATTAAACCCGTTACCGACCGCTCCCGCGATTTATTCGGAAATTTACAGCCTCTAAATTTCCCGGACAGCCGCGGGAATGCAGACCTCTAGTACGCAGGCTTCCTTCTACGCGGAGGAATCAATTATGTCATACATGTATGTACATGTTACATATATTTCAAAATTGATCAAAAACTATATATTGTGGAAAAATAAATTTATATCATCTAATTTCAAATGAACAATAATCTACGTATAACTAAAAAGTTTTATTCTCTGGTTTTTAATTATATCATTTCATTAACATTCCAGCTAGGAGGGACATTAACCTTTTGTCTTTCTGATTACAGGCTAAGCCAAAGTTATGCAAATTGTCAGTTTCGCAGCATGGTTGTGTCTATTGTTTTCTCTTTTTGATCAACTGGTCAGGCGGTTTCTGTCTCCAGAACATGATGAGATCAGGCCTGAAAAAGCAGTTTACCCTGCCGACCACAACTCTTAATTTGCATGCTTTGTTTAGCCAAATCCCCTCCTCCTAAGAACACAATATAGACATGAAATCTTTGTCTTAAAACAGACTTGTGACAGACTTGTGAAAGAACTTGCAGACTGCGGACCTCTAGTAGGCTCTTGCAGACACATGGACATCTTAAAGACGCTGTATGACTGCAGATTAACCAACGAGTCTCCTGGACTGGGTTCTCTCTTCTTTTCACTCATTTATTTTTTTTTACAACAATATGAATATGATGACATATAGCGTATATTTCTAAGGTACAGGCAATATTTTCAGGTGTTTAAGCAGTTTTATTTTTTTTTACTTTTTAAGAACAGTAACCTACCATTTTAACCTTTAAAAGCACAATTTAATTTAAATCTTGACGTGTTTAGTTTGTTTATTTATTTATTTTTACATATAAGCACAGTGCAGTGTTAATGTTCAGACTCTTTATAATATTTAAAGTGGCTGACAACAATAAATATTTTTAATAATAGGAATTAATCTGCCCCATTTTTGAACTGAGCAGAGCTGAAGCTGCTTTATTGGGACTACTTTGCTACTGTATTTCAATACTGCTCATTATTGTGGTACTTGGAGTGACAATTGTTTTCTGAGGTGGTACTTGATGAAAAAGGTTTGAGAACCACTGTCTTATAGTGTTTACAGAAGAAAGAAACTCAAAGGTACAAGTATCAGGTACAAGTGGAGGATTTTGGGTGAAATATCCCTTTAAAGTGAGCAATTTATTCTGTGCAAGTTAATCCGCTGTTTAAAAAAAACTGATTGTTTTGTTCATCTTTAATCAAAATCTGCTTATTGCACGCTGATTGGCTGAAATATGCTTAGCCACGCCCCTCCAACCATTATTTTGCTGCGAGTGAAAGATGGTAGGAGGAGCTCAAAAATAAAACCCTAAATCATTATTCTATTTCAATCATACTAAAATAAATGTCTTCTGCTTCACACAGAATTTTTAAGGGACCTATCATGTTGCCTTTTACAAGATGTAAAATAAGTCTATGATGTCTCTAGTGTGTGTGTGTGACATTTCACCACACTAATAATGTTTTCTCACTCTCTGAAACTGACCCTTTTGGGCGTTTTGTTCATAGTTGTGATGTTTTGGTGACTGTCTCTTTAAATTCAAATGAGATTGTGCTCTTTTCAGAAGAGGGCGGAGCTATGGATGCCTGTGCGTCAGGATAGTGGCAGATTCCAAAGCAAGACTAACATCCTATGCTAATAAGGGAGAGATGGTCACTAGTGGGCGGGGTTTTCCCCCTCTGATGACACGTATAAAGGGAGAATGTCAATCAAAGTGTCTCTGCAGACTGTTTTATCAAGTCTGATTATGAACAAATACAATTAATTGTTACCATTGTGTAACAGAGGCCAGCTAGTAGGCCATGGTCTTTAGTCTCCTTGGTAGAGCAACCGACTCCCATGCGGAAGGTTGCTGGTTCGATACCAGCTCAGAGCGGGTTGGGTGGCGTAGGACCGGCGGGGTTACAGTTAGAAGCTGATTATATTCACACAATGCTGACACACAACTGGGTTTAAACCCCTTGATTTTCACATAATAGGTGGCATTTAAGACCATAATGACTCGTGGAAAATGGGCATCCTTTAAGATAAAATTGTTTATTAAATATATAAGCGAAATAAGTGGCTGCTTAGGGCCCCGTGGCCACCAGGGGGCCCCCAAGAGTGCTTGAAATTATTGTGTGACTTTCGTTTTAGTTTGTTGAGTTGTGGGTTAGTGGTGGGACAAAATATATGGCCATTTATAGTGTTATTTTTGACTGCGATACATACTCGGGCGACAAGACATTTACCTAAATTTACAAAACATCTGATTTAATTATTGAATACACATTTATGGCATCTCCTTTGAATACTGAAATGCTCAGTAAGAGTCCTACCTTATCCTTGTGCTGTTTCTCATCCTGATAAATGATCCACTTCTCTCCATCGTTGCTGAACGCCAGTTTAAATGAACCCACAAACTGCACGTGTCCGAAATCTTTGGCTCCTTGTGTGATGATTCCTGTGACTTTAGTGGGAATCAGCAAATCTATCTGTAATGAGAGAGAGAGAGAAAGGGAAAAAGAGTTTGTGCGTTTTCTGAGGGAAACGAAACATGGTATCAGTAAAATCTTATTATTATTATTATAACTTTAAATGCTGGATTCCACATCACTGCATCATGTTGTCCCAACACAAATCTATTGAGTAAGCTAAATCATTTATTCATTTTTCTTTGGCTTAATTCCTTTATTCATCAGGCATCGCCACAGTGGAATGAACCGCCAACTTATCCAGCATATCTTTTACACAGCGGATGCCCTTCCAGCTGCAACCCAGTACTGGGAAACACTCAAACACACTCATTCACACACACTCCCACACAACGGGCAATTTATTTTACCCAATTCACCTATAACGCATGTGTTTGAACTGTGAGGGATACCAGAGCACAGGGAGAACATGCAAACTCCACACAGAAACGGCAACTGCCCCAGACGAGGCTTGAACCAGTGACCTTCTTGCTGTAAGCCCACAGTGCAAACCACTGAGCTACCGTGCTGCCTATGTTTAAATTATTTAGCAGAAAATTGTATTTTGTCAGCAATACAGCTTTTACTAATATGTAGGAAGTTAAGTTTAGCATTGTAGGTCACACTTTACAATAAGGATCATTAGTTAATGTTAATTAATGCATTTACTAACATGAACAAACAATGAACAATACGTTTACTACTGTATTTGTTCATGTTAGTTAACGTTAGTTAATGAAAATACAGTTGTTCATTGTTAGTTCATGTTAACTCATGGTGCATTAACTAATGTTAACAAGCATGGACATGAATGTTAATAATGCATTAGTAAATGTTCAATTATGATTAATAAATGCTGTACATGTGTTGTTCATGATTAGTTCATGTTAGTAAATGCATTAACTAATGAACCTTGTTGTAAAGTGTTACCGTATTGTATTTGTATTTCTGTTGTTTTCTTTGTGAGTGTAGGTAGTTTTATTGTGGGTGTTTTTGTTTGTTCATGCGGTTCATGAAAGTGAAATTTATTTGTCAAGTGCATTATTTATGTTACGTCCTTGGCCTAGAGCAGAGTCGTAACAACAGAACAACCTGAATGTCAGTCAGTGGAGGAAACGATTTGGTAAGTAGGAATTTCGGCAGTAATAACAGACAGTTAACTTCAGAATTATTCTCCCCCTGTTTATTTTTTCCCCCCAATTTCTGTTTAATGTAGAGCAGATTTCTTTAACACATTTCTAATCATAATAGTTTTAATAACTCATCTCTAATAACTGATTTATTTTATCTTTGCCATGATGACAGTAAATAATATTTGACTAGATATTCTTCATGACACTTCTATAGTTGACTATAACTAGGCAGTTTAGGGTAATTACGCAAGTTATTGTATAATGATGGTTTGTTCTGTAGACAATTATAAAAATATATATCTTAAAGAGGCTAATTAAAATGGTGTTTAAAAATTTTAAAAACTGCTTTTATTCTAGCAGAAATAAAACAGATAAGACTTTCTCCAGAAGAAAAAATATTATCAGGCATACTGTGAACATTTCCTTGCTCTGTTAAACATCATTTGGGAAATATTTAAAAAAGGGGAAAAAAATCAAAGGGGGGCGAATAATTCTGCCATCAACTGTAAGTCAATGAGTAAAAGTCAATTTTTCCGGAGAGTAAAATTAGAAGCAGGGCATCAGACTCTGCTCATGTCTAAAAGTGTCAGTGTGGAAAGTAGGTTAAACCTCTGCAAAGCAACATCTGAAGTGAAAACTGCTGTTTTCAACCTGTACTCTGTCTTTTACTCTCTAAGACTGATCTGCTCTTGTTTTACTGAAACACACAGTCCTGATTAATCCACTTAGTTTTGACTGTAGAAACCACAGTGTACTCTACCACTCTACAAATTTACAAATAGGCGAATCTGCATAGTGCAGATTGTAAATATCACAGTCGATCTCAATGTGTTTATGTAGATGCATATGGATAACAGAAAAACATACTACTATTTATATTTAATTATGTATGCCTGTTTGTTTAAGCAGACTTAGTTAAATAGCTTTATCATTAGACCAATATAATATAATATAATATAATATAATATAATATAATATAATAGGTTATATTATATTATTCATTCATTCATTTTCTTTTCGGCTTAGTCCCTTCATTCATCAGGGCTCGCCACAGTGGAATGAATCGCCAACTTATCCAGCATATGTTTTATGCAGCGGGTGCCCTTCCAGCTGCAACCCATCACTGGGAAACACCCATACACACTCATTCACACACACACACTACAAACAACTTAGCTTAAAATATTCCCCTATAGCGCATGTGTTTGGACTTGTGTGGGAAACCCATGCCAACATGGGGAAAACATGCAAACTCCACACAGAAATGCCAACTGACCCAGCCAAGGCTTGAACCAGCAACCTTCTTGCTGTGAGGCGACAGTGCTAACCACTGCACCAATGTGCCACCTATATTATATTATGTTAATATATTCATTCATTCATTTTCTTTTCGGCTTAGTCCCTTTATTAATCTGGGGTGACCACAGAGGAATGAACCGCCTACTTATCCAGCTGCAATCTATCCCTGGGAAACATCCATACACACTCATTCAAACTCATACGATACGAACAATTTAGCCTCCCCAATTCCCCTATAGCGCATGTCTTTGGACTTCTTCCAGAGCAACCAGAGGAAACCCACGCAAACACAGGGAGAACGTGCAAACTCCACACAGAAACGCCAACTGACCCAGCCAAGGCTCGAACCAGCAACCTTCTTGCTATAAGGTGACAGCACTACCTACTGCGCCACCCATTATGTTAATGTCATATAATATCATTTTAAACTAATGAATAAAACAGGAGCAGATGGTGCTGGGTTGTTGTCACCCAATGTTGGGTTAGCCCATTAATATACTTTAATAACAGTTGGGTTTGTCCATATATTTTACCCAGCATTGGGTGACAACAACCCAGCATTTTTCACAATGTAAACAGTTAGCCCAATCTTTCATGATCATTCATTTATAAGTCAAATTAACAACGTCATCATTGTGATAAAATGTGCCATATTATTTTAAAATAGATTTCTTGAGCATTACATCACTCTGAAAAAAAAAAACACTGTGTTGTTTTAACCCAACATTAGGCTAATATTGACAACATGCTAGTAAACCTGCCATTTCAATTTAATTGAATTTAAATCAACGTTGGGTTTTTCCACATTTGACCCAACCTTGCAGTGATGTCTGTTTAAACAGCCCATCAGAGGGCAAGCCATCTGCTCATTATCAATCAAAACACTATAAACCTTATTACATAAATGAATTAGGTTCACTGAAGCATGCGCATGAATAACACAAACTGCTAGTGAAAAAAGCTGACCTCCGGGTATGTGTCATTATGTATAATTCACACACTGATAACAACCATTGGTTCATCTGAATTAGAAATTAGAATATTACAGTAACTGACCCCTGTGTGAACATACAGGATTAAAGATGTTGATGTTACAGTAACTGACCTCAAAATGACCTTAGTTTGACCTTATTCTGACCCGTGTATTAACATATGATTAGAGGCGTCAATGATACTGTAACTGACCTCCGTCTGACCTCAGTCTGACCTAAGTCTGACTTATATATGAACATACAGGATTAGAGATGTGGATGTTACCGTAACTGACCTCAGTCTGACCTAAGTCTGACTTATGTATGAACATACAGGATTAGAGATGTTGATGTTACAGTAACTGCCCTCAGTCTGACCCCTGTGTGAACTTGGAGGATTAGGAAATTAAGGATTTTATTGACGTATATTGAGTAAGGATGCATGTGTTGTTTACTCACAGGAAAAAAAAATACTATAGTCATTTATAGCAAATACTACTATGTTTTTATTTTTTCACCCGTTGCCAGTTTTTTTATTTTTAACCAAGTCAAATATTTGAATTATTCTGTTGTGGTGATTCTATTATTGCTATGGCAACACAACAACTATAGTAATATAAACTAATTAAATTTGTTTTGGTAATTCTATAGTTGTTATGGTAACAACATCTATAGTAATACAAACAATTTAAATTTGTTGTGGTAAATTTATAATTGCTATGGTAACACAGTATCTATAGTAATATAAACAAATACATCTGTTGTGGTGATTCTATAGTTGCTATGGTAACACAGTATCTATAGTAATATAAACAAAATGTATCTGTTGTGGTGATTCTATAGTTGCTAGGGTAACAACATTTATAGTAATATAAACAAATACATCTGTTGTGGTAATTCTATAGTTGCTATGGTAACACAACATCTATAGTAATATAAACAAATACGTTTGTTATGGTGATTATATAGTTGCTATGGCAACACAAAATTTATAGTAATGTAAACAAATACATCTGTTGTGGTAACTATAGTTGCTATGGTAACACAACTACTAAAGTAATACAAACAAATTAATCTGTTGTGGTGATTCTACAATCGCTATGGTAACACAACATCTATAGTAAAATAAGCAAATACATCTGTTGTGGTAATTCTATAGTTGCTATGGTAACACAACAACTATAGTAACAAACAAATTACATTTGTTGTGGTGATTCTATAGTTGCTACGGTAACATCAACTATAGTAATATAAACATATTAAATTTGTTTTGGTAATTATATAGTTGCTATGGTAACACAACAACTATTGTAATATTAACAATTAATCTGGCGTGATGATTCTATAGTTGCTAAGGGAACAACAACTATAGTAATACAATAAAATATTTAGTTGCTACGGTAACACAATAACTATAGTAATATGAACAAATACATCTGTTGTGGTGATTCTATTTTCTATCATGCTGAAGCATTCATAAGTGTTGTAGATACTATAATATACAGTATTACTATAGTATGGTTCAGAAACACAATTGTAGTTATTATAAATGACTGTAGTGTTTATTCATGTGGCTGATTTTACACCAACACCGCATCAAACTTAAGCGAACAATCCCATTGTCTGAAATAATGATATATCTGGTGGATGCTTAGACATTCTGAATTTACCTCAGAAAAGTGCTGTGGTTTTCTTTAAATAAAATCAGCTGTTTGTCATTCCAGTTTGTGCAAACACAGGAGATTTTGCTCAAGCTCATGAATATTTAATGAGGCAGGCAGTGTTTGGTTTATGATTGGTTATCTTGCCAAATGACTCAAAAAAATTTGAGTACCTTTGACACTGCAATTCCAGAGCAGGGGTTCATGAGCCAGGATTAATAGTGTTATTAACTCATGAAACCTAGAACAATGCAAAATTTAGCACACCAAGAAAAACTTTATATTGTACTTGCTGATTGACTGAGGGAAATCTGATTAAATATCACATTTATATAACCATAGTTGCAACTATGCTGGATAAAAAATGCCTGCGTGGCGTGGGTTACTTCGCATGCTCCATGTTTTTTTAAATAACTGGAATTACAAATAATACAAAAAAAAGTGATGTTTCATGCAAATATTTAACTTTGTATAATAAACACACACAAACATTTGAAAATTAGACTTAATTATTTGATGATAACTGAAGCTGAATGTAAGATTCAGGAGGGGGAGACAATCAAAAATAGGTCCAAGTGTCCTTAAATACACATACAAACACTTTATTTAAGGGATATCTTCATTTAAGTTTTGTTATTCAAAATAATTTGTGAAAAATTAAATAAAGATACACCTCGGAGATGCAAAACATATCTGCATTCCTATAGAATCACTCATAGATTATATATATATATATATATATATATATACACACACAACAGTTTTGTCTGGTTCTCGAATCTGATTGGCTGATAGCCATGATATATTTAAGTAATATCAGCACCCGTACAGCCTCTTTACCCTTTGTGTATCACTCTGCCCACATACAGCCAGCAGAAAGCAGACACTACAAATCTAAAGTTTAAAAGATGCTTGCTCAGCTGTTTACCTGTCAGCTTATGATTTGAATCCAATGCGGAAGAAAGTAGTTCACAATTATGCCGTCAAACTGTTGTATAAACGCAATATCACACGAGTAGCAGTGCGAAATGGCTGTATATCGGCACTGGTGGGGGCACTAAGGCACGCCCTCCCACAAGTGCCGATATACAGCCATATCGTACTGCTACTCGTGTGATATATATATATATACACATATATATACACATATATATATATATATATATATATATATATATATATATATATATATATATATATATATATATATATATATATATAGGTATGATGACATGATGTCTCAGTGGTTAACACGGCAAAAAGGTCCCTAGTTCAAGTCCCTGCTAGGCCAGTTGGCGTTTCTGTGTGGAGTTTGAATGTTCTCCCTGTGTTGGCGTGGGTTTTCTCCGGGTGCTCCGGTTTCCCCCACAGAAATTGTCCGTAGTGTATGTGTGTGTGTGTGTGTGTGTGTGTGTGTGTGTGTGTGTGTGTGTGTGTGTGTGTGTGTGTGTGTGAATGAGAGTATATGGGTGTTTGCCAGTACTGGGTTGCAGCTGGAAGGGCATCTACTGCGTAAAACATACGCCAGAATAGTTGGCGGTTCATTCCCCTGTGGCAACCCCTGATAAATAAGAGACTAAGCGTAAGGAAAATGAATGAATGAAGTTGTCCTCGAAAAACTTGCGTTGAATCAGCTCATTTTGATTGAGTCGTTTGAACAAGCAGCAAAAGTAAGAATTGTTTTGGAGTGAAGAGTCTCAGAGCCTCACCTGCAGCCACTGTGACTGGTCATTGTGCGCGGATGTCCATGCGTTCACCTTGCCCTGTTTGTCCAGTCTGGCTTTGGACGGGTCCCAGGAGAACATGTCCATGCTGAGGGTCTGAAACACACTGGACGAGCTGAGCTGATAGTCCTGGATATGTCCCGTCTTCATCCCCATGGGCTCTGAACATCCTGGGGGGGGAAATAAAAAACCGTAAACCCTTTAGGTCACAAGTCATGCTATTTACTGGAATATTACCTGCCTATTATTAAGATATGAACTGTTTTTATTAGTTATAAGGTATGAATTATAACTGACTTATACCGTACTTACTGTTAATAAGCAGTGAGTGAGCAGATTATTTAGCTGAAATTCTTAGTTAATGGTATGTTAATCGCATGATTTGTGACTTAAAATTAAATATACCCAACAACCACACATTGTGTCATTATTTTGGTGGTCAAAAAAGCATCAATGTGTTGATGTGAAATAGACGTCATCAAGGTTTTGAGATCAAATCCGTTTGCGTTTTTGACGTGTGTGTTTTGTAAAACATGGGTTGATTATTTCAGACCTGTGAGTTCACACCCCAGCAGCTCCATGCGCAGAGTACAGTGTTTCCGGCAGATTTGAGGGTAAACGCGGATATACTGCGCCTCGATTGGTGGACTGAAGGAGTTCACAGAGGGAGAGCTGTTGTCGGTGTTTCCAGTGAATATCTGCATAACAAAAACAGAACATTTTAGCAGCATTTTTTATTGTTTAAAATTGCTTAAATCAAATATTAAATTTTTGAAAATGACCAATAAAATATGACCATTCACTGGAATACTGCACTCTGATTGGTCAGTAATAGTATTCGCAACTATATATGTACTATGATTAAAGGTGGAGTAGGCAATAATATCCAGCTGCAGGAAAAGAAGATACTTTGAAGAATGCTGGAAACCTGTAACCACTGACCTCCAGAGTATTTGTTTTTTCTACAACAGAAGTAAATGGTTACATGTTTTCCAGCATTCTTCAAAGTATCTTCGTTTTTGTTCAACAGAAAAGTGAAAGTCACAAAGGTTTATAAGCACTTTATTACCAGTCAAGACCCAAATATACAGTCTATCTGAGAGTAATCTCCCTGTAAATGTGGATGTGGGGTATTTAATCTGGTTAAATGTAAGATTAAGGATGTTTTCTTTAAGTTTAGCCCAGTTTAGGGACACTTCACCTTAAAAAATATAATAGTTTATGCTTCTGCTGAACACTAAAGAAGATACTTTGAAGAATGCTGCAAAACCTGTAACCATTGACTTCCATAGTATTTGTTGTTTCTATGGAAGTAAATGGTTACAGGTTTCCAGCATTCTTCAAAGTATCTTAATTTTTTGTTCAACAGAAAAGTGAAAGTCACAAAGGTTTATAAGCACTTTATAACCAGTCAAGACCCAAATATACTGTACATTATATCTGAGAGTAATCTTCCTGTAAATGTGGATGTGGGGTATTTAATCTGGTTAAATTTAAGATTAAGGATGTTTTCTTCCAGTTTAAGCCAGTTAAAGGGACACTACACCTCAACAAAATATAATAGTTTCTTTCTTCTGCTGAACACTAAAGTATAAATTTTGAACAAAGCTGGAAACCTGTAACCACTGACTTCCATAGTATTATTTTTTTCTACTATGGAATTTAATGGTTACAGGTTTTCAGTATTCTTCAAAGTATATCTTCATTTTAGTAAAAAAAAAAGTGAAAGTCATAAAGGTTTATAAGCACTTTATAACCAGTCAAAACTCAAATATACTGCACATTAAATCTGAGGGTGATCTCCCTGTACATGTGGAGGAAAGTTTTAAATGTAGGTTTAATTGTTTAATAAAGTTTAAGCCAGTTAAAGGGACACTTCACCTCCAAAAAATATATAATAGTTTCTTTCTTCTGCTGAAAACCAAAGAAGATATTTTGAAGAATGCTGGAAACCTGTAACCACTGACCTCAATAGTTTTTGTTTTTTTCTATCATGGAAGTAAATGGTTACATGTTTTCCAGCATTCTTCAAAGTATCTTCGTTTTTGTTCAACAGAAAAGTGAAAGTCATAAAGGTTTATAACCAGTCAAAACCCAAATACACAGTGTATCTGAGAGTAATCTCCCTGTAAATGTGGATGAGAGGTATTTAATCAGGTTAAATGTAAGATTAAGGATGTTTTCTTCCAGTTTAAGCCACTTAAAGGGACACTACACCTCAACAAAATATGATAGTTTTTTACTTCTGCTGAACACCAAAGAAGATATTTTGAAGAATGCTGCAAAACCTGTAACCATTTACTTCCATAGTAATTGTTTTTTTTTTCTATTATGGAAGTAAATGGTTACAGGTTTCCAGCATTCTTCAAAGTATCTTCATTTTTGTTCAACAGAAAAGTGAAAGTCACAAAGGTTTATAAGCACTTTATAACCAGTCAAGACCCAAATACACAGAATATCTGAGAGTAATCTTCCTGTAATTGTGGATGTGGGGTATTTAATCAGGTTAAATGTAAGATTAAGGATATTTTCTTCCAGTTTAAGCCAGTTAAAGGGACACTACACCTCCATAATATATAATAGTTTCTTTCTTTTGCTGAACACTAAAGAAGATACTTTAAACAAAGCTGGAAACCTGTAACCATCGACTTCCATAGTATTTGTTTTTTCTACCATGGAATTCAATGGTTACAGGTTTTCAGTATTCTTCAAAGTATATATCTTGAAAGCCATAAAGGTTTATAACCACTTTATAACCAGTCAAAACTCAAATATACTGTACATCAAATCTGAGGGTGATCTCCTTGTACATGTGGAGGAAGGTTTTAAATGTAGGATTAATTGTTTAATAAAGTTTAAGCCAGTTAAGTGGACACTTCACCTCCAAAAAATATATAATAGTTTCTTTCTTCTGCTGAACACCAAAGAAGATATTTTGAAGAATGATGGAAACCTGTAACCACTGACCTCCATAGTAATTGTTTTTTTTTTTCTATTACGGAAGGAAATGGTTACAGGTTTCCAGCATTCTTCAAAGTATCTTCATTTTTGTTCAACAGAAAAGTGAAAATCACAAAGGTTCATAAGCACTTTATAACCAGTCAAGACCCAAATATACAGTGTATCTGAGAGTAATCTCCCTGTAAATGTGGATGTGGGGTATTTAATCAGGTTAAATGTAAGATTAAAGATATTTTCTTCCAGTTTATGCCAGTTAAAGCCAGTTAAGGGACACTTCACCTCAAAAAATATAATAGATTTTTCTGCTGAACACTAAAGAAGATACTTTGAATAAAGCTGGAAATCTGTAACCATCGACTTCCATAGTATTTGTTTTGACAGAAATGAACTTTTTTTCAGGGGAAATTTTGAGTGAACATTACTTTTAAGCAGATGGTTACTTAATTTAAAGTCCCCCCCCCCCCCCCCCAACCCCCCTCCTCATCTGATCTGGAAGCAGTGTTTGTCTCACCATGTCCTCATCCGTGCCCTTGACTTTAAATAAGCTCCAGGCCTTCCCGTCCTCACTGTACGCCACTTTAAATGACTTCACATATTCGGGGCTCCCGATCCGCTTGGCGCCCTGTGTGATGAGTGCGGTGACCCTCATCCTGCGCAGCAGATTAATCTGAGACATAAAAAAAATAATAAATAGATGAACAAGCGATGCAGCTCATCCCTATCAGAAACTGCTGAGCTGGAATTGTATTGTCTTTGTAAATGTTGTTCTGACCCCAATGGCAGATTTTGTAATCATAAACTCATGTTGATGTTTTTTTTGTGTGTGTCTAGAAATCAGCTCTTCGACATGCTTTTGTATGCTTAGCAGAAATCAAAAATGTGCATTGTGAAATCTGCTTTCCGATGCAAAACCAGCTCGGAGACTACACTGAGAGCATGTGAGGAGGACTAGGCGAACAGATAACACCGTTTTCCAGCACAAATTAGGGTCTTATTTAAAAGCATACCGGTATCAAAGCCGTCTTTAATCTGGAGAACACAAAAATAAAGTCAGATGCATGCAGGACACCCAGCCAGAGCCGCTGGTTTAGTGTGTGGTGACCACTTAAATCATTACAGCCCCGCTGAATCTCGGTTGTTGTGCACCCACACTGTTCTTTCTGTCTGTTTCTTAATAAAATCTCATATAGAGCTGCTTTCAGACGTCCCAAAGTCTCTAATGAAATCTGTCTCTGAACATAATCGTCATGCTGCAGGGTGGTTCTGCTTTTCCCTGAAAGCTGCGTCTGTGCTGACGGCTGGCACACGCATTAGGTTTGATAGCTGTTAGTTAATGTGCTTTTAATGTTTACGGTAAAAAAATGTCATTGATTTTAATGGCATCTGTTACTTGTTTAACGGTAAGGTTTCTCTGCTAGGGGGAAATGTTGTTTGATATGGGCTTCAGTGGTTAGAACTGTCGCCTCACAACAAGAAGTTTGCTGGTTCGAGTCCCGACTGGGTCAGTTGGTGTTTCTGTGTGGAGTTTACATGTTCTCTCCATATTGGCGTGGGTTTTCTCCTGCTCCTCCGTTTTCCCGACAGTCCAAACACATGTGATATAGGGGAATTGGATGAACGGAATTGGCCATAGTTTATGAGTGTGTGTGTGAATGAGTGTGTATGAGTGTTGCCCACTGAGTTAAAATAGTTGGGTTAAAAATACCCGAACATATAACCCAACTCTAGGTTATTATAGCACTATCCCAACTATAGGTTATTATAGCAACTTCCTAACAATAGGTTATTTTAACCCAACTCAATGACTGTTGAAATTAAACATTTTTACCCCAACTGGTTGAGTTATTAATAAATAACCCAATAAGGTTAAAAAATAACCCAACAAAGCACCAAATATTTTTAACTCAGCCATTGGGTTAAATTAAAAACTCAACGTTTTTTAGAGTGCAGTACTGGGCTCGGCTAGAAGGGCATAAAATGTATGCTGGAATAGTTGGCGGTTCATTCCGCTGTGGCTACCTCTGAAATACTCAGTTAAAATAGTTGGGTTACAAATACCCCAACATATAACCCAACTATAGGTTATTATAGCACCTTTGGGTTTATGCATTGGGTTATTTTGATTAAATATTTAGTTATTTTAGTTATTTTTTACATTCTTATATTGCTAATGCTATTATTACTAGTATCACTATTAATTTAATAACTATAGCTGTGTAAATAAATAACATGCAGTTTCAAAAATATTGAAAATTATTTATTTCCACTGCATTTTAAGTTCCAGACACAGCATTTTTATCCATTTAATGTAGATCAGCAACCTGCGAATCGCACATTTATATCATTAATTATTAAGAGTGCTGGTGAAACGGATAGAAAAAACACGACACGGAGAGGTCAGGGCTCAACAATAAGGACTGCCTGATGGCCCAGGGCTTATGTGTAGGACGCTCTGGCTAGTAGACAGGATTATTAGTGTATTATGGTTGTGTAATAGTCATAGCTATAAAGAGAGAATTACGAGGTGGGTGGGATGTCAACCGGTTAATGTGTGTTTTATGTCAAATACGAAAGTGAAAGCATGCTGAAATATTAACGAGAGCTGTTTATTCCAACCCAAGCTCATTCTGGAAACGTAGCCCCGCGGACGTTTCTGGAGGCCGCGATTTACGTGGCCGGAGGTACGTAAGGCCGTGTTTAGTTTTTCGAGCGAACGCTGCGGGGCGGTGTGGCGCCGCTCCGCTCCTCCTCTTCGCGCTCGCTGGCTGCCGGCTCGCCTCCGAGTGGAGGGCTTTCCCGATGCAACCAGTTTGTCCGCTTAGCTCACAGCGTTGCGTCGGCGGAGCGGAGGCCCTGGAGGAGGAGGAGGAGCCGGCCGCGGGGACGACGACCGGGATCGAGTCCGGCGAACAGCAGTTCCGGAAATCAGGTAAGACGAAAAACGGAATCTGAAAAATAAGGGCGAGAACGCGGCAGGATCCGAAAACGCGGTCAAAATCGAAGACGAGGGCTTTTGCTTTTTTTTTTTTTTCTTGACGGCTTTTGCGAACCGTCGCTCAGGTTTAGGGAAGGAGGAGGAGGTGGAAGAGGAGGGCGGCCGATTCGGCGGCTTTTCGCGCGAAAACGGCGCGGGCGCGAACGGCGCGCGCTCCCTAGAGGCGCCCGAGACGCGAAACAGTGCGCACAGTGGCCTCTCGCAGATCCACGAAAACAAAAAACGCTCGAATACGTACCTCCCGGGACGTATCTCGCGGTCCGCAGAAACGTCTGCGGGGCTACGTTTCTACAATGAGCCCGGGTTGGTTTATTCATTAAAATTGACAGAAATTACCATCTGATCATGTTACCATGTGACCAATTGTCAGTTAAAGATAAGTTATGCTGAAGTTATGTTTGGCTTTTAACACATTATTTAAAATGTGGCCAAGAAACAATTATGAACTACTCTTTTTTTTGGTGGAGACAGTGAAAATTTTGGCAGGGCAAGTAAAAATCGGAACCACTGGCCCAATGAATTGGGCCAATTGAGCCAGTAGAAAAAATTCTTAGCATTGAACCCTGTTGGTAATTTGATAAACTTGAGCTTAAGCTTAAATAAAAGTTACAAAGCAAAAACAACATTACGTATGCATATTAATACAGCTCTTCTGTGTCAGTTAAGTCAGTTGACTGTGGAAATTTAAAATTTTAAATTATTGTTATTGTTATTAAATAAATAACCCAATAAAGGTTGAAAAATAACCCAACAAAGCACCAAATATTTAACCCAACTGGTTGAGTTATTAATAAATAACCCAAAAAAGATTAAAAATCACCCAACAAAGCATCAAATATTTTGAACTCAGCCATTGGGTTAAATAAACAACTCAACTGCGCCACCTTGTCACCCCGTGTGTAATTTGTAACTGATTGTTTTGATTGCTTTAAAGAAGACTTTCGCAATGGGGAAAATAGATCCATGTTCTAAATCAATGGTTCTCAAAGTGGGGGTCGGGACCCCCCGAGGGGTCGCGGGACAATGAAGGGGGGGTCGCCTGGTGGTTTCCAAAAATCTATTTATTTTTATTAAGCCATAAGAATTACCATATTTTATCCATAACCTACTGAAGAGAAAAAATAGTTGTTTATACCATATATAGTTACTATAGTAGCTTATAGTTACTACTTCTATTGGATTGCAACCCCTGGGGTAATTACATTGTATTAAAGACCATTGTATTATAACCGCCTCAGAGGATATTGGGGGTCGCGAGTCACTGGCATTGTCATTTTGGGGGTCGCGGCCTGAAAAGTTTGGGGACCCCTGTTCTAAATAAGCACATTACCTGAATCCAAGGATATCGGTCCCCCTCGGCCGCGCTCCAGGCATTGACCAGGCCTTTCTTATTGAGTCTGGCGAAGTACGGGAACCATTTCTGCAGGCCGAACAGAGCTCGGTGTGTAGATGAAGCTGTAATCTGCTGGTTCGAGATGATTCCTCCTTCCATCCCTAAAGGCCCGGAACATTCTGCCAGAACACAGCAAGAAAGTGTAAGCAACCGTTGTATTCTTAATTCATTCAACAACTGAGGGTGCAGTGGGTAGGATTGAAAACACCTAGTGGTTGAACTTGGTATTGCAGTACAAATTCAAAATATTGGAGAAAGGGTTTTTTTTCCACCCGGTCTCTCAGACTATGACACACAGGTTGTCGACACAAACAGGAGCAAGCATGCCTAAAGATTGAGCCTAACAGCTCATGTTAGCATTTGTAATATACAGCGTGGAAAATAAGTATCGAACACAACGTTTTTGTTTTTTTCATCGGAATAATAATTCTAAAAGAGCTGTTAAAACCAGATTTTGCATTGCTCAGGTGTGAGTTCCTCACAGACTTCAATGGTTTGATGGTTCTGTGGGTCTCATCTATCAAATCTGAGCTTTAATTTCTCTTTTACTATTGGATTGGAGTCAGGTAAATCTACAGCTTGATTTTCTTTCTCTGAAAGCACCTGAGAGTCTCTTTGGCTGTGTTTTGGATTATTGTCTTGCTGAAATGTCCACCCTGGTTTCATCTTCATCCTCCTGCTGATGTAGATGCTGGACTGAAGCAGCTGATATTCATTTACACTGAGGAAGGGCAGAGGCTTGCTGAAGAACTACTGAGAGATTTCAGCTGCTGTCTGGGCTTTCACTGCCGAACTACACCTTCCTTTCTTCATGTGTTCAAAACTTTTTCATTTCATTATGCATAACTTCATTTGTAAACTAATCAGTTCTGTTTTCTTTGCATATATGTATTTCTTTTGTCAACATCCGGTGAAAATTTTAAGTCAACAGCACCTTTAGAAATATGTTTTCTTAGGAAAAACAGGGACGTGTTCAATACTTATTTTTGCTGCTTTATGTATAACTTGCTGATTAAAATGTGGATTTTTATAACTCTGAATCTGCATCTCATTTCGGAGGTTGCTTCTGTCCTCTTCAGTTGCTTCTGAAGTCAAATTTCGTCTGTGTCTGCGTATGTTGAGACAGTCTTGATGGCTGAAATGAAATATGCTATATTGTGTTCTACCAAGGCAATCTGGGGTGCTGAAATATAATTGGGTAAACTGGCAGTGGGCTGGTTATAGATGTCAAAACAGAAAATTAAGCATTGTTTTTGTTAACTTAGCATGATTCTTAAATATCTGCAAACATTGGATTGGGTTGGATTTGAATAAGGCCCCACATCCTCCGCTCGTTTTACACCTGCACTGTGGAGAGCATCCTGTCTGGCTGTATCACCACCTGGTATGGAAACAGCACCTGCAGCAATCGCAAAGGCCTACATACACTGTAAAAAAAAAAAACTAATTTTACAGAAAATATCCCTAATTTTTTTACAGTAATTTTTTGTCATTTAAAATTATATGTGGAACTTAGTGAAATGACAAATAATCTCTCTAAATTCACAGTTTGACTTTCATTTTATGTACTTTATCATTAAAGACAAATTACTGACATTTTTGTTTTTTATACAGGGAATTTTCGATACAGTATTTTTTTTCTGTTATTTTAAACTATATTCAAAAATCCGTAAAAATTACAAACAATATCTGTAAATTAACAGCTTGACTGTTATTTTATGTTCTATATAAATAATGAGAAATGACATCAATTTGTCTGTTTTATACAATAAAATTGCCGTATTATTTACACAGTGATTTTTCCTGTTTTTTATGAAGTACATTTAAAATTACGTAAAATTAAAGTAATATATTGTAATTACTTGCTCGGAAAAAAAACTGCCATAAAAAAGGAGTCAAATGACTGTCAGCTACGGCTGCCAGACAAAAACCATAAAATTATGGTAAAATTTCTTTGCTGAAATAAAGTGCAAAAAATAATAAATCTACAGATATTTTCATTAAAATGTTTACAGAAATACACTGTTATTTTACAGACTTTTCCTAGATTATTACGATCAAAACCGTTCAATAAAGTTACACACTAAGTGCGCTCACATGCACCTGTTCCGGATTTCGCTGATTGCACACACACAGTCGGAGGATCATTATGAACTGATTACATGCACTTTAAAAGCAGCATAGACCGATTGCTTAGTCTTATTATACTGTTACTGTGAACATTATGATGTGTTTCTCTTTTTTTGCCTTGCTTTGTTTGTTAATTGTTTACGTTGTTTACTGCCGGGACTGACCATTTGCCTGTTATTTGACCATGACTCTGGATTCCCTGCATAATGTTACATCTGTTTGCCTGACCATCTCTGTGTAATAAACCTGCATTTGGATCTGCACTCCTTTGTCAACGTCTCCTTCACGTTACAGTTCATTTCATTTGAACTGTACATTTCATTTAAGATCTGTAACTGAATCATTCCATATAGCTTAAACCTCTACATGTTTTGCATTAACACTATTCAATAAAATGTAACAACTGTAATATTAAAGTTGAGAATTGTAATCAGTTGTATCTCATTTGTTGTTTTTTCCAAAATGTTTTGATCCAAAATAAAACTATTAAATTACGATCATGAGCATGTCTTGGCATTTTATTAAAGGTGTTTAATCGTAATGATTTAGGGAAAATTCTTTTACATAACATTGTTTTCTCTTGAACTTTTAGTGCAGTCACTTTACTGATGTTGTTTGATCATAATAATCTAGGAAAAGTCTGTATGATAACAGTGTTTCTTTGTAAAACTCTTAGTGTGTAACTTTATTGAACGGATTTGATCGTAATAATCTAGGAAAAGTCTGTATAATAACAGTGTTTTTCTGTAAACATTTGAATGAAAATATCTGTAGATTTATTATCTTTTGCACTTTATTTCAACAAAGACATTTTATCGTAATTTTATGGTTTTTGTTCGGCAGCCGTAGCTGACAGTCATTTGACCTTTTTTTTACGATTTTTTTTCTTACAGTGTAGATGTTGGACTGAAGCAGCTGATATTCATTTACACTGAGGAAGGGCAGAGGCTTGCTGAAGAACTGCTGAGAGATTTCAGCTGCTGTCTGGGCGTTCACTGCCGAACTACACCTCCCTTTCTTCATGTGTTCAAAACTTTTTCATTTCATTATGCATAACTTCATTTGTAAACTAATCAGTTCTGTTTTCTTTGCATATATGTATTTCTTTTGTCAACATCCGGTGAAAATTTTAAGTCAACAGCACCTTTAGAAATATGTTTTCTTAGGAAAAACAGGGACGTGTTCAATACTTATTTTTGCCGCTTTATGTATAACTTGCTGATTAAAATGTGGATTTTTATAACTCTGAATCTGCATCTCATTTCGGAGGTTGATTCTGTCCTCTTCAGTTGCTTCTGAAGTCAAATTTCGTCTGTGTCTGCGTATGTTGAGACAGTCTTGATGGCTGAAATGAAATATGCTATATTGTGTTCTACCAAGGCAATCTGGGGTGCTGAAATATAATTGGGTAAACTGGCAGTGGGCTGGTTATAGATGTCAAAACAGAAAATTAAGCATTGTTTTTGTTAACTTAGTATGATTCTTAAATATCTGCAAACATTGGATTGGAATGGAATGAGCCCCCACATCCTCCGCCCGCTCTACACCTGCACTGTGGAGAGCATCCTGTCTGGCTGTATCACCACCTGGTATGGAAACAGCACCAGCAGCAATCGCAAAGGCCTACATAGGATTGTGCGAACTGCTGGATGCGTAGTAGGAGATGAGCTTCCCTCCCTTAACTAATTAAAATACTTAAGCCTTTAAATGTCACTTTAAGCTGAATAGTATCTTGAAGAATATCTAGTCAAATATTATGTGCTGTCATCATGGGAAAGAGAAAAAAATGCAATAATTTAGAGAAATTAGTTATTAAACTATCATTCGTTGTTTTTTTTTAACAAATATGTTCTCTCCATTTAAACTGCACTTGAAAAGCCTACAAAATTCACAACAGCGCAAATAGTTATCAAATTAAGAGAAGCATCCTCAATAAGGAGATATCAAGCAAAGCAAAAGATTTACCACAAACACAGTGTTCTTGGGTCTCGAGCGATAATATAACAACACTGTCCTCGTTCCCTCTGTTTTCCACCACAGACTCCACATCTGAAATGCCTTCTTTCTTTAATCTGTCCTCGAAAACATCCGTCAGGTCTGACCTCCTGCACGCCTCGTCCTTGGCCTCATGGATAGACCCTGTGTCTTTGCTCTCACACACAGAAATGCTGTCTCTGCTCTCCAAACCTGTAATCTCACTAATATCTCCTGCAGAAACTTCTATAATCTCACTGATATCTCCTGCAGAAGCTCCTGTAATCTCATTATTATCTCCTGCAGAAGCTCCTGCCTGAGGAGAGTCGAAGAGGAGTCGCAAACTGCTCAGGCTTTCCCTCAGAGAGCTGCGTTTGGACAGCATGATGCATGAAAAGCCAGGCTGAACATCAGTGTATAACTCTATATACACTCCTCGGAGAGCCGCGTAAGTAAGAGTGCATGACAGTAATCTGCAGATAATTCACTTGCGCATTCATAGATGTGTTTGGCCACACCTGACACCTCAGAAGACATCAGCAAATAACACACACTTATGTAAGTGTCGGTGTGAGTTAGGAGTGCTGTTGGGTGTAATCAGTTACTAGTAGTACATTAGTAGGCCCAGACAGAATCTCTAGATTCATTCATTCATTATCATTCAGCTTAGCCCCTTGTATTTCGGGGGTCGCCACAGCGGAATGAACCGCCAACTATTCCAGCATATGATTAACACAGCGGACGCCTTTCCAGCTGCAACCCAGTATTGGGAAACACCCACACACAATCCAAAACTATGGCCAATTTGGCTTATCCAGTTCCCCTATAGCGCATGTGTTTGGACTCACCCAGAGGAAACTCACGCCAACATGGGGAGAACATGCAAGCTGCCCACAAAAATGACAACTGATCTAGCCTGGACTCGAACCAAGTGACCTTCTTGCTGTGAGGCCACAGTGCTAACCACTGAGACACCGTGTCAAACAGATCACAGTATTTTTATGCTTTAGAAGAGTCAAAAACGTACATACAGCACCTTCTGGCTCAGTTGCTGTAGATCGGTATAAACTCTCCTGTCTGAATTGATGAAGCTGACAGATCTGCACAGTCGATGTCATATTGGCCTCATTCACTCAGTTTCTCCTATGAAGGGCTGTGAAAGGCAGATGGCTCTCCTCCTCCAGCTCACACACACTTTTGCTCCTCCAGAGATGCAGTGGTTAATGTGATGGTGAATATTTAAAGAGCAGGCCATATAGGTTTTCAGAAACATACCTTATTTGTAGTTCACCTTATGACAGTATACCATACAATACCATACCATATTATATGATACCATGCAATACCATACGATACATAATACGATACCATACCATATAATACTATACCATGCGCCACTATACCATATGATACTATACCATACGATACGATACCACATGATACAATACAATACCATACTATACCATATGATACTTTACCATATGATGCCATACCATATGATACCATGCAATACCATGATACATGATACAATACCATACAATACGCTACTATACCAAACAATACTGTGCCATACAATGCTGTACCATACGAAACTACATCACACAATACTATACCATATGATATTATACCATATGATACCATACAATATGATACCGTGTAATACCATACGATACATGATACAATACCATACAATACATCATACGATACCATACCATACACTACTATACCATACAATACTACACCAAACAATACTATACCATATGATATGATACTATACGATACATGATACACAACAATACCATACCATAAGATACTATACCATATGATATGATACATAAAATACCATATGATGTATCATATGATACTATACCATACGATACTTTACCGTACGACACAATACAGAACCATACCATACAATACTATACCATATGATATGATACTATACGATACTTGATACAATACAATACCATACAATACTATACTATACAATACTTTACCATAAGATGCTATACCAAGTGATACGATACCATAAGATACATGATACGATACCATACCATATTATACCATACCATACGATTTGATACCATGCAATACCAAACGATGCATGACACAATACGATACAATATAGTATGATGTTTTATTTTTTATAAAATGAGGTGATGAAGTGGATTCTCACTTACTGTACTGACAGTTTTGTCCCATGTATTCTCCAGGACACAGACAGGTGTAGTTTGCTTGCAGGTCTGTGCAGCTTCCTCCATTTCTGCAGGGGTTTTTCTCACATTCGTTTACATCTGAAGAGAAAAGCAGACATTAAATTAGACCTGAAAAACAATTTGATATGCCACAGTGATGAAAAAATAAAATGTAATAAACCTGAATTCTTAGTTTCTATCTCAACTCAATTTACTCATGCAAACTGTAAGATTAAATAATGAAAAAAACTGTATTAACATGGCTATCATTTAAGAACAGCTTGCCTTGCCCAAATAATAGCCATGTAATGAAGGCTTTTCATTTTTCATCTTTTCAAGTGAATTATGATTTCATTGTTTTATTCTTGATGAATCTCTTATCCAAAGAGCACTGACACATTAACTACCCCTTTAGATTTTTTGTGTTTGATATTTGGATTTAAACTGTAAAATTGGTTTATTTATTTATTTAATCTATTTTACATCTTGATGAACTGATTTGGATTTGTGCTGTATGAAAAAAAAAAAAAAACATATACCTTAATTCACTTATTGCACAATTTGTACCAGTTCTTATCAATTCAGCATATTGCAATACGGCTGCACATATTTTGTGAAGATTTTCCTGCACTAACTTCTCCCTGGTCTTTTTTAACAGTACGAGAGGAGCTCAAGAGACTCATTAAAGACTGCAAACGGAGGCGTCACTGGAGCAGAAACTGAGATCTGCAAGGTGAAGCGACGGCTCAGATGTGGCAGGTATCAGAGACAGAAGTTTATCACAGCAGAAAAGACCGAAACCAAACCTACAGCTTAACCTGGGTCACAGGAGCACTGACAGTACAAAGTACACACACACCCATGTATAATATATATTCGGTTAGGTTTTTGAATCTACCAGTAAAGTCGTTTTGGTAATTATACGGCAATTTACTAGTATTACTGTGTGAATGGGGCTATAGACCAGGTTTTCACACAGAAGTCATTTGTAAACTTCACAAACAATTACAAAGAATCCACTAAGTAATTTTGTGTCTAGCCATCATTTTCCCACACATAATAGTAGGAATCACATCACAGATTCAGTTTAGCACCTAAATCGAACTCTAGAGGCCTTGTTGTACATGTTTATTGCATTTTTTGTTAATATTTTTTGTACAATTTTTCTTTCCTTTTTTCTTTTTCTTTTTTTTAATCACTACAGAATTTCTTTTTTATTTATTTAAATGAAATAAAAAATAAGAAAATAAACTAAATAAAGGAATTACATTTAAATATGTGCATTCTTCAGGAAATTAAATGTTTATATATAATATTATATATTTTTTTCATATAATATTATATCTAAGATTATATAAAACAGGAGTCCAATTTAAACTCATCTAAAATCTGTTATGGTAACATATATAGTAATAGGTCCCTATAGTAATGATAAAGGTAAACTAATTCTACTTTTTTTTCTGCATTTATAAATGTACTGTAAATGCCCTCCTTTATAATATGCTAAACAAAACAGTTCATGCTGTTTTCATCTTGATGTGGTGATGAATATGCAGTGATATGTAAATGTGGGTCATATGGTAATGTACTCATTAGTTTTGCAGTGGAGATCATAAGGCACATGTATTCCAGCATTCAAGAGTAACTGATCAAAAGAAACAGCAAAGACATGTATAATGTTACAAATTATAATTAAAACACTCTATTAAGTTAACAAACGCATGCCTGTGATGTTGCCATGTCCACTTATAATCATATGTGGGCTTGTTCTTTAAGCTTTGGCTCATAAATCAATCAGAATCAGAATCAGTCTTATTGCCAAGTGCGCTTCACACACAAGGAACTTATTTTGGCTACAGAAACTTCCACTGTACACAAAGTGACAAGTGACAAACCAAAATAAATATGGGAAAAAAGATGATAAACATAAAACAGAGATGATTAGAGTTAGATATTAGATAGATCTATAGATCAGAAGCAGATATTTGTCCTATATTCTATAGATAGCATTAAGATTTTTCTCTCTTTATACACTGAAAAAAAAGAATCAAAGATTATTTACTTTTTTCAAGGGAAGTGGTTGTTAACAATTTATTTGGGCTGTATTTAAATAAATACGATACTATATGATACTATCCCATACAATATTACAAAATACCATACCATATGATACAATACTCTACTATAAATGATACAATACAATATACCATACGATACTATACCATATTATTCTATACCATACAATACCATACCACATGATACCATGCAATACAATACATAATACCATACCATACCATACAATACCATACACTGCTATACCATACAATACCATACCATACGATACTATACCATACAATACTGTTCCATATGATACATGATACATTAAAATACTATACGATACCATACCATATGCTACTTTACCATACGATACTGTACCATACCATACCATACTACACCATACAATACTATATCATATGATAAGATACATGATACAATACAATACCATACGATACCATACCATGTGCTACTATACCATACAACATTATACCATATGATATGATACATACAATGCTTTACCATACGATGCTACTCCATGCTATACCATATGGTCGGTACTATACGATACAATACCATACCATACAATACCATATCATACGATACTATACCATATGATACTATACCATACGATATCATACCATATGATACCATGCAATACCATACAATACATGATATCATACCGTACACTACTATACCATACGATACTATACCATACAATTTAATACATACAATACTGTGCCATACAATACTACACCATACAATACTACACCATACAATACTATACCATACAATACTATACCATATGCTACGATACTATACGATACATGATAAAATACCATAGCATAAGATACTGCACCATATGCTACTATACCATACGATACGATACCATATGATATGATACCATGCAATACCATATGACGTATGATACGATACTATACCATACAATACTTTACCGTATGATACTATATCATACTAGACCATACGATATTATTCCATATGATACGATATATAATACAATACAATACAATAAAAGAATCAAGGGTGTTAACAATTTATTTGGGTTGTATTTAAATAAATAAATGCATTTTAACACATATACATTTACAGAAGTTTTTCAGTGTAATGGAGTTGTTTTTGCCACCAAGATCTGGCAACAGGATATCAGCAAAATCAACGCACTCTTACTGCAATTCGTAACTTTTTGATTTAGTGGCTAATTCGTATGAATTCGTATGATCTAATTCATACAATTTAGTACGTTTTGCTCGTCACCCAATGTTGGTTGGGGTTAGGGGTGGACTTGGGTGCCAAGCCTCCTTTTTAAAATCGTACATTTTCGTATGACTGAACTCGTACAAATTTGTACGAATTAACAACTTAACTGACAAAACGTAAAATACTTACATTTCCTTGTAAGATCAGGCTGGCAAAATAAATTGCATTAAAATAAACCAGGACTATAATGAATGTACATCGAATTATATTAAACTATGAATGTTCCATCTATTTGGATGAAATACGTTTAACATAATTAAACTATTAACCTTTATGTGACTGATATTGATTCGTTAAACATAAAAGAAACAAATTAGAACTATATTCATGTAATAAAATCAATACATACAATGCGTTTTGTTTCTATTGTATGGAGTACGGATTAAATTTTGCCCCTGAATATTAGGTAAACCAATCTCATAGAATTATTGGATCTGGCGTTTTCTACGGCTAGATATATTTATAAAATATTCGTATCTTTTAGCTGATAAAATCTAATAACATTTGATTTTAAGAAAGCTGACAACATTCATTCATTCATTCCTTTTCCTTTGGCTTAGTCCCTTATTTATCAGGAATCACCACAGCGGAATGAACCGCTAACTATTCCGTCATATGTTTTATACAGCGGATGCCCTTTCAGCCGCAATCTTGTATTGGGAAACACCCATACACACTCATTCACACATACTATGACCAATGTAGTTGTCTATTCCACTATAGGGCACGTGTTTCGATTATAGGGAAAACCGAAGCACCTGGAGGAAATCCACGCCAACACTGGGAGAACATGCAAACTCCCCACAGAAAACTGAGGCTCGAACCAGCGACCTTCTTGCTGTGAGGCCACAGTTCTAACCACTGAGCCTCCAAAAAAAACTGACAAAACGGAAACAAAATCAAAAGGTTGCAAGCACTTAATGTAATAAATAAGGATGGTGTCTCTAAAAAGAAAGAGCCGACTCTGAATCACTTTAATTAAGTTGTTTTACATTCGATTCTTTTTGCCTGCTACTGATCTACATAAACATGATCAAAGTAACAAATTTGCATAATCTCCGCCCACCCACAACACAAAAATATTCTGAAAAGGGCTTTTCTGATACAGAAAGACCAATCAAAACAGACTTGACCTACAGCTGACCAATCAGAGCAGAGTTGGCTTTGGAAGGGGGAGGGGCTTACAGACCTTAAGCCCTGCATTGATTCAAATGAAATGTTGAATCACATTTTCTGAGCTTAGATGCATGTAAACCTTTTATAAGAGACTCCAGCACAGTCTTAAACGACACTTTAAGATACTAAATGACATCCTCTTTAAGAAGTAAATAGAATACAAGGGTTTTCTGAAAGTAAAGTGCAAAAATACTTCAGAACTTAAAGATGTGCCTGAACACAGAGCGTTGTTTTCCCAGTGTTCTCCATAGGGAAACAGCGCTGTCAGATGTGATTGGTCCTAAAGGCTGCGATTCCTGAAGTCCAGCCAGCGGAGCAAGTAAATTGGTGTGCGGATCAGAGGGGGTTTGTTGATCTGTCACGCTGGATTTGTGCTACTGTACGCTTCTGACCTAATAAACCCACCGCTCCTGATCTGAGGAAACATTTCTGTGTCATCCTTCAACACATGCTGGATTCCCGAATACTCCAACTGAACCATGCCAACTGAACCAGTCAGGACTCGAACCAGCGACCTTCTTACTGTGAGGCCACAGTGCTAACACTGAGCCACCATGATATATACTGTACATATATATGTATATATATTCTTTTGCAGCAAATGTAAGTTCTGTGTGTCCTGACAGTGAAAACAGGTCGGATGTCATTAAATCAGAGACACCTCTGTGTTTTCTGCTGGTCACACTCCGCTAAACATCCAGCAGGAGCTCAATATGATGTTCAGTCCAATTACTGACAACACCTGAGCAGGTCACGGTGACCGGGATAATAATGAGACGCAGTGTGTGTGCGTGTGTGTGTGTGTGTGTGTGTGTGTGTGTGTGTGTTCTGCAGAAACAGCTGTCTGGGTCTCAGTGTTCAGTTCCTCAGCTCTTCTTTCCCTCTGACATTAATTATAGACTGAAGTCAACTGAGGAGCGTTGCTGATGAAGGTCAGCGGTGTGTGTGTGTGTGTGTGTGTGTATGTGGGGGGGTTAAGTGTATGTCTATGTGTGCGATGTATTTGTGGTGTGTGCGTGTGTGTGCGTGTGTGTGTGTGTGTGTGTGTGTGTGTGTGTGGTTTCTGTGTGTGTATGTGTGTAATGCATTTGTAATGTCATTAGAAAAAAAAATTCAAAATCTAAACGATTCAAAATGAAAATGATTCAAAAATAAAACGATTCAAAATGCAAATGATTCAAAATTAAAATGATTCAAAATTAAAATAATTCAAAATGAAAGCGATTCAAAATGAAGATGATTCAAAATTAAAATGTTTCAAAATTAAAATGATTCAAAATTAAAATGATTCAAAAATAAAATGTTTCAAAATTAAAATGATACAAAATTAAAATGATTCAAAAATAAAACGATTCAAAATGAAAATGATTCAAAATTAAGATGATTCAAAAATAAAATGTTTCAAAATGAAAATGATTCAAAATTAAAATGATTCAAAAATAAAATGTTTCAAAATGAAAATGATACAAAATTAAAATGATTCAAAAATAAAACGATTCAAAATGAAAATTATTCAAAATAAAGATGATTCAAAAGTAAAATGTTTTAAAATGAAAATGATTCAAAATGAAAATGTTTTAAAAATAAAACGATTCAAAATGAAAATGTTTCAAAATGAAAATGATTTAAAAATAAAACGATTCAAAATAAAAATGATTCAAAACTAAAATGATTCAAAAATAAAATGATTCAAAATTAAGATGATTCAAAAATAAAATTATTCAAAATAAAAATTATTCAAAATGAAGATGATTCAAAAATAAAATTATTCAAAATAAAAATTATTCAAAATGAAGATGATTCAAAAATAAAATGTTTTTAAATGAAAATGATTCTAAAATAAAATGATTTAAAATGAAAATGATTCAAAATGAAAATGATTAAAAAAATAAAACGATTCAAAATGAAAATTATTCAATTTTTAAACTATTCAAAATTAAAAATTATTCTGTAATCCAGAGCGTGTGACGCAATGATTCTTTAATGTTGTGTGTAATCCCAGCATAAGAGTATGCTGCATATCATATCATATTATGAGGTTTCTGATTTACACTCTAAAATTGTGCGTAAAAATGTGTGTAAAAAGGTTTCTTACTGTGTTGGCAGTGAACCCCGTTGAATCCAGCCGGACACCTGCACAAATATCCCAGTAAAGCGTCTCCGCGGTCGGTCTGATTAAGTTCACACAGGCCTCCATTGTGACACGGGTTTGGCCGGCAGGGCCCTGAAGCACAAAAAGATCTCAGATCCACAAATCTCATTCCCAGAGTTCACTGCAGGCTGATTGCTGGATCACTCATTAATATTTTAATATGAGCATCAAACTAAATACTGAATCAGCTGTAAGAGCATGAGCCATCTGCTTAATATGCAAAAAAGACTGTAGAATAATGCTCCATTATTTAACGTGTTAATAGAGTATGAATAATGTTGTAAAGCATTTATTAATCATGGTGCAACATTAACCATTGATGCATTCAAATCCAAAGATGTGCTACAGTTGTTGACATTAGTTAATCCACCACGAGTTATGAACTAATGTTATTTAACTTAAAGAACATTAACAAAGATGAATGAATATGTTAAGAAATCTATTACTAATTGTTTTTTCGTGTTCGTAAATAGTAAAGTTAAAAATTCAAACAATTAAAAATTTTATTATTAAAAAAATCAAATCACTCAAAATTCAAATGAATCAATTCGTAAACAAATCACAATTTAAACTATTCAAATTTCAAATGTTTTAAAATAAAAAAAAATCTAATGATTCAAATAGGGGCAACGGAGTGGCGCAGTAGGTAGGGCAGTTGCCTCACAGCAAGAAGGTCGCTGGTTCGAGCCTTGGCTGGGTCAGTTGGCATTTCTGTGTGGAGTTTGCATGTTCTCCCTGTGTTCGCATAGGTTTCCTCCGGGTGCTCCGGTTTCCCCCACAGTCCAAACACATGTGGTACAGGTGAATTGGGCAGGCTAAAATGTCCATAGTGAATGAGTGTGTATGGGTATTTCCCAGAGATGGGTTGCAGCTGGACGGGCATCCGCTGCGTAAAGCATATGCTGGATAAGTTGGCGGTTCATTCCTCTGTGGCAATCCCTGATTTAAAAAGGGTCTAAGCCGAAAATAAAATGGATGAATGATTTAAAGAAATTAAAAATTAAAATGAATCAAAATTCAAACAATTAAAATGATACAAAATTCAAATTATTAAAAAATGTAATGATTAAAAATTCTAACAATTTAAATAATTAAAAAACAAATCATTCAAAATTCTATTGATTTAAAATTCAAATTAATCAATATGTAAACAAATCATAATTTTAAACGATTCAAAATTCAAATGTTTTAAAATTCATTTTTTTAAATCAAATGATTCAAAATTTAAATGAATCAAAATTCAAACAACTGACCATTAAAATGATTAAAAATACAAATGATTTAAAATTCAAATGAATCAATATGTAAACAAATCATAATTTAAACAGTTTGAAATTCAACTGTTTTAAAATTACATTTTATAAATTCAAATGATTCAAAATGTAAACAAATCATATTTAAATTATTCAAAATTAAAACGTTTTAAAATTTAATTTATTACAAATTTAAATGATTTAAACAAATGAAAATTTTAATGATTAACAACTCTAAATATTAAAAATTCTAATAATTAAAAATTCAAACGATTCAAATAATTTAAAAACATAAAATTGTTCAAAATTCAAATATTCAAAGTTAAAAAATCTTTTAAAAATTACATTTTTTTTTTCAAATTCAAATGATTCCAATGATTCAAAATTCTTCTTTTTAGAAAATTAAATCATTCAAATAATAAAAAAATTAAATGATTCAAAAATCGAAAGATTCAAAATTCAAATTAGTCAAAATTCAAATTAATCAAAATGTAAACAAATAATTTAAACAGTTCAAAATTCAAATGTTTTAAAATTTACATTTTTAAAAATTCAAATGATTTAAATGATTCAAAATTCAAAGGATTCAAAATTCAAATGTTTTAAAATTTACATTTTTAAAAATTCAAATGATTTAAATGATTCAAAATTCAAAGGATTCAAAATTCAAATGATTTAAAATTCAAACGATTCAAATAATTTAAATATAATTGAATGATTTCTAATTCAAGTGTATTAAAATTAAATGTTAAAAAAATGATTCAAAGTACTGTATTTATATTTACAGCACCATTTATCTTGCTGTACATGTATTTACAGAATACTATATATATCTTTACTGTAAAACATACAGTCATTTTCACAATTCAACTTTAAAATACAGTAACATACTGCATGCTGTCCTACAGTAAAATACAATTAAATACTGTGTAGTTCACAAACATTCTTAACAGTGATCAGTTTAATATGATAATAGAATGTCCTTAAGATTATAACATACTGATAAAATCCTCTTCCAAAAAAAACAACACATTTTTATTTGACGAGACCTTTAAGACCATTCCTAAATACTGCGTCTTGCATTTTTAGACAGAAAGATGCATTGTATGTGAATGAAGAGTGTGAAGACCTTTCTTTAAATGAAGGAAACCGTCCATTAAAGGAGGCTTTAAATACACAAACTCACCAATTATAGATTGTTCTTTCCAGTCTGACGCTGCTGAGAGAGCAGAAAGTACAGGGGGTGTGAGATTACAGATGAATACTGTAGAGCCTTCCTGTGTTTAACATACAGTTTATGGTGACAGTAAAAGGACGTTTCAATAAGTCTCTACATGAAACATCACTTATTAAATATATAATTATTATCATTAGGGCTCTTATAGCCTAATTAACTGAAATAGATTTTTGAATAAAATAAAAATATATGAAAAAAATGTATAATAATAATTGATTAGAAAAACTTAGCCAATACCCCCCCCCCCAACCCCCCCAAAGTTTCATTTAACATAACATAACAAAACTTTTAGACTTCTCAGATTTACAATTGCTTAAAAAAGTAGCTTAAGAACTCACAGGACCCATTTTCATCCGCTGGTGTTGTGGGACAGTCAGCGCTGTTCTCACAGGGAACTGGTTCACATACTTCACCTACAAAAGAAATCAATATCAGTAATAGAAAAGCATTTATTGAACAATAAACCAGGATATTAAAGTATACTCTGCAGGATCATCTGCCTGGAGTGATGATGCTAAAACTCCAGCTTTAAAACCCTAGGAATAAATTACATTTTCAAATTCAAATAGAAACTGGTCATTTTAGATAGTACAAATATTTAAATGTTTTATTTTAATTTCTGTAAAAGTTCATTAGGAAGTTTTTTTTACTTAAGTTTTATGAATAAAATATATACATTTATAAATAATGTTTATTGTTTAATGTTGTGTATTACAAAGGTAATTAATTAAATTGTAATTGTAATTAAATACGGTAGTTTACTGTTATTTTGGAAATGTCTCAACTGTATTTTTAAATCACAGCTACCATGAATAAAATAATGTATTAACATTCATTCTGGTGGAAACCAGTGATTTTAAATAGTGAAAATGTTTCACAAATTGTACAGTTTTCGCAGTATTTGGAATCAAAGTAAATGCAGGCTTGGCGAATATTAGATACTTTTTAAATACAAGTTATATCTAAAGTTGAAATTATTCGCCCCCTTGTTTATTTTTTCCCCAATTTCTGTTTAACGGAGAGCAGATTTTTTCCAACACATTTATAATCATAATAGTTTTAATAACTCATCTCTAATAACTGATTAGTTTATCTTTGTCATGATGACAGTAAATAATATTTTACTAGATCTTCTTCAAGACACTTCTGTATAGCTTAAAGTGACATTTAAAGGCTTAATGAGGTTAGGCAGGTTAGGGTAATAGGCAAGTTATTGTATAATGATGGTTTGGTCTGTAGACTATCAAAAAAAAAAAACAGCTTAAACAGGCTAATAATATTGACCATAAAATGGTGTTAAAAAAATAAAAAACTGCTTTTATTCTAGCCGAAATAAAACAAATAAGACTTTATCCAGAAGAAAAAATATTATCAGACATACTGTAAAAACTTCCTTGCTCTGTTAAACATCATTTCGGAAATATTAAAAAAAAGGAAAAAATGATTCAAAGGGTGGCTAATAATTATATATATTTAACAGTTCTGTCTGGTTGTCAAATCTGGTTGGCTGATAGCACTGCAATATTCTTTAATAACAGCCACTTCACTCTTGTGTATTACTCCGCCCATATAGAGTGACAGCAGATCAATAAATATTGCAGCTGTTGAACAACATTATGTACTTTTGAGGGGTTTTTTAGGCAAGAGTGTAGTTGTTTAGATTGAAGCTTTGCAGGTTTATTTTTAAGGATAGTGCCTATTTTAAATATTTATAATTTCGGATATTCAGCACGCCGTCTGCCATGCATCAGCCTGTCATACTGAGCAAAGACGGTTGATGTTTCACCACAAGAAGCCAACAGAGAACACGTAATAAGAGGATAAAAACAGGGTTTAGCTAAATAAATCATTATAAATCAGGTAAGTGATATTCTAAGTTGATCTCTCTCTTTTGTATGTTGTAGTGCTGTATTTATACCATAGTAATCTGGCGGTGTTTCCTTTGCTTTGGCATTTTCAGGGTTAATTATTGTGATTGCTACAGAGAAATACTGGGATATCTCTGTAGACTGATGACATTTCATGCTGTTCAGCCTTATAATCTTAAAATGTGAGCAAAAAAAAGTTTTGTCTTTACGTTAGACATTACGCTAGAGAATCATTCAAACACTAGCTCTAAAGTGATGTTAGTGAATTAGTAACAGCTACTGCTGTCCTGATGTCAGCTTGTAAATGTAAATGAATGGCGGAAGAAAGTAGTTCCTCGTAAAAGTATTTTTGAGACTCTCCGTGTTTGATTTTCTTTTTTATATACAATAATATTTATATTAAGTTTTACATTTTTAAACACCATTTTAAGTACAATATTATTAGCCCCTTTAAGCTTTATATTTTTTTCGATAGACTACAGAACAAGCCATTGTTATACAATAACTTGATACACATATATACACATATATATATTTATTACTGGTCTAAATCTTGTGTTTGGTTGGGTAAATGTTAAAGAGTAAGTACGTCTTTTAATACTTCAGTACATAAAAAGTTTGCGATGCTCTTCTCCGTCATGCTGTTGTTTGCAGCTGAATTATTCATTATTATTGGATTATTGAGCTGCAGGAATCTGAAGTGTTTACACAGGTGTCCGTGTCAGAAAACAAAAGGCCAGCTCTTCAGAAGTGTGTAAGGTTAAGTGCGAAAGAAGATTACAGTACATCTTTTGTGTTGAGAAAGAAACACGGTTGACAGGGCCGTCTCGTTTCACACCGATCAAACACAACCTGAGGGCGAAACTCACAGTGCATTACAGTAGCGCCAAACACACCACATTCTGCTTTCCAGAACAATGAAGTTCACACCGCCAGGATGCTTGTTGGTGCACTGGAAAAATGATTCATTGGGTTTGCAACATTTTTTAAGTTAATAATAACAATAATACATTTTATTTAAAGGCGCCTTTCTAGCAACTCAAGGACACCGTGAAATCAACAAGAGAAATAATAAAATATACGCAACAATAGTGCAGATAAAATTAAATATTAAAAGCCATGTTAAGTAAGTGTGTTTGGAGTCTTGATTTGAACAGTGTGAGGGAGTCAACGTTTCTGATGGCAGGTGGTAATGAGTTCCAAAGCCGCGGAGCAGAGCGGCTAAATGCTCTGTTGCCCATAGTCGAAAGCCGAGAAGAGGGAACAGACAAGTGGAGGGAGGAAGAAGATCGCAGGGTGCGAGAAGGAGCAGAAATGTGGATGAGGGCAGACAAATATGGAGGGGCGCAGGGCCGGAGTGGGACTCTTTTTCAGCCCTGGAGTTTCAAGCCTCAGACCGGCCCACCTCAGTTCACGACTGACTATATTAAAATAAGGTCATTTCCAATTCAGTTTCTAATGACACTATCACGTCTTTTTTTTAAGAGAACAGCTGCTTTAGAACTTTAAATGTTCAACAACCCTAACAGTATTGTATGTCGTAACAATAAAACTGAAAAAAATTACATACTCAGACAAGGATCAAACCCAGGTCAGCGGCGTCATAATGTAACGTGCTAACCACTGGACCACAACAGTGGTTATATATAAAAAGAGCAGAGCTGCGGTAAACTAATGAAGAAGAAGACTGTGGTCAAGTAAATAAATAAATTAATTTAAAAAGTGTGACTGCTGAGAGCAACAGATTCTGGAGCTAGGGACACCGGCCCTCGCGGACAAAAAACGGACCGGCCCACCGGGAATTCTCCCGGTCCTCCCGATTAGCCTGGAGGGGCGAGATTGTGGATGGCTTTGAATGTTAACATAAAGATTTTAAAGTCAATTCGAAAATAAACAGGTAACCAATGAAGCTGCTGCAGGACAGGGGTGATGTGACGAGAAGAAGGAGTATGGTGATGATACGGGCAGCTGAGTTCTGGACCCACTGAAGCTTACGGAGAGTTTTGCAACCAAGGTAAGTGGTTGCAAACTATTTATATGAGCTGAATTTAACTAATGAAATGTATTCATGTTCAACTTAATTTGTTTGTTTAAATTCAGCCCATATAAAGTGTTTGTAACTACTTACATTAAAAAAAAAAGAAAAAAGAAACTCAAACCAGCGACCTTCTTACTGTGAGGCCACATTGTCAACCGCTGATTCACTGTGCCGCCCTGTCTGATTATCAATAACATACTAATAATCATTTCAATAAAGTATTCATGATAAAATAACAAAAAAATATTCATATAAAAGGAAATATTTCACCAAAACTCCATCACAACACTAACCCGATCATTGTGCTGGGTTGTCAAATCCCAATGTTGGGTCAAACATGAAAATAAAAAAACAGCTTTGCGTTAAAATTGTCAAATAAATTGAATTTACTAAAGTTTCTTTTTAAGCAGAATGTTTGTGGTTATCCATATTTGACCCAACTTTAGGTTAAAACAACCCAGCAGTTGTTAAAGCATTTTGTAAGCATGTGCATAACAATATTAATCATTTTAATAAAGTATTCGAAAATCCAATCAGTAGTATTTCACCAAAACTTCATTAAAACACTAACCCAGGTCTTGGGTTGTCAAAACTCAACATTGGGTCAAACATAATAAAAAAGAATTCATCATTTCAATAAAGTATTCATTATAAAATAGCTAAAAATATATATTTAATAAAGAAATGTACATCAAAACACCATCAAACTCTAAGCTACTGTAGGTCATTTCTGCACTAAAAATGGCAACATTGGGTTGAAAAGACCCAACGTTGGGTTAAATTTTTGAATTAAATTCAAATTACACTTTAAAGAAAAAAACACACAGCAGTTGCTTTATCTATATTGGACCCCACTTTGGGTTCAAGCAACCCAGTAATGGTTTTTACATTTCTGTAAGCATGTGCACTAACAATAATAATCATATCAACAAAGTATTCATGATAAAATAATTAAGAAATATTACACTAAAACTCCATCATAACACTAATTCAGATCATTTCTACACTAGAACAATGCTGGGTTGACAAAACCCAATGTTGGGTCAAACATGAAAAACCAAACATTGCATGGGTTACAAATTTTATTTAAATTATTATTATTATAATTATTATTTTATTTAAATTGCACATTTAGTAAGCGCAATGATTTGTTACTTAAAACAATAACTCGAATTTAAATGACACTTCTTAAACAACAAAAAACACACAACGCTTGTGTTTATCCATATTTGAACCAACTCTAGTAAAACAACCCAGCGATTGTTAGAGTGTATGTTTTTACATTTAAGCACATGAACTGACAATAACCGTAATTTTAAAAATGCAATAAGAAATATTTATAACACCACATCTCCATCATAACACTAACCCAGGACATTTCTACAGTACACTACAAAATGCTGGGTTGTCAAATCTCAATGTTGGGTCAAACATGAAACAACAACAACAACAACAATAATGTTGTTAAAAAAAGTCAAATACATTTAAATGACACTTTTTAAAAACACAACAGATGCATTTATCAACATTTGACCCAACTTCAGGTTGAAACAACCCAGCAATTGTTAGAGTGTATGGTTTATATATTTTGTAAGCAAGAACACTAATAATAATAATAATAATAATAATAATAATAATAATAATAATAATAATAATAATAATGAAATTCAATAAACTTTTAATGATAAAATAACTCAAAAAGTAATAAAGAAATAGTTCAGCAAAACTCCATCATGACACTAACCCAGGTCACTTCTACACTAAAATGCTGGGTTGTCAAAACTCAATGTTGGATTTTGAATTTAATTGAAATGTTTAACCAAACGTTGGATTTTTCCATTACACTTTTTATTAAACATCCATATTATCCAAACATCCTTCATCCATATTTGACCCAACTTTGGGTTAAAACAACCCAGCAATTGTTAGAGTGCATGGTTTCTATATAAGCTTGTGCACTAACAACAATAATCATTTCAATGAAGTATTCATAATTAAATAACAAAATAATAATAATAATAGTAATAATAATAATAATAATAATAATAATAATAATAATAATAATAATAATAATAATAAAGAAATTTACACCAAATCCATTATAACACTAACCCAGGTCATTTCCACACTACAAAAAAATGCTGGGTTGTCAAAACCCAATGTTGGGTCAAACATGAAAAAACCCAAACAATTTTTAATAAATTTAAATAACTCATTTTTAAACACACAACAGTTGCTTTATCCATATTTGACCCAACGTTTTGGTTTAAAATAACCCAGCAGTGGGTCCTGCATTTTTGTAAGCCTATGAACTAACAATAATAATCATTTCAAGAAAGTTTTCATGATAAACTAGCAAAAAATAAATTCAATACAGAAATATTACACCAAATCTCCATCATGACACTAACCCAGGTCATTTCACCCAAAATAAAAAATCCAGGGCTGTCAAAACTCAACAATGGGTTGAACTTGGAAAAACCCAACGTTTTGTTACTTAAAACAATAACTTGAATTTAAATGACACTTCTTAAACAACAAAGAACACACAACGCTTGTGTTTATCCATATTTAAACCAACTCTTGTAAAACAACCCAGCGATTGTTAGAGTGTATGTTTTTACATTTAAGCACATGAACTGACAATAACCGTAATTTTAAAAATGCAATAAGAAATATTTATAACACCACATCTCCATCATAACACTAACCCAGGACATTTCTGCAGTACACTACAAAAAATGCTGGGTTGTCAAAACCCAATGTTGGGTCAAACATGAAACAACAACAACAACAACAATAACAACAACATTGTTAAAAAAAACATCTAATAAATTTAAATGACTTTAAAAACACAACAGATGCATTCATCAACATTTGACCCAACTTCAGGTTGAAACAACCCAGCAATTGTTAGAGTGTATGGTTTATATATTTTGTAAGCAAGAACACTAATAATAATAATAATAATAATAATAATAATAATAATAATAATAATAATAATGAAATTCAATAAACTTTTAATGATAAAATAACTCAAAAAGTAATAAAGAAATAGTTCAGCAAAACTCCATCATGACACTAACCCAGGTCACTTCTACACTAAAATGCTGGGTTGTCAAAACTCAATGTTGGGTTTTGAATTTAATTGAAATGTTTAACCAAACGTTGGATTGTCCATTACCCTTTTTATTAAACATCCACATCATCCAAACATCCTTCATCCATATTTGACCCAACTTTGGGTTAAAACAACCCAGCAATTGTTTGAGTGTACGATATCAGCATGTGCACTAATAACAATAATCATTATTCATAATTAAATAACAAATAATAATAATAAAGAAATTTACACCAAATCTCCATCATAACACTAACCCAGGTCATTTCCACACTACCAAAAAATGCTGGGTTGTCAAAACCCAATGTTGCGTCAAACACGAAAAAACCCAAACAATTTTTTAATAAACTTTAATTACTCATTTTTTGTACTCATACACAACAGCTGCTTTATCCATATTTGACCCAACGTTTTGGTTTAAAATAACCCAGCAGTGGGTCCTACATTTTTGTAAGCCTGTGAACTAACAATAATAATCATTTCAAGAAAGTTTTCATGATAAAATAACAGAAAATAACACTAACCCAGATCATTTCTACACGGTTGTCAAAACCCAATGGGTCAAACATAAAAACCCAACGTTGGGTTAAAACATACCATTTAATTTACTTAAATTACCCTTAAAAACACACACACAAGGGTTGCGTTTATGCTTATTTGACCCAACATTGGGTTCAGGGGCGGACTGGGACTAAAAAATCAGCCCTGGCACTGTAGCCACACCAGCCCACATTACTACACTGCCACAGCCCCTTGCACGGACACGCATATTCACTAATTTGGTGTATAGATGGTGAAATAATATAAGCAGTACCATATATGTAATAGATATTTAAACATTTAATGTATGTGACTGGACCAAAAACAAATTTATATATGCGATCATTCATTAATTTTCTTTTCGGCTTAGTCCCTTTATTAATCTTGGATCACCACAGCGGAATGAACCGCCAACTTGTCCAGCATATGTTTTACGCAGCAGATGCCCTCCAAAGTGCAGCCCACTGTGAAACCCCTTATACAGCACATTCACATACATGCACTACGGACAATTAAGCCTGCCCAATTCATCTACAGCACATGTTTGGACTTGTGAGGGAAACCAGGAGGAAACCCACGCGAACATGCAAACTCCACACAGAAACACCAACTAACCCAGGCGAGGCTCAAAAAAGCAACCTTCTTGCGCCCCTCCGCTGCTCTCTCTCAAGACTATTTCTGTTAATTTTATGCATTTGGCAGAGTTTGACTTTTTTTTTTTTTTGCTTTCTCTGAGCTTTTCGGCACCTCCTTTTTTTATGGTCCATCTCTGACACTTAGCTTGTGTTGCACTTACTGTTTGTTTGACATTCTAGCCAGATTTTGGGTCGGCCCATCTCGAAACCAGCCGGTCATTGCTGATTGGGCCAATGCTTAACATTTATAATTATTATTACTATTAGCATCATCATCATCATAATACTCACATCTTGCAAGAGATAAAAGCTGCCTGCATGTAAAAACAATACATATTAAAAAATAAAAAAAATAATAAAAATAGCTGACCGGCCCACATTTAAAAAATGGTCCGGCCCTTCTGGCATTTGCCAGAATTGCCAGATGGCCAGTCCGCCCCTGATTGGGTTAACACAACCCAGTAGGCCAGTTTTATAGTAATGACACCTGGGTGACAGCCTGAGTCACGGATATAAAGGTCAGCCAGAATGCACAGGATGACATTTACCACAATAATCAGCTTACTCCATTATAAACACAGGTGATGTCTCAGGCTCTCGGTGTTGTTGATGTCCAGTATTATTATTATTGTGCAGGTGACCTCTGGATCACCTCAAACTAACATCAAACAAACATCACCGATCACATCACAGGCTATTGTCATCTTCATGCAGATTACACTGAGCGTGTGTTGTATAGAGGGCGCTGACATGATCATTAACCCGAAATAACCCCACCATCATGAATTATGTGTGAGGATATCTGAATCTGATGATGATGAAGTTCTGCCCAGCGTTGTAAACTTACCCGTGTGAATGCTGTGGTGAACGCGAGTCGTATGGTGAAGAGTTGTGTTTATAACTCACCCGCGGATGTCGGATGCGGGAGGGACGCGCCAGTGCGGACGAACAGCAACAAAAACACGGGCAGCATCGCGGGAAACTCTCGTGTGTCCGCGGTTTGTCCTGCAGTCCTGAATCCGCGGTGTGTGGAGCAGAGATGCGGATGAAATGCAGAGAGACTCGCGCTGGTGCTGATGCTGCTGCTGCTTCAGCTTCACTGCAGTGATGATGAAGATGGAGAGCAGACTGACGCGCGCGCGCACACACTCACTCACACATATAACTATAACTTTCAATTATTATAGGCATTTAAATGCATAGCTATACTTAACTTGCACTTAAACACCGAACGCTATATAGAGTTGGAACAAATATAGACGCACGCAACCACTGCATTTAATAGTGTAATTTTAATTTAAAATAATCCTTATTTTAAACACACCGACTTACTATATATTTGACAAAAAAAAGTCATTTTATGTTACTTTAATATTAACTGGTTAATCAAATTCCAACAAAAAAGTAAGTTATACAAAGTTTAACTTATTTGTTTAATCAGTTTGACTTGATGCAAGTTGAGATGAATTGAAAATTAATTAATTTTTTTTACAGTGAACTTTTGGTCAAATGCGGACCAATAAAACCCTTTTTTTTGTTTTCTTGAGTAAACCTTTTGATAATTTAGCCTAAATTTAATTGGGAAAAATGGCCCTATTGGCTTTGTCTATAGCTATTTTGACCCATTTTTGTTTAAATTAATTTAATAAAAAAAATAAATTGGACATGGCTCAGTGGTTAGCACTGTCTTCTCACAGCAGGAAAGTTCCAGCTGGGTCAGTTGGCGTTTCCCTGTTGCATGTTCTCACCATGTTGACGTAGGCATTGGCGAGTTTATTGATTTCGGGGCCCTAATCAATTCCAGCCATGGGGCCCCAAGTCCTGAAATGCACCTTTTCTACTTTTACTTCATTTTTATTTATTTTGCTGTTTATATATATATATATATATATATATATATATATATAGTTGAAGTCAGAATTATTAGCTCCCCTTTGAATTTTTTTTTTCTGTTTTAAATATTTCCTAAATTATGTTTAACAGAGCAAGGAAATGTTCACAGTATGGGGTCAACATTTCTGTGTGGAGTTTGCATGTTCTCCCCGTGTTTTATTTTATAACTTTATAACTCTATAGCATGCTTTTATAGTTGCATTGATTTCTTATACAGTGTTCAGCATAAATGAGTGCACCCCGTTTTAAAAATGAATATTATTATTCATTTCTAAGTGTATATAGGTGATGTATTTTGGTGCATTTGAGCAAAACAGATTTATCAAATAGATATATTTATTAAAATAATATTTTAGTCACTGAACAACTTTGGAAAATGGAACGATAACACATTTAAAATCATGCAAAATATTACACAAAAAATTCAACAATTTTATATTCAGTATATTTTTTTGCTTCTCATGTTTTTTTTAAATTACAAACTACCAAATTACTAAATAAAATTTTTTTTTTTTTTTAGTTTATTCCTGATTTTTGCGCTATTAAAAAAAGCTATATTTTTCCCTAAGGGTGGCACGGTGGCTCAGTGGTTAGCACTGTGGCAGCAAGAAGGTTGCTGGTTCAAGTCCCGGCTGGGTCAGTTTGTTTTTCTATGTGGAGTTTGCATGTTCTCCTCGTGTTGGCGTGGGTTTCCTCCGAGTGCTCCGGGTTCCCCTACAGCCTAAACACATGCGCTATAGGGGAACTGATGAACTAAATTAGCCATGGTGCATGAGTGTGTGTGTGAATGAGTGTGTATTGATGTTTCCCAGTGTTGGGTTGTGGCTGGAACGGCATCTGCTGTGTAAAATAAATGCTGGATTAGTTGGTGGTTCATTCCGCTTTGGCGACCCCAGATTAATAAAGCAAAAAAAAAAAAAAAAAAAAATTGGGTTTGTCTAGAGCTAGTTTGATACTTCATGTCAAATGTACAGTTTACTTGGTTGATGTCAAAATTGTGTGTTTGGCGCCGTCTGTAGGTACAAAAAGGTAAGATCATTTTATAATATGAGAATACATTTTCAAATTAATTCATCATTTACTGTATAACATAATGTTTCCCAGTGATGGGTTGCAGCTGAAAGGGCAACCGTCACATAAAACATAAGCTGGAAAAGTTGGTGGTTCATTCCGCTGTGGCGACCCCGCATTAATAAAGGGACTAAGCCGAAAGGAAAATGAATGAATGATTGTATAACATAATGCTAGGCAAACTTCTGAAAAAACAACATATGCTGGTTAGTTATACTGTATGTTTTGATGTTGTTTTATAGCATCTAAACATATACCTTACCACCATGTATGCAGTTTTTCAACAGGGATCAGTTCTGATAATTCATGGATAAATATCAATAATGATTACACACAGTGCACAACTAGGCTAATAAGTAGACCTCATGAGTCAAACCCCCTGAGAGACCTCTGCTTCTGTTTGAATTAATATTTTATACAGGATGCTTTACAATTTTTATGCATATACGTTAGATTAGTCAGAGCCAGAGCCAAAACAAACTAATCTAACAATCAAATAGACTTAAGATCAGTCCGAAAAAAGAGTACACCCTAATTAATGTGTAAGCGAAATTATTAAACAAAATTTTAACAAACGTGACGAATCAAGAGAAACATAGGCTATATATATATATATATATATATATATATATATATATATATATATATATATATATATATATATATATATATATATATATAACTTTTAGTTGAATTTTTTTGCAGATTTTTTGTTGTTGTTGTAACAAGTCGTTTGATTTTAAATGTATTAATTCGATTCCTTAAAAAATTTAGGTGACCAAACACTTATTTTAAAGAATAAAATTGTTTAATTAAAAATGTTTTGTTTAAATGTACACAAATTACTGGATTTATACACTGAGAAATTGATTTAAAAATATATTAATAACGGTTTCTAAAGACATTGTTACCTCAGGACGTTTAATATATGATAATCTGAATCAACTGCTTTTTAAAACACCGTAATAAAAGCAAAACACTTTAACTCGCCGTGCTCTCTTGTTAGTGTTTAGGGATTTAGGACAGGAGGTTTGCGGGCGCGTTCACGTGTGGTGGGAGTGTTTGAGGGGCGCGAGCCTGCGCGAGACTTCACAACACAACTCTCATCATGAAACTATCTAAAGTGAGTGAACCGAAAGTAACAAAACAACTCATTAACATCATCTTAACCTACTTTTAACACTCCCGCATCACTGTAAACACGCCTAAGCGCTCAACTAACCCTCAAACGCAGCACTTTGTGGTGTCAAACTAGACCAAAACTATGCCAAGCTAACGAGCTAACGCACATAGCCGTCATTTGTGTGCAGATTTGATTTAATGCGGCGTTTCAGTATTAACCTTGCTGAAACGCGGTTTAACAGTTCCTCGTAGATTTGATGCTTTTCCCCAATTAATAAGAGTGTGATGTAACTACGTGTGAAAAAAAATCCGCTAGCATCATTGTGAAGCGTGAACATCCTTATGAGCAAACATACATTTCAAGATGCTAATCCCAATTTTCCTGTTTTAGGGACTGTTCTTTGTGTCATTATCACGATATTTACCCGATTTTGTTAATAATATTTTTATTTTTAAGTGTATTTATCTCTGACATTGTGTTTAATCTGTTATTTTCATGTTTTTGTCTCTTATGTATATCAATATAAAATAAAAACATTGATATTTCTAAACTATATTGCAGAATTTCATTAACTGTGTTCTTTACTATTTTCAGATGAGGAGAACATCACACTGTGAAGACCTAAATCTTTGTTTCGTGTGTTAAAAACCAAAACATCACACTGAATAAAAGGCAAAAGTCCCAGAAAAGACAGTAAAGGTGTATTTGTGAGTTTCAGGAGGGGAAACCCTCCTGAATATTGCCTGCTTTTATTGTCAGCTTCACAAGGTTGACAATGATGGCAACCCAGGGTGGAGGCAAGGAGCCTGATCCCTTTTCAATGGTGCCCCGCATAACCAGAGCAGACGGGGACACCCACATACCAGCCTGTCATGGTCAAGGGATACAGATCTCAGACCTGGGATCAGCTTTATCCATCCACACCACAGTTTTACCACCTAAACAGCCTCCCACAGTCACGTATTCCATCTTTGGCAAGGATCCGAGACCCGGAACAGTCATGTTTGCCTCAAAGGGAGCTGGTGTTAGTGCTGGACATGTCATTTTGGGATCTTTTTCAGGAGTTGGCAGAGGGATGTCAGATCCTCAACATGAAGGTGCTGTTGGATGGGTACCGTCCGCATCCTTGAGTCCTGAAATGTGCCTGGCAGCACCTTCATTCCGTCCGCTGAGCATCGTTGAAGAAGGGGATACTCTGGATGTGCAGGAGATTGGAGAGGATGAGGAAATTGTCTTAACCCTCACCGCGCCGCCTCCCAATCAGTGAGTGATGCTTTGGTTTAATTCAACATAATTCAAGTTCACTTGTATAGCAATTTTTACAATAGTTGTTGTTCTGAAGCAGCTTTACAAAAGGCACCTACATTAGTCAAAACCAGATAATTTAATGACTTTTCTAGGGTGGACAGTATATAAGGTAATGTCTATAAGTTAGGGCTGCACAATATATGGTTTCGGCATCGATGTCGCAATAATCACTCCGCAGATTACACAATGTTGAGTCTGGATTATTATTCAACATTTGCATGTGTTTTTGAGGCCTGTGACTGTATGAGGATTTTAAACTAATTTATGCATAAGAAATTGTATCATTTGTAACTTTAATAGCGATACATTTTACTAAATTGTTTTTATTTGTATTATTCAGTTTCTGTTCCTGAATATTGTTAGACTCTGAAAATGATCATACACTGTTAATTTCAAGTTTATCTTTTTTTTTTTACGTCACGCAAAGCAACTTCCGGGTCCAAGCACTCTATCAAACTGTATGGGGACACTCAACAAATGGTAATAATAAACTTTTACAAAGCGATGTAATACTTTAAAAAAAATCACGATCTTAATATATATATATATATATATATATATATATATATAGTTAAAAAAAAAGGACCATAACCATTTTTAAAAATGTCTGATGGTAAATCATACCAAAGGTACTTTAGGGTACTATTATACTATTTTAGGTCCGTTAGGATTACCTAAATGATTTGCATTTAAATGTCAGAATAATGAGAGAATTTTTTTTTTTTTGAGAATTTTTTATTAATTTCTAGACAGTCAAAAGTTTACACACATTTCCTTGGTATTTTTTTTTAGCTTTGCTTTTAAACTGTATAACTTTGGTCAAATGTTTTGGGTCTCCTTCCACAAGCTTCTCACAATAGTTTGCAGGAATTTTGGCCTGAGAATTATTGTAACTGAGTCAGATTTGTAGGCTGTCTTGCTCGCACAAGCTTTTTCAACTCTGCCCACAAATTTTCTATAGGATTGAGCTCAGGGCTTTGTGATGGCCACTGCAAAACATTCACTCTGAACATTCACCCATTTGTGGCCAAGTTTTAATGTCCTGGCTGATGTCTTGAGATGTTGCTTCAGTATTTCTCCATAATGTTCTTGCTTCATGATGCCATCTATGCTGTGAAGTGGACCAGTCCCTCCTGCAGCAAAACAGCCCCACAACATGATGCTGCCGCCCCCATACTTCACAGTTGGGATGGTGTTCCTAGACTTGTAAGCTTTCTCCTTTGACCTTCAAATGCTATTTATGACCAAACAGTTCGATCTCAGAGCACAGGACATGTCTCTGAAATTAGTCTTTTTCCCAGTGTAGTTTAGCTAATGGTAATCTGGCTTTGTTGTTGATTCTGGCTTGTTGATTTCTCCATGTTGTCACACAAGGAAACAGTGTGTTTGAGGTTATCTTTCAATACTATTCTACAGTTGAGCCTCCAAGTAACTCAAATGTTGTCAATTAGCCAATCAGAAACTTCCAAAACCTTGACCCCATCATCTGAGCTTTTCCAGAGGCAGAATAATCTGATTGTATGTAAACTTGACTTTAAAGAAAAGTTATAACAATTTCTCAAAGAATGTCTTTCTCATTATTCTGATATTAGGCATAACAGAAACAATTGTAATAATCCTGACTTACCTAAAAGAAAAAAGTTTAGTCACATTAACATCTGACTTTTTTTTAATGGGTATGTGCCTTTTTATACAGTGTATGTAAACTTCTGCTTTCAACTGTGTGTGTGTGTGTGTGTGTGTGTGTGTATATATATATATATATATATATATATATATATATACTCTCAGAAAAAAGGTACACAGTTGTACAAATAATGTTCCTTGAGGGCCAGTTTTGTACCTTTGTAAAAGTTGTACCTTACATGTTGGGCCAGACGGAATCTGCGGAGGTTTTTTGCTATTTCTGCGGAGAATTTTGGTAAAAATTATTATTTTGGGAGTATCCAGTAGGGATGTAACGGTATTGTAAATACCGTCATACCGCAATATTAATTTTTTTCGATATTACTGTAGTCGCATGACTCGGTAAAACTATAGGTCTTCTGAGAAAATTTGCTCAGGCGAATGAAGCAAACGGGAGGTAGCGGAAACTACAATTCCCATCAGCCCAGGCTTTGCCATCATCCCTTGCGGTCTGTTGACGCTACAGATACAGTAATGCGGAAATGGAGTGTGCTGCTAGAAGCGGGCATCAAAAAGAGCTGGAAATGATCGAACCTGAAGCGGGTGTTGTCGCCGCACGCGTACTGAATAGCGGTGTTGTCGCGCGCGTTCTGATCAGCTGTGTTGTTGCGCGCGTTCTGATCAGCTGTGTTGTCGCGCGCGTTCTGATCAGCTGTGTTGTCGCGTGCGTTCTTATCATCTGTGTTGTCGCGTGCGTTCTGATCAGCTGTGTTGTCGCGCGCGTTCTGATCAGCTGTGTTGTTGCGCGCGTTCTGATCAGCTGTGTTGTCGCGTGCGTTCTTATCAGCTGTGTTGTCGCGCGCGTTCTGATCAGCTGTGTTGTCGCGCGCGTTCTGATCAGCTGTGTTGTCGCGCGCGTTCTGATCAGCTGTGTTGTCGCGCGCGTTCTGATCAGCTGTGTTGTCGCGCGCGTTCTGATCAGCTGTGTTGTCGCGCGCGTTCTGATCAGCTGTGTTGTCGCGCGCGTTCTGATCAGCTGTGTTGTCGCGCGCGTTCTGATCAGCTGTGTTGTCGCGCGAGTTCTGATCAGCTGTGTTGTCGCGCGAGTTCTGATCAGCTGTGTTGTCGCGCGAGTTCTGATCAGCTGTGTTGTCGCGCGCGTTCTGATCAGCTGTGTTGTCGCGCGCGTTCTGATCAGCTGTGTTGTCGCGCGCGTTCTGATCAGCTGTGTTGTCGTGCGCGTTCTGATCAGCTGTGTTGTTGCCGCGCGCGTTCTGATCAGCTGTGTTGTTGCCGCGCGCGTTCTGATCAGCTGTGTTGTCGCGCGCGTTCTGATCAGCTGTGTTGTCGCGCGCGTTCTGATCAGCTGTGTTGTCGCGCGCGTTCTGATCAGCTGTGTTGTTGCGCGCGTTCTGATCAACTGTGTTGTCGCGCGCGTTCTGATCAGCTGTGTTGTCGCGCGCGTACTGTAAAGCGGGGAGGGGGGGTTGAGCGCGCATACTCAAGGTGTTGTCGCGAGCCTACTGAAGGGCGGGACGGAGGGTGTGACACAGCACACTGTTCAGATTGATACAGACATGAGACCTCTATCTCACTCATGGCTTGTCCTCTCAAGTGGGGGAAAGACAATGCACAACGTTCCCCACTGCTGTCAACCTGGGCCAAGTCATATCTCTCTGTCCCAGAAACCTCAGTCCCAAATGAGAGGGTTTTTTTCTGTTGCAGGGGACATTGTAAATACCCAGAGATACCAGCTTTTACCAGATTATAGTTATATGATAATTTTCCTTAAAACCCATCTCTATCTAAGTGAGTGAGTGATTAAATGTTGAATGTGATGAGTTTTCAACAATACTAAATTGAAACTTTATTTTTTTACATGGTTTAATAATTTTTTGTTATTAAAATTGAAGTTCCTGTTTCAAAGCTTACAGATAGATGGCTAATTTGTATGTCATTGACACTTTTGGCACTTTTTTGGAGTATTTTCATAAGTTTTGTTTTTTCCTGTAAATGATTCAATAAATATCGTACCGTGACATTCATACCGAGGTATTACCGAACCGTGAAATTCTGATACCGTTACATCCCTAGTATCCAGCGGAGTATCATAACTAAAATCTTAATATATAAAATAAAAGTAATAAATTACTGAATAAAAACTGAATAAATTAGTAAAATAAAAGTTAAAAAGTAAATAAACAGAATTAATGATGGGCTAAAAATCTGCAGAAATCTGCGGAAAATCTGCAAAAAATCTGCGAAAGATCTGCGGAATTCTGCGCGCGCAGATTCTGTGTGGGCCTACTTATATGGTACAGAAAAGACCTCTTATGATACTGTTCTGTACCTTTTATGGTACAATTCAAATGAAGGTACATAATTGTTCTCATAAAAAGGTACATTCTCAGAAATAAAGGTACAGGAGCTGTCACTGGGGCGGTACCTTTTCAAACGGTACATATTTGTACCTGAAGGGTCCATAAGGGTACTTCAGAGGTACTTTTTAGGTACATTTGGGTACTAATATGTATCTTTTGAAAAGGTACCGCCCCGGTGACAGCTCCTGTACCTTTATTTCTGAGAATGTACAAAAGTGTAGCACAACTCCTTCTTAGTTACATTATCTATGAAAATAAATATTACTGGAAAGGAAAAGTGATTTATGAATAATTTCCATATTAAAACATGAATCATCATTTAAAAGCATGTGTTTAAAGAAACTCATAAACAATAATTATTAAGTTCTATAATGCATTAATACAAAACAACTTGTAAAACATTTGTATCTTTGATGAAGGTACATTTTGGTTTCCCATGGTATAAATCATGTTCTTAAAGGTACAAACTGCAATGGTACAAATTTGTTTCTTTGTCTTAAGGTACAATTCTGTTCCATAAAAAGGTGCTGCCCCAGTGACAAGGGTTTTTTACCTTCTTTGGTACAACATTGTACCATTTGTTCTGAGAGTGTATATATATATATATATATATATAAATGTCGCAGAATAACAAATAATATGCATCCCTAAGTGTAATAGACCAAATAGGAACATTTAAAATAACATAACAGTGCAACTTTATAACGCATTAGTGTTAAAGTATAACACAAGATCATACATAATCTTGACAAGATCATACATAAAACGTTTGAGACCTGTAGAGCTGTGCATCGATTGATTTGCTTTTCAGTGTTTGGTCTTTCAGCAGTAAAAATTAAACAACACTGAACTGAACTAGTTTCTGTGATGATTGGGTTGTCGTGGTTCTAACCTTCGACCAAAAGCCATTCAACAATGCACTGGCCCCTTACGGCTCCCCCTGCAGGAGGATGGTCCCACGTCGCTCCTTCGGCAGAGCCTGGCCGGGTTCTGTGGAATAAAACCCATTACTAATCTCCAGGGTTGGGTCCCGGCTGCGCCGTACCGGGCGATGTCATGGTCCTTGATGTTGTTGTACTCATAAGGGGGTTTTGAACCACACATAGTCTGACCTGTAACCTAAGACCTTTTTGCCTTGGGAGACCCTACCAGGGGCATGAGCCCTCGACAACATAGCTCTTAGGATCACTCAGGCACTCCAGAGGATCTGGAGAAAGTGTCTGGGGAGAGGGAAGTCTGGGGTTCACTTCTAAGACTGCTGCCCCCACGACCCGGCCCCAGAAAAGCGGATGAAAATAAATGACTGAACTGAACTTCAACTCTGAAAACTGGACTGACACGGTTTCAGTTTACTATAACGTCTGTGTTAAGCTGCTTTGGCACAATCTACATTGTAAATGCGCCAGAGAAATAACGATGAATTGAATTGAACATAGTGGAGTTTGTGTCTTGACAGGTGGTATCATGGGAAGCTGGACCGGATGATCGCAGAGGAGCGTTTGCTTCAGGTTCGAGCGGCCGGCAGCTACCTCATCCGAGAGAGCGACCGGAGACCCGGATCATTTGTGCTGTCATTCCTCAGTATGACCAACACAGTCAGTCATTTCAGGTGTGTGTTTATCCCCCTCCACATGTTGGCATTGGACCATCACTAATGAGCTTGGGGTCTTTTTAACGACAAAATGATTGATGTGTAATTTGATTTGATTTTCTGATGCTTTCCAAGTGCTGTTTAATGGAGAGAAGGGTTTTTTTGACACATTTTATGCACAAAGTTATTTTGGAAACAATTGTTTTTGTCTTTGCCATGATGACCGTACACAGGGGCGCCGCTAGGGGGAAAAGTTAGGACGATTCTGAGGGCCCATACAATTAGATAGGCCCCAGAGACATTATCAAGGGCCCGCGCCAATCCCCCCCCAACGTTTATTTTGATTAAAATTGTAATCGTGATTATTCAAAGTGATTATCAGTGGCCCATATGATCAAAATGTTTTGTGTATATTTATGAAGGCTGCATTAATATAGCGCACCGTTGCTTTAAGAGCTGTGCATACAACAATCCCATTTATGGTTTCCTTTTCACATGACCTTTCCTTCTCAAGTCTTTGTTTAGACTAATAGTCAATAAGTGCTATGTTTTGACACATTATTTATTTATTTTTTATTTGAGCATTTATGCATGCAACTTACAGGTGCGGTATGTAAATTTGACAAGCAGAGGTTTAACTAGGCATTGCACACCTGGTTCAAAACACACGCAAGCTTGGGTTGCCAGATTGAGGACACCAACAGGAGCGAGTCTACAGGCTGATTTAAGTCATGTTCTAAATAAAAGCAACGGCACGCTAAGAAAAGGAACATTTTTCATAACAAAAGGAGTTTTTGTCCTATAACCCACACCTGATATGTATATTTTAGAAACGGCTTTTAATTCTGACAGGTGAAAAACAGAAAACTGATCAGCTTAGGTACACCTCATGTGCTTTATTCAGTGTTAAGTGCTCATAATGTGAGTTTGAATGCCATTTCACATGATATTCATTGCCATACTACTGAAAGCAGCAGCAGATAGTTCACCTCAGATCTGGAAAATAAAATAAACTGTCTGAAATTGAATTTTAGAGCTGTGACTCAGTGAAAACCAACACACATCAGTGATTCAGCATCTACATTCAATAATGTTAAAGAGGGATAATTTGTATTCATTAGGTTATAAACCTTAACATTAGGCTGGAGTGCAGTGAGTGCACTATACTGTGCTTCTGAATGGCTGCATTTACATTTCTGTCGTGTTTCGTAACGCACATGTTCAAAGCAGAATATCTGACTTCAGCGCTGTTTTTAATAATAATAATAATAATAATAATTCATTTTATTTATAAATGGCGCCTTTCTGGACACCCAAGGTCGCCTTACAGTAAGCATCATCAGTCATGCTAAACAACTTAAACATTACTAAAAACAATCAATGACCAAACAAGTTAAAACGCAATTTTTTCAGATAAACAAGAATGTTTACTGAGCATGTTTCTGCAAAATTTGCAAACATATTATGGTATTTTTTTGCTTTAGAAGAGTCAAACCTTACATACAGAAATAGGGCCCTATCATACACCCGGCGCAGTGTGGCGCAAGGCGTGGCGCAGTAGTCTTTTGGTAGTTTCAGCTTGGCGCAAGAGTTGTTTTGAGGCGTTGTGCTACGTTGTTTAAATAGCAAATGCATTAGCACTCATTTGTGCGCTCATAGGCGTTCTGGTCTAAAAAGGAGGCGTTCTGAGGCGGACCGCTGGCGCGTTGCTATTTTGAGAAACTATAATAGATTTTTCATTAGACCAAAACTAACCCGGTCTAAACTCCAGCGCAGAGTTGCGCCTCGCTTACACACTGCTTAATACACACAAGAGAGCAATAGGCAAATATCTTTACATATGAAAAAATGTAAATATTAAGGATATATATAGTATATAATAAGAATAGATATAGGATATAAATATAAAGGATTAAAATATTACAAAACATTATTTTCTAGCCCACATAAATATGAAAAATCACTGCTTTTATGTCTTCTTCATCTCGGGAGGCTTTTTCAGTTCATTCATAACAATTTGCTTTTGTATAATGTTATTATTATTAGCAGTATTATTTATTATATCCATATTTATATTTGTTTTATTAAAAACAAGCTTAGATTTGTCCACCTGTCAGGTTTTAGACCATATGGGGCACAGCATGTGTTTTAGGATATAACTCAGGTTTTTGAGCACATTTTGTTATTATTATTAATTTATTCGTTTGCTGGAAATTAGAACTGAATTTAGAAATAGTTTTGAAACGAATATTTGCGCTTAACAAACAAAAGTATTTATTTATAGACTAATTGATGTCTGTGTGTAAAGGTTTCCCTATCCAAGAGTGAAAGTGAAAGTGATCCATTATCTCTCATTCTCACGCAGTAGATGCTCTGTTTAACAGTTTTCTGTTAAAACACTGTTAACTGTTTGCTTGTGAAATGCTCATTTTTTCCACTTAGACTTACTTTACGTCCTGTAAATAGCGAATGCGCTCTTGGCGTGACGCAGCTGGCTCTTAAAGGGAATGGGAGATGAGACTCTGATTGGTTTATTCTCAAAACACACCTATAACTCATTAAGAAAATAAACTCAACCCTTTTAGACCCTGCGCCGAAGCGCAAGGCAGATTTCTCATCCTTAAATTAGCAAAAACGCGTCCTGACACGCCCCGAAAGCGTTTGCGCCTTGCGCATGGACCGTCAAAATAGAGCCCATAAAGTTATAAAGCAGTTATAAAAACTTGAATGACTCGAGTCGGTCAATAAATTAAGTCTGCCTCATGCTGCAAATGTCATGTTACAGTACATGTGTTTACTCATTTTTATGTGAGACCGCTTTGCAGAGGATCGAATGCAGACTGCTTGAATGAAGGCGGGACATGAAGCAATATTCATTTTATCTGGATTCATGTTTTTTCATAGACGTTAAAGGCCAAAATTAAAATCAAATTTTGATTAATTGCACAGCCCTACCGTAGCAGTTCTTACTGTTTTATTTTTAAGTTTTAATCCAGCCAAACTGAAAGAAGTAAGGCTTTCTCCTAAAACATAATAGGAAATCCTTTGAAAAATGTCTGTGCTCTGTGTAACAGCACTTGGGAAATATTTCTTGGGACATTTTTTCTTCAACTATATATATAATGATCGTTTGCAGGATCATCGCAATGTGTGGAGATTATTATATCGGAGGCCGTCGTTTCTCCTCTCTGTCGGATCTGATTGGTTATTACAGCTACGTGTCCTGCCTGCTGAAAGGAGAGAAGCTGATATCACCTGTCGCCCCTCCAGAGGTACATACACCATGCTAACTTTAATTTATTTGCATAAATTTTTAACAACAACAAAAAGATTAACGATGCAAATTGCAGATCTTAAATAATTATTTTGTTCTGCAAGCCTGTTGAAGACCGCAGGAGGGTGCGAGCCATTCTCCCGTACACCAAAGTGCCTGAAACTGATGAGATCAGGTGAGTAGATTACAATATATAAGAAATAGCTATAAATTATATTATATATAATTATATACAAGTAAAGTCGTGTATTTATTCAGCTTGCACTGGTGTTTATGCTTAAAAGAGTAGCATTGAAGACCGGAGTGAAGATGCTGAGTAAATTTAGCTTTCATTCTCTGGAATATATTGCATTTGACATTATATATTGTATATTACACAGATATTTTAGATTTGACTAATGTTTTGGAATATGACTTTTAGGGATGCACTGAATTTTCCCCCACACAACATTATTGGCCTAATTAAAAAAAAAATATATATATATATATATATATATTTTTTTGTATATTTTGTATATCACACATGCTCACCGGAAAAACTAAATGTGATCAATTATCACAACAGCAGGATATTCTTTATGTACTGCTGCCATGGTAACATTGGTAACATGTATAACTTAAATTATTGGGTTAGTATGAAGTATTACAAAATTACTTTGAAAATATAAAATAGTATTAATAATAATAATAATAATAACAATAATAATAATAAAATATAAAATAATTCGTGCTTGGCAAAAATTAATTGTGTTATATTAATATATATATATATATATATATATATATATATATATATATATATATATATATTGAAGTCAGTTTTTTTTAAATATTTCTTTATTTTTAAATATTTAAAATATAAAAAATTTAATATTTTTTCTTCTGGGGAAAATCTTATTTGTTTTATTTCGGCTAGAATAAAAGCAGTTTTTAATTTTTTTTAAACATTTTAAGAACAATATTATTAGCCCCTTTAAGCTGTATATTTCTTTCGAAAGTCTACATAACAAACTATTGTTATACAATAACTTGCCTAACTACCCTAACCTGCCTAGTTAACCTAATTACCCTAGTTAATCCATTAAATGTCACTTTAAGCTGTATAGAAGTGTCTTTAAAAATGTCTAGTAAAATATTATTTACTGTCATCATGGCAAAGATAAAATAAATCAGTTATTAGAGATGAATTATTAAAACTATTATGATTAGAAATGTGTTTACAAAATCTTCCCTCTGTTAAACAGAAATTGGGGAAAAAAAATTATTCAGGGGGGGCGAATAATTCTGACTTCAACTGTGTGTGTGTGTGCTTTTTAACTATCACATCACATCACATCACCTATGCACGCGAGTGATTATCCTGTCGTTCGGTATTTACATTCTTTTTTGCTGTTTTGCTCGCGCAAACACAATTATTTTTGTCAGTCGTGCTGCTTCTCAATTCTAAAATCACTTTTGCACGAATTTTGGGCCATTCTTATTGTCGAACCCTACTTTTAAGAAAACTACACTTTGTCGCAGATTTCCAACCAGCCAAAGTGGCCAGTGGAGGTGTCTGTCTAACCCACCAGAGCTGAAATTTACCCACTTTTGGCGGGTTGGCGGGTGTTAATGTAAAGCCTATATTTATATATTATACCTATATTACATTATATATATACATTATATATTATATTACTATGCATATATATTTTATTTTGTTGTATTTCTTTTTCATAGATAAAAATAGATACATAGATTTTATGTTGAATAGATTTTATATATAATTTGCATCAGTTACATATATATGTTATCTAAATATTAAAAACATTTTCTCAAATATATTAGGCATGCATGTGTGTGTTTAGATATACAAAAAAATCTACACAGTAAACGCACGTATATTGATGCAGTTTAATCTTTTGCTTAGAAAAAAATATATATATATATAAAAAAAATATATATATATATATATAAAAAAAAAAAAAAATATATATATATATATATATATATATATATATATATATATATATATATATATATATATATATATATACATACATATATATATTGCAAGGCATTTTTGCTCAAGTCTAATAAGAATATTTAGTTTCGGCTCAGAATTTTCATTTCGGTGCATCCTTAATTTCTATATTCAAAATAATCAAATTTGGTGAGCATGTAAGACTTGGCAAATACAGACACAAACCTCAGAAGTCAGTTGGATAAAAGTTCCCATAACTGGAGATCTTGTGCTCTCAGTTTCTTCAAAGGCGACACATTTATAGTTCATAATGAACTGGAGGACGGCTGGCTGTGGGTGACCAATGTCCGGACAGATGAGCAGGGTCTCATAGTGGAGGATCTGGTGAAGGAGGTGGTGAGTAGAAACACTGTTTACATTAAATTGATGGCAAAATTATTAGTCCTCCTGTGAAATTTGTAATTATTTTTTTAATATTTTCCAAGTGCTGTTAAACAGAGCATGGGCAAATCTCCCAGTTTTTCCTGTTAAATTGTTCTTATGGAGAAAGATATATATTTTAATATGTTTTTTTTATTGCCAAGGTAATGTTTTATCGCCATATGAAATCATTTTATCAAGCTACAGAACAATCCACTGTTTTCTAATGACTTGCCTAATTAACAAACATTACCTGGTTAACCTAGTTAAGCCTTTAAATGTCACTTTAGGCTGAATCAGTTATTAGAAATAAGTAATTAAAGCTGTTGTGTTGAAATGTATTGAAAAATCTTTTCAATAAAATATCAAATGTATGTATGTAGATTTATAACAGGGTGTCTCTGTTAACTCTTTAACAGGGGCGTGAAGAAGATCCACATGAGGGGAAAGCGTAAGTGTGATTCTTAGTTGAGTAGAAATGCAATTGTATATTGCCATATTTTCCTGAAAATAGGTTGGATGGATTCAAAAAACAGAAAATTTGCATTGATTTATAAGTCACTATTATGTAAAATTGGCTACCTGTAGCTCTAAATAAAACAAAATAGCTTCTTTTAGCTTTTCTAATTCCACAACAAATCCTATGTTTAACGGTGTGTAGGACAGAGCAATAAATAAAAGAATAACACTTGATTTATGATTAAAAATTGTAAAATATTAAATAAATATAATAAAATAGCATAAAATATTATAAATAATAATAATAATAAACAATAGTTTATAGAAACAAAAGTTTATAAAAGTAATAAACAATAATAAAAATTATCAAATAATAAATAATTATAATAAAATAGAATAAAATATTACATTAACATTGAAATATTAAGTTTATTAAAACAAATATAAAAATTAATAATACATAGTTATAATTAAATTTTAAATGAATAATTATAATAATAAAATAAAGTTATACAAAATAATAATAATAAATTAAATAAATATAAATACACATTAGTTTATTGAAACAATAGTTTATAAACATAATAAACAATCATAAAAATATAAAATAATTATTTATAATTAAATAGAATAAAATATGAAAACATTAACATTAAAATATTAAAGGATTATTAAAACAAATATAAAAATATTAATGAATAAAACATTGATTATACAAACATTTATTAACAATTATACAAAAGAACATTAATAAATAATAATAAACAATAGTTCATAGAAACAGTGGCTAATAAAAGTAATCAATAATATTAATACAAAGTCATAATAAAAATTGTACTTATTAATAATAATAATTAATAGAATAAATAACAATAAAGTAATAAACAATAAAAATAAAATAAGCCCATAATAAAATTAAAACTCTAAAACAAACAGATTATTTAAAATAAATGTGCTTTTAAAAGTGTGTCAGTCAAAAATCAAACAAATGGATTGATTTAAACATGTTTTGCTTGCTTGACATGAATTTATCATTATCAAAATTCCTTATGAATTTAGTAAAACAACAGCTTATATTCTGATGGATGTGTCATATAATATTAATGCACCATCTTTCATAATTGTTTTAGCTGGTTTCATGGCAAGATCAGCAAGCAAGAGGCTTACAACCTGCTGATGACAGGTCTGTCAGAATGAAACATGTACAGTATAGTAATAAACAGAGCAGCTGTTGTTCCTGATAAACACCTTTAAATCTCTCTCTCCAGTCGGGCAGGTGGGCAGTTTTTTGGTGCGGCCGTCGGACAGCACACCTGGAGATTATTCACTGTACTTCCGCACCACCGAGACCATCCAGCGCTTCAAAATCAGCCCCACACCCAGCAACCAGTTCATGATGGGCGGACGCTACTACAACAGGTAAAGACCAGTTCTGCAGGGTTTGGAAAGCTGTTTTGTGTTTTGGATGTGATGTTTCGTGTGGTATGTTTTTCTTTATATTAATGTTTGTGACTGTAAAATGTCGGCAAAGTTCAGAGATTATAGTGCAGGATAAACGGAGTTATTCGATATGTTGCCGTCCACCTATTTTGATGTGCATTTTTGGAGATGAAAAAACAAATGCCCACATGAACATGAGTAGGACGAATTTTATTTTTAGTTTAATTTGCATCTTTTGATGGATACATAAGTAGCGTATGGCTATCTGAGTAGAGTCATCTGATCAATCAGAATAGATTTATCTGACCAATCAGAGTTGAGTAGAGTCATCTGACCAATCAGAGCCGAGTACAGTCATCTGACCAATCAGAATAGATTAATCTGACGAATCAGAGTTAAGTAGAATCATATGACCAATCAGAGTTGAGTAGAGTCATCTGACCAATCAGAACTGAGTAGAGTCATCTGACCAGAGTTAAGTAGAGTCATATGACCAATCAGAGTTGAGTAGAATCATCAGACCAATCAGAACTGAGTAAAGTCTTCTGACCAATCACACCCAAGTAAAGTCATCTGACCAATCAGAGTTGAATAATCTGATCAATCAGAGTTGAGTACAGTCATCTCACCTATCAGAATAGATTAATCTGATCAATCAGAGTTGAGTAGAGTCATCTGACCAATCAGAACTGAGTAAAGTCTTCTGACTAATCACGGCCAAGTAGAGTCATCTGATTAATCAGAATAGATTAATCTGACCAATCAAAGTTGAGTAGAGTCATCTGACCAATCAGAACTGTGTAGAGTCATCTGACCAATGAGAACTGAGTAAAGTCTTCTGACCAATCACACCCGAGTAGTCATCTGACCAATCAGAATAAATTAATTTGATTAATCAGAGTTAAGTAGAGTCATCTGACCAATCAGAGCCGGGTATAGTCATCTGACCAGAGTTAAATAGAGTCATATGATCAATCAGAGTTGAGTAGAGTCATCTGACCAATCACAGCCAAGTAGAGTCATCTGACCAATCAGAATAGATTAATCTGACTAATCAGAACTGAGTAGAGTCATCTGACCAATCACAGCCAAGTAGAGTCATCTGACCAATCAGAATAGATTAATCTGACTAATCAGAACTAAGTAGAGTCATCTGACCAATCACAGCCAAGTAGAGTCATCTGACCAATCAGAATAGATTAATCTGACGAATCAGACACAAGTAGAGTCATCTGACCAATCAGAGTTGAGTAGTCATCTGACCAATCAGATCTGAGTAAAGTCATCTGACCAATTACAGCCAAGTAGAGTCATCTGACCAATCAGAATAGATTAATCTGACTAATCAGAACTGAGTAGAGTCATCTGACCAATCACAGCCAAGTAGAGTCATCTGACCAATCAGAATAGATTAATCTGACGAATCAGACACAAGTATAGTCATCTGACCAATCAGAGTTGAGTAGTCATCTGACCAATCAGATCTGAGTAAAGTCATCTGACCAATTACAGCCAAGTAGAGTCATCTGACCAATCAGAATAGATTAATCTGACTAATCAGAACTGAGTAGAGTCATCTGACCAATCACAGCCAAGTAGAGTCATCTGACCAATCAGAATAGATTAATCTGACGAATCAGACACAAGTATAGTCATCTGACCAATCAGAGTTGAGTAGTCATCTGACCAATCAGATCTGAGTAAAGTCATCTGACCAATTACAGCCAAGTAGAGTCATCTGACCAATTAGAATAGATTAATCTGACTAATCAGAGTTGAGTAGAGTCATCTGACACATCAGAACCGAGTAGAGTCATTTGACCAATCACAGCCAAGTAAAGTCATCTGACCAATCAGAGTCATCTGACCAATCAGAGTAGTCATCTGACCAATCACAGCCAAATAGAGTCATCTGACCAATCAGAGTAGTCACCTGACCAAAAAGTGCTGAGTAGATTTTTCTGACCAGTCAGAACCCAGTAAATTCAAAACTGAATTCAATCAAAACTGATTAGAGTCATCTGATCATCAGAGTTGAGGTGAGTCATCTAACCAATCACAGATACGTCATCTGTCTAATCAAAGTAGAGTCTCAAATCAGAGGAGTATCTGACCAATCAGAGTTGAGTAGAGTCATCTGACCAATCACAGCCGAGTAGGGTCATCTGACCAATCAGAGTAGAGTCATCTGACCAATCAGAGTAGAGTTATCTGACCAATCAGCTGATACTGCATTCTAAGAGAGTAGCACAATCAAATTAGTGTGTGTACATTAATATGTGTTAACTTTGGGAATGCATGAGTTTAATGAAACTTGTTTGTTGTTTTCTTCTTTTGGTTTGCACAGTATTGATGACATCATTGAACACTACAGGAGGGAGCAGATCGTCGAGGGCCACAGTCTTAAAGATGCTCTATCTGTGCAGGTATGTACAAACAAACTCCTGGAAAGTGCTGTTTCTTCATTATACTGACATTATTGTGCGTCTAATCCTAAATGTGTGATATCTCAGCACCAGGAGCAGGTGCTCACTGACATCGTTGAAGGAAAAGAAATCTACAACACCATCCGCCGAAAAACCAAAGATGCTTTCTATAAGAACATTGTGAAGAAAGGTTACATCCTGTTCAATAAAGGTATTGCAGTGTTTCGTTTCATGTTTCAACTGTCTGTCCCTCTTTTTGAAGATAGACCTGAAAAAGTACATTTATTTGTAAACCTAAATCTAGGTTTACAAATAAATGAAAAATACAAATATGGACAGTGTTATAGACTGATGCAATGAGCAAACAATAAACATAAAATTGTTGTAGTTTTCAAATAAACCATTCACTTTAGTTAATCAAATCAGTATTGTATTTATTAAATCATTTTTAAATGGTCAGTTGTGTTTAAAGAAAAGTTATGCTGAATAACTAAATGGTAACTTTATTTTGGTGTTGCCAGAGAAAATTTTGGCAGGGCATGTAAAAAACTGAACCACTGGCCTGAAGCAAGCTAATAGGACTTTTAATTTGCCATTAACCCGGGTTCATTGTTTTCGGTGAATTGTATGCCAATGCAAAATCGGCGCGTTTAAGGTCAGTTTTCTTTAGAAATCAGCGATTTCCACTGGCTGAGTGATATCTGATATAAAGTGGGTCTCAGATTGTACAAGAAGCACTGCATTAAATTACATTTCCCCCCGCCATGTCTTTATAATATGAGCATTTATTTTACTCTAGTATATTCAATGGAGCTTCTGCGCTACCCTGCCAATTCTGACGGGCACGTGCAGCTTTTTGTCTCGTTTTACACTTGAGCAACTAAATAAATACCCAAATTTGTTTAACTGATTGTATTTTAATTACATTAAAACATCAATGCTGTAAAAGGAACCGTATAAAATGGAAAAAAACTCACAATAACAGGTCACAGGAAGTTTATCAGTATGGGAACAGCACTAGCTTGGCATCTACTACATTGGGCCAGTAGAAAAAATCTACTGTTATGTTTACATAAAACTTCACAATGATGCCATCGCATAGGCTTTAAGTGCTTAATTTGAACTGCTTGTTTATATATCGAGTCAATAGGCTTCAATGTTGTTAAAGAGGCTTGTGACCAAGATGTTATGCAATACGTCAAGTGAGAGGATATCATTGTGTGCATGTATAATTTTTTGCAGTATGATGTGTTAAAAACCTTCTAATAAAAGGAAAACAGTTTAGACTTGGCTTAACTTTCTCACTCATATTTTTAACATGATTATTAAATTTTTAATTAATGTCTATTGTTATGCCATGATAAATTAATTCACTTTTTTAATAACTTTTTTTAATCTGCACCTCAAATGAATCCCGTACAGGCCTGTTTCTTATAAAGAAGCACATTCAATGTCAAATGAGACAGCTCAAGCCATCTTGAAATGCGTTGTAAAGCCTGGGTCAGTTGCTCACATGCCTGGCGCAGTGTTTTAGCTGACACATAGATGACTATGAATAAAGCAGCGTTTCACCCAACAAGTCAAAGAGACCAAATGACCACTTCTGGATTACCTTCTGCCAAATATCAACAGTAAAAACTGAATTTGCTGCGGTAGAAGAAGCTGCGTGAATCTTTTCTTTATTTAATAAATGACTTGCGCCTCAGAATTCAAATGCCGACATGCAATGAATACGTGGTTGGGGCGTGAGTAACGGAGCACAGACGCTTATGCCAGTTCTGGAGATCATTGATGATATAATATAATATAATATAATATAATATAATATAATATAATATAATATAATATAATATAATATAATAACACTAATACTGAAAAGGTTCAGGTGTTTTAGAATGACCAAATCAACTGATCAATTGAGATGTTTTACAGTGTGCTCAGCCTGCTGGTTTGTCCATTCACACATTTTTATCATTACATGATCTCTAATAACAATAATCACATGACTTTTTTTAATAACTGGAGGCTGGAATTTTTTCCGTAAAAGTGTTTCGATTGTAGTTTATGCGCATTTTTTCCATTAACCCGTTCGTTTTTTAACCTCATGTCCAAAATGCGCATAAAAATAGGTGGATGGAAACGTAGCTAGTGTAATGATTCTTTAACTGCTGTTGTCGGTTCCAATAGCCTAGTGGTTAACTGCGCTGACATATAGCACCCTGGTGCTCACGGCGACCCGAGTTCGATTCCCGGCTCGAGGTCCTTTGCCGACCCTTCCCCTCTCTCTGATCCCAACTATTTTCTGCACTATTCTATCCATTTAAGGTTAAAAAACCCAAAACAAATAATTGTAAAATTGTGCATCAGAAAGAAAGAAAGATTCATTTATTTAAAATAATTTTTATTTTAATTTTGTAATAATATATGATATCTGAGTAACATAAAATTTTAAAACAATACATAAATAAGTAAAATTCAAAATACGTGAAAATAATACATTTATATACAAATATAAACAAATAAATTGCAATAAATAACACTTATTCTACTTATATTCTTACTCTGTATTATTCTTCTGATGTTCTACTTAGTGAGACACCTTGTAAACATTCAATTTACAAAACATCAGAGCGATATTATTACTGATATTATTTTTCCAATATGATTTCTCTGTTTTGTTTTTAAAGGAAAAGGAAAAAGATGGAAAAATCTGTATTTTATCCTGGAGGGAAACGATTCGCAGCTCATCTACTTTGAGAGTGAGAAACGAGCCACGAAACCAAAGGGTTTGATCGACCTGAGTGTGTGTTCTGTGTACGAGGTCCATGACAGCATGTTTGGCAGGTGTGTGTGTGTGTGTTTTAGTTTCTGATTTTGTGCATCTACAGTTGAAGTCAGAATTATTAGCCTGAATTATTAGCCCCATGTATATTTTTCCCCTAATTTCTGTTTAGCAGAAAAGAAGATTTTTCTCAACACATTTCCACACTTAAAGGGCACCTATGGTGAAAATTCTACTTTTCGAGCTGTTTGGACAGACATTTGTGTAGGTATAGTTTACAGACCGTCATATTGTGTGAAATAAACACACCCAGTCGTTGTTTTTTCAATTTATCAACATAAAAACAGTGGACCAATTGGAGCGGTTTTCAAACCGACCACAACTTGACAGAGAAGTGCAGTCCCCCCACCCATCAATATTGATTGACAGCTCCGTATTAACATGTCTTGGTAGTCACGTGTATAATCATATCAACAAAACAGGACAAGCGCAAAGCAACCGGGAATAAAAGGTCTGTTCAGTTTGCTAGGATCATCAGTCATCATCAAATGTGATCAAGAGTAAGCTTCACATGTTTAAAATGTTTTAGAGCAGAGCATGTGTGTAATAAATTACAGCGATTTACTTAAACTTTACTTTATCAGCACAGCCGCGCGTCAAAACAATTATAAACGCTTCAATCCCAGTTTGTGGATGTTAAATCAGGTTTATTTTGTACATTAACATAACAGATACTCATACAGCAGTGGAGATTAACCTGTATCCTGTCACATATGCGTGCAAAAAGAGCGCAAACCTAAACGAGCGTGTTGTTATGTGTGTGTGTATCTGTGTGTGCGCGCGTGAACTTTGTAACGACATTGTGTGTGACTCTTCCTTGCAACTTAACACAATAAATGCATCAAATACTCATTGGGAAAGTTCTTACTGTAGTATTTCTCACCATCGCTAGGTGAGATCTGCTTCCTTTAAGTCTGTCTGTTGTCTGACGCAGCCGAGGGAGGAGATGAATGCACGTAGAAACGGTGGGCGGGGAGGACTAGCCTTAAAGGTGCAGTACAACAAAACCGCCACCTGGTGCAAAAACGGTATAGAATCTTATAAAAGGTATAATAAAAACCTGATGGGTGTTTTGAGCTGAAACTTTACAGACATATTCTATATTTAATCTGAAAAAAGGTGTAACCTAGGTGCTCTTTAATAGTTTTAATAACTCATTTCTAATAACTGATTTCTTTTCTCTTCGCTATGATGACAACACATATTAGACTAGATATTCTTTAAGACACTAGTATTCAGCTTAAAGTGACATTTAAAGGCTTCACTAGGGTAATTAGGGTAAAGTTAGGGTAATTAGGCAAGTCATTGTATAACAGTGGTTTGTTCTGGAGACAATCCAAAACTGGCATAGTAGCGCAGTAGGAAGTGCTGTCGCTTCACAGCAAGAAGGTAGCTGGTTCGAACCTCGGCTCAGATGGTGTTTATGTGAGGAGTTTGCATGTTCTCCCTGCGTTCACGTGGGTTTTCTCCGGGTGCTCCGGTTTCCCCTACAGTCCAAAGACATGCGGTACAGGTGAATTGGGTAGGCTAAATTGTGTGGGTGGATGTTTCCAAGAGATGGGTTGCGGCTGGAAGGGCATCCGCTGCGTAAAAACCTGCTGGATAAGTTGGCGGTTCATTCCGCTGTGGCGACCCGGGATTAATAAAGGGACTAAGCCGACAAGAAAATGAATGAATGAATGACAATTCAAAACTAATATTGCTTAAGTGGGCTAATAATATTACCTTAACATGGGTATAAAACAATTAAAAACTGCTTGTATTCTAGCCAAAATAAAAAAAATTAAAAAAAATATAGGTAATACTGTGAAAAATTCCTGAAACTCTGTTCAACATCATTTGGGAAATATTTGATAAAGAAAACAAAATACACAGGAGGGCGAAGGATTTTGACTTCAACTGTAGCAACTTTAGTTTCATGTGACCCACATTTGGGATTTATGTTTTTATTTTGGGGTTTCTTTGCAGGCCAAACTGTTTCCAGATAGTTGTGCAGCACTTTAGCGAGGAGCAGTGTATTTTTTATTTTGCAGGAGAGACGCCGGAACAAGCTGAGGTACCAGTGTTTTTTTAAGATATCACTTTAATTAAAAGTGAGAGTAAAGACATTTGCAGTGTTTTTCTTTTGATCTGTAGGTGCATTATATAATCGACCACCAACGTGTGATCCACTGTTAATCCTCTCTCACTATAAAACACATTTTATGAAGGTGAAATGTTAAAAACCAATAGTAAAGACAGGTGTTTATACTCCGAGCACTTTGATGGATGTTTTTATAAATGTTTCACCAGGAAGAATTTAATTTAATCTGAATTATTTATCTGAATTAAACATTGTAAATTGAACAAAAAAATTATTCAAATATAAAATTATTTAAATTTAAAAATATATCTGATATCTGAAGTATCGATGCTGAAAATTCAGCTTTAAATCACGAATAAATTCTAAATTAAAATGTCAAATTTTATGTGTAATAAGAAATAATTATTTGAAATTTGTTCAGACATTATGTTTGAATATTTTTTACAATATGTTTTAGTTTTTTATTTAATTGGATTCTATATTAATAAAAACATTAATTATTTTAAAGTCACATTACAAACTAAAACTAAATAAAGTTACATTACTACAATCTAAAAATAAAAACTAATTCAAACATCATTAAAGGGGAGCTATTGCAAAAAAATCACTTGTATAAGGGGTCTAAACACAGTTGTGTGGCAGCAGTGTGTGAATATATCCAGAATCTAATGGCAAAAACGTATTTATTTTTTTAATCATAAAAGTACTGCAGAAACACTTTAATTGACATTCTCCCTTTGTACGTGTCATCAGAGGGGGAAGCCTCACCCACTAGTGACAATCTCTCCCTCATTAGCATAGGAAGTTAGTCTTGTTTTTGAATCTGCCACTATGCTGACACACAGGCATTTGTAGCTCCGTGCATGGTTTGGATAGCCTAGTGTGAGTGCGCCCTAAAGTAGCACTGATGTGGTCCAGCAGCAATTAAGAAAATTTAATAATGATTAAATGGCACGCTGTAAATATGATTTCTGACACCTTTTTGACTGTGTAGGACTGGATGAAATGTCTGCAAACCTTCTGTAATAACCTTAGGAAGCCCGTCCAGCCATGTTCAAACAAACGCCTGCGTCAGGTAAACTCATTTTCTACTCATTTTTCTTCAAAAGTGTTACTCTAGGCTAGTTTTTAACAGCAGATGAAGCCCTAGGCAGTTTTTTTTACAGCAGACGGCGCTCTAGGCTAGTTTTTAATAGCAGATAGCGCCCTAGGCAATTTATTTCTTTTTTTTTTTTTACAGCAGACAGCGCTCTAGGCTAGTTTTTAGCAGCAGACATCGCTTTAGGATAGTTTTTAACAGCAGAAAGTACCCTAGGCAATTTTTTTTTTCAGCAGGTGAAACTTTAGGCTAATTTTTAACAGCAGACAGTGCTCTAGGCTAGGTTTTAAACAACAGATGGCGCCATACCTGCCAACACTACCATTTTCCCGAGAGTCTTCCGTATTTCAGACCATCTCCCATATTGTTCTGTCTCCCGTAAATCTCCTGGAACAACACTCCATCATCTCAACAACATCTCCATACCCATACACTGCTCTTCACTTGCGCGCACCAAACACCCCATTTTCCCCCACTTTGCGCACACCGCCAGATTTACAGCAGATGGTACTTCAGGATAGTTTTTAACAACAGACAGCGCTGTAGGCTAGTTTTTAACAGAATATGGAACTCTAGGCTATTTGTAAACAGCAGATGGTGCTCTTGGCTAGGTTTTAAAGAGCAGATGGCGCTCTAGGCTAGTTTTTAAACAGCGGATGGTGCTCTAGGCTAGTTTTTAAACAGCGGATGGTGCTCTAGGCTAGTTTTTAAACAGCGGACAGCACTCTTGGCTAGTTTTTACATAACAGCAGATGGCGCTCTAGGCTAGTTTATAAACAGCAGACGGCAATCTAGCCTATTTTAAACAGCAGATGGCGCTCTAAGGTAGTTTTTAAACAGCAGATGGCGATCTAGGGTAGTTTTTAAACAGCAGCTGGTGCTCTAGGCTAGGTTTTAAAGAGTAGATAATGATCTAGGCTAGTTAGTAAACAGCAGCTGGTGATCTAGGCTAGTTTTTAAACAGCAGCTGGTGCTCTAGGCTAGGTTTTAAAGAGTAAATAATGATCTAGGCTAGTTTTTAAACAGCAGGTGGTGATCCAGGCTCGTTTTTAAACAGCAGACAACGCTCTAGGCTAGTTTTTAAACAGCAGAGGGTGCGCTAGGCTAGTTTTTTTAAACAGCAGATGTCACTCTAGGCTAGTTTTTAAACGACAGATGGTGATCTAGGCTATTTCAACAGCAAATGGCGATCTAGACTAGTTTTTTTTTAATACAGGAGTCTAGGCTATTTTTAAACAGCAGCTGGTGTTCTAGGCTAGTTTTTAATAGAGTCTCAAACAAACGCTTGTGTCAGGTAAACTCATTTTCTTTTCATCACGTTTATTATTACTTACTGCAGAGTTACTCCACCAGTGGTTCTCTTTACAGGTCAGCAGTTTATTTCTGAACGTCGAAGAGGCTCACAAACTTCCCAGTAAACACTTCACAAACGCCTACTGCAACATTTACCTAAACAGCATTCAGGTGGCAAAAACCCACCCGCGGGAAGGCCAGAACCCCGTGTGGACGGAGGAGTTCATTTTCGAGTAAACCAATGTTCATACCGATTTGATGTGAATTTTGTGATATTGTGCATCTTTATGAACGTGTCTATATACTCCTGCAGTGACCTGTCCAGCGAGATCAACAGGTTTGAGATCAGCCTGAGCAACAAGACCAAGAAAAGCAAAGAGAATGATATTTGTACGTTCTTTCATTTTGCTTCACTATTAAATAATCTGATTTTTATCAGCAGATGGCGCTCTAGGCTAGTTTTTAAACAGTAGACAGTGCACTGGGCTAGTTTTTAACAGCAGATAGTGCTTTAGGCTAGTTTTTACCAGCAGATGGCGCTTTAGGCTAGTTTTTAAACAGTAGACGGTGCTCTAGGCTAGTTTTTAACAGCAGATGGCGCTCTAGGATAGTTTTTAACAGCAGATGGTGCTCTAGGCTAGTTTTTAACAGCAGACGGCACTCTAGGCTAGTTTTTAAATAGTAGATGGTGCTCTAGGCTAATTTTCAACAACAGATGGCGCTCTAGGCTAGTTTTTAAACAGTAGATGGTGCTCTAGGCTAGTTTTTAACAGCAGATAACGTTCTAGGTTGATTTTTAACAGCAGATGGAGCTCTAGGCTAGTTTTTAACAGCAGATGATGCTCTAGGCTTGTTTTTAACAGCAGATGATGCTCTATGCTTGTTTTTAACAGCAGATGACGCTCTAGGCTTGTTTTTAAACAGTATATGAGGCTCTATGCTAGTTTTTAACAGCAGATGGCACTCTAGGCTAGTTTTTAAACAGTAGATGGTGCTCTTGGCTATTTTTTAACAACATATGGCGCTCTAAGCTAGTTTTTAAACAGTAGATGGTGCTCTTGGCTAGTTTTTAACAGCAGATGGCACTCTAGGCTAGTTTTTAAACAGTAGATGGTGCTCTTGGCTATTTTTTAACTGCAGATGGCGATCTAAGCTAGTTTTTAAACAGTAGATGGTGCTCTTGGCTATTTTTTAACAACATATGGCGCTCTAGGCTAGTTTTTAAACAGTAGATGGTGCTCTTGGCTAGTTTTTAACAGCAGATGGCACTCTAGGCTAGTTTTTAAACAGTAGATGGTGCTCTTGGCTAGTTTTTAACAGCAGAGGGCGTTCTAGGCTAGTTTTTAAACAGTAGACGGTGCTGTAGGTTAGTTTTTAACAGCAGATGGCACCCTAGGTTGATTTTTAACAGCAGATGGTGCTCTAGGCTAGTTTTTAACAGCAGATGGCGCTCTAGGTTGATTTTTAACAGCAGATGGTGCTCTAGGCTAGATTTTAAACAGCAGATGGAACTGTAGGCTAGTTTTTAACAGCAAATGGCGCTATTGGTTGATTTTTAACAGCAGATGGTGCTCTAGGCTAGTTTTTAAACAGTAGACCGTGCTGTAGGTTAGTTTTTAACAGCAGATGGCACTCTAGGTTGATTTTTAACAGCAGATGGTGCTCTAAGCTAGTTTTTAACAGCAAATGGCACTCTAGGTTGATTTTTAACAGCAGATTGTGCTCTAGGCTAGTTTTTCACTGCAGATGGCGCTATAGGTTTATGTTTAACAGCAGATGGCACTCTAGGCTAGTTTTTAAACAGCAGATGGTGCTCTAGGTTACCGTTTAAAAACACATGGCGCTCTAGGCTAGTTTGTAACAGCACATTTCATTCTAGGCTAGTTTTGAAACAGCAGATGATGCTCTAGGCTAGTTTTGAAACGGCAGATGATGCTCTAGGCTAGTTTTGAAACGGCAGATGGGGATCTTGGCTAATTTTTAAGCAACAGACGGTGCTCTAGGCTTGTTTCGAAACAACAGATAGCGCTCTAGGCTAGGTTTTAAACAGCAGATTGAGCTTTAAGCTTGTGTTTAACAGCATACGGCACTATAGGCTAGTGTGATACAGCAGCGCTTTTCTAGCGACACATTTCTGCTGGCACATTGGGTATATAGCGAGCATTTTCAGTTCATTCATATAAAGCAGGCACATGTCCAAAATTCGGTCCTGGAGAGCCGGAGTCCTGCACAGTTTAGTTCCAACCCCTACCAGACACACCTGGGGTAACTAGTCAAACTCTTACTAGGCTTTCTAGAAACATCCTTGCAGGTGTGTTGAGGCAAGCTAGAGCTAAAATCTGCAGGACACCGGCCCTCCAGGACCGAGTTTGGACACCCCTGATATAGAGGATGAATGTAAATGCCCACGCAGTGCATTATGGGATTGAAAGTGGCACAGAAAAGCATTGAGAGCAGCCAAGGGCATCAGAAAAGTTGGCTTAATGCAAATGTCAAGCGGAAAATGCCAGTGGCAACCAATCGCTGTGAAAAGTAGACAAGGCGAGATGTTGATGTGGAAATGTACCATCAGTCAAGTGTTTCGAATGTCGTCTGCTCTTCTTCTTCAGTGTTCATGTGCTGCCCGCTGTGTCGTCTTCAGAGGGGTCAAATCATCGACGAGTGGTTTCCTCTGAGTTCCCACGTGCCCCTGAAGAACGTGATGCCCAGTTCACTGCGGCTGAGGGTTCGATACTCTGTCGAGAAGATCATGCCTGTCGAGGTGTACAGTGAGCTAAAAGAGGTGCAGTTTCTTTCAGGACATACATATTCGCCTATTTTACATGATTACTATAAAAAAAATCATTGAATGAATTAATAAGCTCCATTTAGCCATCGTTTACAGTGAATATATAACAACTTATGGGCACAACTCTAAACCACTGCTTCTTTGTTGAGTTTGGTGTTGTGTGATGGTGTGTTCTGTTTTGTGTTGGATTGTTGTGTTGTGTGTTTGTTGTGTTATATCATGTCATGTGTTGTGTAATGGTGTAGTGTGTGTGTTTGTGTGTGCTATCAGCTGGTGGTGCTGAGGGATCTGCATGTGGTCAGTGCTCTGGCTCATGTGTGTGGACAGAAGCGCACTCTTCTGGCCAGCGTTCTGCTCCGCATCTTCAGACACCAGAACCAGGAGGCGCAGCTGCTCCGAGAACTCAACGACCGCGAGATCTGTGCTGAAGGTGCATTTTCTGATCCTTTCAGTTCATCACATACACACTGTATCTCAACTAGTGGGTTGCAAAAACATTAACAAAGAGTTACGCCCCATTCACACGGGGCGTCAGCGTCAACGCTTCCCATTCACTTTGAATGGGTGACTTCAGGCGTTGCCGAACTGCATTGTGGATCCATCTGCGCCGATTCAGAGGCGTTGCTCGCTGCAGAAGTTGGGACTAGATCAACTTTTCAAGCGCCGATGGAAGCGTCAGCCTATCAGATCGCTGTATGCAAATACACCAGATAGACAGTGGCCTATTGCTGACTGAATTATATTGGCTGACGGCTTACTACATTGCTGACTGAATTATATTGGCTTTATATATAAATAAATATAGGAAATACTATGTTATTTTTTTCTTGCTTGTTAAACAGCACTTTGGAATGTTCGAAAGAGAAGGATGAGGGCTTTTAAGGGCCTACTCACACTATGCCATCTGTACCGTGCCCAGGCCCGTTTCCCGGATCGTTTGAAAAGTGTGAGTGCGCTGAATCGGGCTCAAGCACGGTTCACTTGGCCGGCCCTGGCTCGGTTGGAAGAGGTGTGCCTGAGCGCGGTTCTCTTGGGCTTCGGCGCGGTACGCTTGTGTGTGAGTGCAAAACGCGCCAAAGCCCGAAACTGAAAGCGATAGGTGACTTTTAAAGGGTTGTTTCATATGGATTTATTGATCATTCTTACTGTTCAGTGATCGCAAACTGCCGTAGTTTATTAAAGATGCAAACTCCTCACAGCATGACAGCTGCGCGCCTTCAGCAGACCTCCTCATTCCTGCAGCACGAGGGCTTTTTGACTGTTTATGAGCGCCAAAAGTGGCGGATCTGTCCGGTGAAATATCTGACTGCGTGTCACCGCATCCCTAAGGACTGTTTGGCGAAATATTTGACTGCATGTTACTGCATATCAAACGACTGAAACGATATAACTAGAGAAATCGCCACTGTGCTGCTGGGTGAGAGCGTATGGCAAGCCGTTTTAGCATTTAAACCTTGTTCTGACTCCATAAATATATTTAGAGATATCTCTAATTATATTTTGACTAGTCATAATTATAATTCCACTACTCAGAATGACAATTAGAGATATCTGCAATTACAATTGTACTATTACGAAATCAGATTGGAGATATCTGCAAATATATTATGACTGACTAGTCATATTCCTCCATTGACTTCCATTGAAAAATATTTGCAGATATCTCTAAATGAATTTTGACTATTCAAAAATCTAATTTAAGATATCTACAACTGTAATTTGACTATTAGTAAATTAATTAAAGATATCTTCAAATATATTTGTAAATATCTCTAAATATGACGAATTAAAGATATCTCCAAATGTATTATGACTAGTAAGAACTCAGTTAGAGATATCTCTAATTACAATTGTGACTAGTCAACTCATTTAGAGATATCTGCAAATATTTTTCAATGGAAGTCAATGGAGGAATATGACTAGTCATAATATATTTGCAGATATCTCCAATCTGATTTCGTACTAGTACAATTGTAATTGCAGATATCTCTAATTGTCATTCTGAGTAGTGGAATTATAATTATGACTAGTCAAAATATAATTAGAGATATCTCTAAATATATTTATGGAGTCAGAACAAAGATTTAAATGCTAAAAAGGCTTGCCATAGAGAGCGCTTCTCACTGAACAGAGCAGCAGCGATGACGTAAGCGTGCCGAGGCCCGATATGGTGCGAGCGCGGGCCGTCGGGGGAGACGGGAGGGGGGACAAGCGTGCTTTGGCCCGGTTCGAGGCAACTGTACCTAGTGTGAGTACGGCCTTAGTAGTCTTCAACTGTTTATATTGAACATAGAGTGGTGTTCAGTGAGCTGTGTGTTTTCCAGATGAAGCCACGACTCTGTTTCGCGCCACGACGCTGGCCAGCACTCTGATGGAGCAGTACATGAAGGCCACGGCCACACCGTTCGTCCACCACGCGCTCAAAGACTCCATCCTGAAGATCATGGACTCCAGGCAGTCCTGTGAGGTACAGCATTCACAGGTCCACACACTTCTCTTCCGCTGCTTTTTCTTTGTGAACGTTGTGCTGGAGTTTAACGACGGTCATTTTAATTATGAAGGCCATTATAAATGCTGCTTTTCTCTGTCTCATGTTTGGTGTGTAAATCAGCTGAATCCCTCAAAGCTGGAGAAGAACGAGGATGTGAATGTGAATCTGGCTCATCTGCTGAGCATCGTGTCGGAGCTGCTGGAGAAAATATTCATGGCTGCGGAAATCCTCCCTCCGTGAGTCTCTCAGCTCTATGAGATATACAAGTACTTTATGATGATGAAGCCTTGATTTGTCTCATTCACTCTTACATGCAGCCAAATTGCACCCCCCCTCGATCATTACGCAAACATCACACATCACACATTCCAGGGAAAGACAGTTCAGACAAGAGGTAGCTTTTAGAAAGAGAGGAAAGAAGATGCATTTGAGAAGAGAGAAATAAAAGAAAATAACCCCTAATTCATAACTGCCCTAATTCAAGGAAAGTGTGAGATCAAGGGGGAAAAAGGCCCTAGCAACCAAGCTTATAAACACATAGACATAGCATTGCAACAGGGGATGGGAACAGGGGATGTGGATGAGTCTGATGAAGGCGGCAGCCATCTGGTCCTGCCACTTAGGGAGCGCTGGTCACAGACCTGTCTACCCACACCGGTGGGTGAAAACACATAAAGGCATGTGATGCGGGGCTAGGTAGTGGTTGTCTATCTGAAGCTTTGTACATGTGGGTGTGTAAGCCTGTAGAGTCTCAACAGATAGTACATACTGTAATGTTTTAAATCATACTGTAGTTAAGTACTCTAATATATGTGTTGTGGTGATTCTATAGTTGCTATGGTAACGCAACAGCTCTAGTAATATAAACAAGTTAGTCTGTTTTGGTGATTCTATAGTTGCTATGGTAACACAACTATAGGATTTTAAAGAAATTAATCTGTCATGATAATTTTATAGTTGCTATAGTAACACAACAACTACAGTAAACAAATGAATCTGTTGTGGTGATTTTATAGTTGCTATGGTAACAACAACTACAGTAAACAATTGAATCTGTTGTGGTGATTTTATAGTTGCTATGGTAACACAACAACTACAGTAAACAAATGAATCTGTTGTGGTGATTTTATAGTTGCTATGGTAACAACAACTACAGTAAACAATTGAATCTGTTGTGGTGATTTTATAGTTGCTATGGTAACACAACAACTACAGTAAACAAATGAATCTGTTGTGGTGATTCTATAGTTGCTATGGTAACAACAACTAGAGTAATATAAACAAATTAATATGTTGAGGTGCTATGGTAACGCAACAATTTCAGTAATAGGAACAGTTATTCTGTTGTGTTGATTCTATAGTTGCTATGGTAACAAGAACTATAGTAAAATAAACAAATTAATTTGTTGTGGCAATTTTGTAGTTGCTATGGCAACACAACAACTATAGTAATATAAACAAATTAATCTGTTGTGGTGATTCTATAATTGCTATGGCAACACAACTATAGTAATATAAACAAATTAATATGTTGTGGCGATTCTGTTGTTGCTATGGTAACACAACTACTATAGTAATATAAACAAATGAATCTGTTGTGGTGATTCTATAGTTGCTATGGCAACACAACTATAGAAATATAAACAAATTAATCTGTTGTGGTGATTCTATAATTGCTATGGCAACACAACTATAGTAATATAAACAAATTATTATGTTGTGGCGATTCTGTTGTTGCTATGGTAACACAACTACTATAGTAATATAAACAAATGAATCTGTTGTGGTGATTCTATAGTTGCTATGGCAACACAACTATAGAAATATAAACAAATTATTATATGTTGTGGTGATTCTGTTGTTGCTATGGTAACACAACTACTACAGTAATATAAACAAATGAATCTGTTGTGGTGATTCTATAGTTGCTATGGCAACACAACTATAGAAATATAAACAAATTAATATGTTGTGGTGATTCTGTTGTTGCTATGGTAACACAACTAGTAAATTAATATAAACAAATGAATCTGTTGTGGTGATACTATAGTTCCTATAGTAACACACCTACTAAAGTTATGTAAACGAATTAATTTGCTGTGGTGATTATGTAGTTACTTTAGTAACTAGTAATATATAACAGTTGACCCAATACTGTATGTATAACTATAAGGGTATATTATGCTACTGAATACTAAAGTATACTACAGTATTTATGAGTTTATCAGTTGACTATATTTAATACTACAGTACACTGGAGTGTTCATTAACCGAAATTTAGATACTTCAAATATATAAAGTATGGTATGGTTAAAACACTAGATTTTACTATAATTTACTTTTTTTTCTTAATGGAAAATGTGGCAGAATGGGGTTTTATGCGTGTTGGTGGCTTTTTTTTGCAGGACTCTCAGGTTCATTTACGGGTGTTTACAAAAAGCTGTGGAGCAAAAATGGCCCAGAAACACCACCATGAGGACTAGAGTTGTAAGGTATGGTTCTATTGCAGGACATTGCGAATTTATTTGTATTTAGTTTCATTTAAAAATTAAATAATAAATTAAAATAAATAATAATATAATGTACAGTTGTACAGTTATTAGCCCTCCCATAAAATGTAATTTATTTTTTCCAATATTTTTCTTTAAAATATGTTTTTTTTTGTTTGCCTAAAATAAAAAATAATAATGATTAAATGTTTTTTTTTTTTTTTTAGCCAATAGGTCAATATTATTAGCCCCCTCAAGAAATATAATTTTTCAGTTGGCAACATAACTAACTAATGTTGTCCAGTGACTTGCCTAATTACACTAACTTGCCTAATTAACCTAGTTAAGTCTTTAAATGTCAATTTAAGCCGAATACTAGTATATTGCAAAATAATGAAATATTATGTGCTGTCATCATGACAAAGGCAAGGCAAGTTTATTTATATAGCACACAGTGGCAATAAAAAAGTGCTTTGCATAAACAGGAAAAAGAGACACGTATAAATAAAATACAATTAAATAAAACAAAAACAGATGAAAACAGCATAAAGACAGTTTTTCCATGTTCCCAAACACCGTTGTATCATATTTTCTCACTTTACTCTGGGACTTCCCCATTCTGGTGATCACTATTGAACGTATCGAACAGATTTTATTTTTCACCTAAGATCGAAAAGTTGAGCTTTACAGCTCTAATTCTGTGCCTCCCAATTTCAACTTTCTTCAGGAACAAAGACAAAATAATTTAATTATTAGAAAAGATTGATTAAATCTATTGTTTAAAAATGTGTATATTTTCTCTGATAAACAGCACTTGGGAAATATTTGTAAATGATTACGATTTTACGGGAGAGCTAATCTGTTTTTCAATAATACATTTAATTATTTGAAGAAATATATCCAAATTCTATATTACAAAAATCTATACATTTTAGAAAATTAGGATTAATACCACACCTGAAAGCTGAATAAATGTTGATGGTTTAAGACAATATTCGGCTGATGTTGAACTACAGAAAATCTGGAATCTGAGAGTTAAAAAAATCGAAATAATGATAAAATCTATTTTAGAATTTAACTAGATTATTAAAGATTGAGAACAAACTTTGAGGCTGGTTTGTGAAAGCCTGTTGGTAATAGTTTATTTAGTTTAAACAGTTTTTAAAAATATGAAATGATAGATAGATAGATAGATAGATAGATAGATAGATAGATAGATAGATAGATAGATAGATAGATAGATAGATAGATAGATAGATAGATAGATAGATAGATAGATAGATAGATAGATAGATAGATAGATAGATAGATAGATAGATAGATAGATAGATAGATAGATAGATAGATAGATGTGCTAGCATGAGTCAAACAAGCCAACCCCTGCTTCTCTGCGATGTTCTGATGCTGAGATACAGCTGTTGTTATATAGTTGCTAGGTAAGTCTGTTTTGTTGCTATGGAGTTGATTGACAGCTTAGACTGATAATGGATCAAAGCTTCTTGCCAGTATGAACAGTTAAATACAACCCCCATATCTCTATATCACTGCAGCATGACGATATCAATATGAACCTCTATAATGGCAGTCTATGGGACCGTTGCTAGGGTCCAGTATCTGGTTGTTAGGGTGTGGCTAGAAAGTTAAAAGCTCATCAGTTATTGGTAGTTTGGTAGTCTGAGTTAAATGAGCCCAGTGAGAAGTCTGTGCGACAGTCTGATGTAGAGTTATGAGCTCACAAAGTTTGACCCAATGTAAAGTCAATGACAGTTTTTTTGCAGTGAAAGTGTATGGGACAGTTTCTAGGGTCCCAAAAGTGGTTGCTAGGGCGTGGCCAGAAAGTTAAAAGCTCATCAGTTATTGGCAGTTAGTTAGTCTGAGTTAAATGAGCCCAGTTAGAAGTCTGTGTGACAGTCAGAGTTATGAGGTCACGAAGTTTGGTCCAATGTTAAGTCAATGGGAATTTTTCCGACGGTCCCGGGACATTTTTCGGAAAACCGAAAGTCGAATCAGTCGGAAAATATATAGCTACCCAAGTCAGACCAGTTTGGAGGTCTGGTGTGAGTTTGGTGGTCATAGCTCGAAAGCTCTAGAAGGAGATAGAGTTTAATTTTTGGTCTCAGAAGAAAAATAGGATAACAGTAGTCTGGCTTGCTACAATTCCTAGCAAAGCATATTAATAATAAAAAATAGGGTTTTATATATTTATGGTAATGAATTCTGAAAATGTCTTCATGAAGCATAATCTTTACGTAATCTAATACATTTTGGCTTAAAAGAAAAATATGCAATTTTGGCAATATATTGTTGTATATTGCTATAAATGCACCATGCATTGTGCCCTAATGTCGCATTATTTAAACTAATCTATTGTTTTATGTTTTCCAGTGGATTTGTCTTTCTCAGATTGATCTGTCCTGCAATTGTCAACCCAAGAATATTTAACATCATTGCTGGTGAGCTGCTTCAGACTGTATTTATTTATTTATTTTTTACAGTCTTTAAAGGGACAGTTCACCCAAAAATGTCAATTCTCCAATAAACAGTACTGTGCAAAAGTCCTAAGCGCTATACCAGCTTTGTTGGCCTTAGAATTTTGCACAATATACAATATTCTTCATTATACCATCACCAAAACAACAGATTTGATGTTGGCCTAAAACTTTTGCACTGTATATCAAACCAAAATCCAAAATATAGCAATGTCAATTTTTTTCCAATAGCGTGCAGTGGACTAATCGGAAGAGCTTAGAGGCGGAACAACCATAACAAGCTTCTGCTTACAGGCTCTCAGTGGCTGTTTCCGAACACCCGTCATGCTTATGCAGTGTTTTTTTCCCAAAAACCATTGCCTGTCACATTTTTATAAGCAATTTCTTATGTGTGTGTGTAGATCCTCCGTCTCCTGTCGCTTCACGGACTCTCACTTTAGTGGCCAAAGCGGTGCAGAATCTGGCCAACCTGGTGGAGTTTGGTGCCAAAGTAAGAACAAACACTTTCTGAAGTGCGTTTCAGTAGATGTTACAGATTTCGTCAGAATCTGCATGATTTGATTCTCTCTTCTCAGGAGCCGTACATGGAGGGAGTGAATCCATTCATCAAGAGCAACAAACACAGAATGATCCTGTTTCTGGACGAGCTCGGGGTTAGTCATCCATTACAGAGATGCTTTGTTTTGTTACAGATGTTTGTGGTAGACACAATTAGCATATTATTATTAATATTAGCATCATTCATTTATAATATTATTATTAATTAATAATTAGATACAAAACAATTAGTTATTCAACATAAGCATAATTATTGTGCCATGAACATTTAAAAGTATGGTAAAATGATAGCGAAATAGAGAATACTATGGTGAAAATATACAGAAATACAGAATACTGTGGTAAATTTTTTCAGAAATATAGATTATTATGGTAAAATGATAGTGAAATATAGAATATAATGGTGAAATGATAGTGAAATACAGAATAGTGTGGTAAAATGATAGTGAAATACAAAACAGTGTGGTAAATGATACAGAAATATAGAATAGTATGGTAAAATGAAAGTGAAATAGAGAATAGTATGGTAAAATGATAGCGAAATAGAGAATAGTATGGTGAAATGATAGTAAAATACAGAATACTACGGTGAAAATATACAATAATACAGAATAATGTGGTAAATTGTTTCAGAAATATAGATTATTATGGTAAACTGATACAGAAATATATAATAGTATGGTAAAATGATAGTAAAATACAGAACAGTGTGGTAAAATGAAAGTCAAATCTAGAATAGTGTGGTAAAATGATACAGAAATACAAAATAATGTGGTAAAATGATACAGAAATACAGAATAATGTGGTAAAATGATACAGAAATACAGAATAATGTGGTAAAATGATACAGAAATACAGAATAATGTGGTAAAATGATACAGAAATACAGAATAATGTGGTAAAATGATACAGAAATACGGATTAATGTGGTAAAATGATACAGAAATACAGAATAATGTGGTAAAATGATACAGAAATACAGAATAGTGTGGTAAAATGATAGTGAAATATAAAATATTATGGTAAAATGATACAGAAATGTAGAATAGTGTGGTAAAATTATAGTAAAATACAGAATATTATGGTGAAATGATAAAGAAATACAGAATAATGTGGTAAAATGATTGTATAATACAGAACAGTGTGGTAAATGATACAGAAATAAAGAATAATGTGGTAAAATGATTGTAAAATACAGAATAATGTGGTGAAATGATACAGAAATACAGATTAATGTGGTAAAATAATAGTAAAATACAGAATAGTGTGGTGAAATGATACAGAAATAATACTGATGATCTTCAAATTGGGCGCCAGATCCCCATAATCCACATCTATTCATAACATTCAGTCTTTTCTTCAAGTCTGTTGAGAAATCTTGCTGTAATATTGATGTTGTGAGTTTAATGTGTGTGTAAGAGGTTAAGGAAATGCAGAATATTAGGGTAAAATGATACAGAAATAACACAAATGATCCTCCAGAGGGCGCCAGATCCCTTTAATCGACACCCATCAGCAGCATTTTTACAGTCTTTTCAAAAACACAGTCTATTCTTTATTTCTGTGCTGAAAGCGTGCAGTAATATTGATGTTGTGTGTTAAATGTGTGTGTGTGTTCAGAAGGTGTCTGAGCTGCCAGAGCCCACAGAGCACTTTAACACAGATGTGGCTCGAGATCTGGCTGCTCTGCATCAGCTCTGCGTCACACATCTGGATGAGCTGCGGACGCTGAGCAACGACAGAGGAGCACAGCAGGTACAGCATTAATAAGTGAAAATAAAGGGGAAAATCTGAAATGTCATTGCTATTTAAAACAATAAGTAAATAAATAAAAGTATATAAAAATAAAAAAGTAAATAAATAAAAGTAATTATATATATATATATATATAAATAAATAAAAGAAATAAATAAAAGTAAGTATATATAAAAGAAAAATAAGTGAATAAATAAAAGTAAGTATATATAAATAAAAAAAATTAATAAATAAATAAAAATAAGTATTTAAAAATAAAACAATAAATAAAATTAAGTATGTATAAAAGAAAAAATAAGTGAATAAATAAAAGTATATAAAAATAAAAAAGTAAATGAATAAAAGTATATATAAATAAAAAATAAGTAAATAAATAAAAAGAAGTACATAAAAATAAAACAAGTAAATAAATAAAAGTAAGTATATATGAATAAAAAATAAGTAAATAAATAAAAATAAGTATATACAAATAAAAAAGTAAATAAATAAACGTAAGTATATATAAATGGAAAAATAAGTAAATAAAGAAAAGTATATAAAAATAAAAAGGAAATAAATAAAAGTATAAATAAATAAAAAGTAAGTAAATAAATAAAAATAAGTATATAAAAATAAAATAATAAATAAAAGTAAGTATATATATAAAAGAAAACATAAGTGAATAAATAAAAGTATATAAAAATAAAAAAGTAAATAAATAAAAGTATATAAAAATAAAAAAGTAAATAAATAAAAGTATATAAAAATAAAAAAGTAAATAAATAAAAGTATATAAAAATAAAAAAGTAAATAAAAGTAAGTATATATAAATGAAAAAAAGTAAATAAATAAAAATGTACTAAATGTACTTATATTGCAGACGATACAACAAACATCATTAACTGTGTTCCTCATGATTTTTTCTTGTAAACACTATTCCAATTTTGGTTCTTGCAACACATTTCAAAAAAAGTTGTGACAGTGAAGCATTTACCACTGTGTAATGTTTTACCACTTTTCACAAAACTTAAAAGACGTTTAGGGACTGAAGTGATGAAGTGTTTCAGGTGTCATTTGATCCCGTTCTTCCTGCAAACAAGTCTTAAAGTGGGCAACATCGTCGCATTTTGCCACAGGTCGGGACTGCAGGCAGGCCAGTCAAGTACCTGTATCCTCTTCCTCCGCAGCAGTAAGGTGTGCAGAATGTGGTTTTGCATTGTCTTGTTGAAATATTCATGGGTGCGACGGCCCGCAACCAGTGGCGTAGCGCAGAATGCAGAGACCCCCCTGCTGGGATCACTGACGGGGCCCCCTGATTATGTGGGGGGGTGGGGGAAGACAACTTGGAGAAGCGATCACAAATTGAGGAGCGGGGTGGAGCGACAACGCGGGGAAGCCTTCACAAACTGAGGAGCGATCACAAACCGAAAGCGGCGAGAGCGTCAAAGTAGCAGAAGTCATTCAATTTTAATGAGAACCGGCGGCGAGAAACAGCGCGGCGCGTTGAAATTAAGTCAACTTTATGGTATGAGCTATGACGTGGTTTGGCGGCAAGCAATCAGAATGAATTAGTCCACCGCTTGAGAGGAGTTCAGAGAACACAGACCTGTGAACTTTGGTTCCGACCACAGTTTGATTATTGTGGTTGCCGGATTTTCAAGTATTGAAAATCGCAACGACGCAGGGCCCCCTAATCACGCGGGGCCCCCCCCCACGGGCCTGTTCGCTACGTCACTGCCCGCAACCCACAAGCTCACCACTGCCACTTACTGTGGCGCCCTGTGAGCTCCGAGCGGTGAGAGTGCTCACTACGGAGTGTAGTATGTCAGACTGTTTCCCGTGCCGCCGTGAGTAATTGTGTAGTGGACCCGGAAGGGGTTCACTAACAGGTGTGGGATGCCCAACAACACCAACAAAACAAAAAAACAAACAAAAAACAAAGAGTTCTCGAAATAAAAATGATGGCCTTGTCCCGGAAGTGTAAAAAGATGGTTTATTCATAACATTCAACAGCCCAGCGCAGATAAAAGTACAGTGACCTATTTCCCAAAAAGCTATGTACAAAAAAATAATAATTACAAAGTAACAACTCAAATAAACAAAACAAAATACAATATATACAACACAAAACAATCTGCAATATATGAGAGAAACTTATCTACGTCACACAGACACTAGATAATAGGAAGGATTGCTTACGTTCTGCCACAACGCACTAGCCAGGTGAACTGACCCCGAGTCTGCCGTCTCCTCTTAAAGGCTAGACTCCGCCCCCTTTTTTGGAGCGTACCAAAAACAGGTGATTTCAGGTAAGTATCTACATAATAACACCATAGACTGTAAAATATATGGACGTAGTATCCGTGACGTCACCCATAGGTTTCTAAAGAGCGCAAAAGAAGCCACAAGTAGCTACAGACACCTGCTGGCATTTAGCTTGGAGCTGGTTCAGACACACTTTACTTTGCGAGAACGCTTAATACTTTATCACCTGCGACTCGTTTGTGTTCTGACCACTTGTGTTTGGTTGTACACTATATCAATAAAGTGTTTAGACTTTTAAAAACACTGCTGTAATACACTGAGCCACTAAACATTGTTCTCATGACGTTTTTCAACAGGAGGAAAGTGTGAATTACTTCCAAACACTTCAGATATAGTCTGTGTTAGTTAATGTAAGACTATTGATGAACTCCAGCATAACACTGTATGACAACGCTTCAGATGACTGTTCTAGAGCCTACAGCTGATCAATCCATCAGATCCTGGAGTGCATTACAGCTCTAAATATAAATATAAACGATAAATGATCTTAAATAAAACAAATACATGTATAGAGATGGTATATAAGTATATAACTTTACTCACATGGGAAACGGAGGCCACATGAATGGTTTGTGAGCACAATTAATTAATTAATTAATTAATTAATCTATCTAATAATTGTAGGAAACAAGTCCAAAAGGCAGCTGACTGTGTAAAGCCACATAAAACAACACAGAAATATGATAAATACGCCGAGTTCAGTGGCTAATCTGCAGGATTCAGCTGAGGTGACGTGACGGCGACCAACGAGACCTAGCTGTCACTCAAGTGGCCACGCCCTTAATTATGCAAACTTAATATAAAGGAAACGGATGAGTTATAAAAAAATTCACCCCCTCACAGTTGTCATGAAGGGTAATATTAGCTGTATTAAGCAAAATCTTTTTTTGTATCAGGCTGTAAACACCTTTATTTCTGCTGTAAAGTTGGCCATTCTAACAGTGGACTCAATTGAAATTTGCTCTGTTTTGGAGCCAGGAGCGGCCACGACTAGCGGAATTTCAGATGAATTGCAGTTTCAGTTACTTCCGTATTGACTTCCTGAGGGAGAGCGGGATTTTTAAATGTGGCATTCCTAAATATAAAGCACACAGCTACTCATAAGATCCAACATCTATACATGAACAAACAACAATCGGAGGTTTAATGTCATAAATCGCACCTCTACAACGCTGGCTGTGCCCTATTAAAAAAAAAACAACTGGTACGGTTGGTGCTTCAGTGCTTGGTGCCACCACAGCGGGGCCAGTGATGTCATAAGTCGGCGCCATTCTCTCGCTTGGTTTGGCCGGCACACCACTGAAGACCACCTTTTCCGGACAAATAAGGAAAGGCAAACACAAAGACGCAAAGGCATCCCTGAAAAAGATGGCAACAAATTGTGCTCCATTAATGCCCTTCAGCATTAATCGTACTTCACAGAAGTGCAAGATACCTTTGCCAAAAGCGCTGACTCAAGCCCAAACCATGACAGACTCTGGCTTTTGGACTTGTTGCTGGTAACAGTCTGGATGATCCTTTTCTTCTTTGGTCCATAGCACACGGCGTCTATTTCCACCCCAAAAACACCTGAGCACAGTACACGTTTCCACTGTGTGATGGTCTATATTAGATGCCTCTGAGCCCAGAGAAGTCGACGGAGCATCTGGACACTGTTAACATAGGGCTTCCTTTTGGCACAGTACAGTTTTCTCTGGCATTTATGGGTGTAACTATGTATTGTGCTACATGACAGGTTTGCCGCAGTCGTCCTGAGCCCATGTGCTGATCTGACTTAGATGATTTCTTGAGGATTCTTTATGCAGCGCCGCATGACGGGTCGGAGATCACAGTTGTTCAGCTTAGGCTTGCGCTCTTTTTCTTTACCGCTGAAATTCCTCCAGATTCCTTGAATCTTTTAATGAAGGTGAAAAATCCAAATGTCTTCCTCTCTTTCTTTGAGGAACATTGTTTTAAACATTGCAATCATTTTCTCTGGTGTTTGTTGACAAACTGGCGATTCCCCTCACCCCAACTTGGCTCCTAAATGACTAGGCCTTTCTTGGATGCTGCTTTTACCAAATCATAATTACAATCACCTGTTGACATCACATCCTTATTTTACCAGTTTACCAGATCAGTCCTGTTCCTGAAATGTGTTGCAAGTCTGAATGACAGAGGGTGTATATTAACAGATTAAATTAAGTTGACCAGACACAACCTGACATATTTTGTGTTCAGATTTTCTGCAATGAAATACAAGTTAAAGTAAATTTGGAAATCACAACTTTTTTTTTTTAATTGCATTTTCCATACTGTCGCAACTCTATCTGATTTGGGCTTGTAATATAAAAATTAATTAATATAAAAAAATAAATATCAATATAAATAATAATGAACATTTATATTAATATCATATAAATATGTATATAAAATTTATATCTGTATTAATATTCCATGCATATTTATATTAATGTAATATTCATTTTAATATTAATAATAAATACAGGTTTTTAAACATAAAATTTACTTGATTTATTAAACAAATAAATATGAAATGTACTGCGTTTCTAAAATAACTATACCTATAAAACGTTTCACTCTCACTACAAAACAAGTATAAGAAATATAAACAAGAACATCGGTTATAAGTTGAACTTTCAATTTAAAGTTCACTAAATGTTTGAAGAGTCAATTCTAATAGCTGTTTTTGTTGCATTAACACACTTTTGACCAGCAGGTGTCACCAGTGCACAGCGTTTCAAACGCTTTGACTCATTTCCCAAAGCAGTTGCTTGAGCTGTTTAAAGCGTATTTTCTCTCATCGCTAGTTTTTCCCTCATAATGTGTGATTGTGTTTCTCTCAGCACGTGTTAAAGAAGCTGCTGGCGGTCTCTGAGCTCCTTCAGCAGACTCAGGGTCAGTACAGCGGGAGCAGCGGCGGACGCTAGAATTACTGTACACTGATGACCAATACTGGAGGATCTGAGTCGTCGGATTCATTGCTCTCATCTGACTTATTTGATTCACTTGATTCCTTTGATTCATCTCTTTCATGTGATTCATTTGATTAATCAGATTCATCTGACTCACTTGATTCATCTGATTAGTTGGATTCATCTGACTCAATTGATAAATTGAATTCATCAAATTTATTTGATTAATCTGAAATCTCTCATCTACTGAAACGGAAAAAATGTTGAGGTAAAAAAAGTCACAATTAACTTTATTTTTCCATTAGAGGAAACAAATATCCATAACTGGAGTTTTGCATCAAACACTGACACAGTTTCCTCTAAAATCAAACACATTTTCTGAATCCTCTGACTGCTGTGATACTCAATAAAAACATTTCAACTTACAGAAAACATGCTTGAACAGACCAAATCATTTAATTCACTTGATTCATCTGATTAATTGGATTTATCTTGTTCATCTGATTCATTTGAATAATTGGATTCAACAGATTCACTTGATTCATCTGATTTGTTGGATTCATTGGATTCAATTGATTTATCTCTTTGATCTGATTAATCTGACTAATCGTATTCATGTGATTCACTTGATTCATCTGATTCTCCTGGTTAATTGGATTCATTTCAGTCATTCGATTAATTTGATTTAGCAAATTCATTGGATTAACCTGATTCATCTCTTTCATCTGAATAATCGGATTCATGTGATTTATTTAATTCACCTGGTTATTTGGATTCATCTCATTATCTGATTAATCTTTTATCTGACTCATTTGATAAATCGAATTCATCCGTTTTATTTCATTCAAACATTTCAACGAACAGAAAACTTGCTTGAAAAGACCAAATAATTTCACTGATTTGATTCACCTGATTCTTCTGATTTATTTGATTAATCGTATTCATCTTATTCATGTGATTCATCTGGGTAATGGATTCATCTGATTCATTTGACTTATTCGATTATTCAGATTCATCTGATTCACTTGATTCATCTTTCATCTGACTCATTTGATACATTGAATTCATCAGATTTATTTGATTCATCTGATTCATTTGAAATCGCTCGTCTACAGTAGCTTGAAAAAAAAATAATCAGAATGAGGTTAAAGTCACAATCACCCTATTTTTCCACCAGAGGAAGCAAATATCCATAACTAGAGTTTTGCATCCTGCAGTATCAACACTAACAAGTTAATACACATTTCAACGTACAGAAAACATGCTTGAACAGACCAAATATGCTTTATAAACTTATATATTTCTGGTGTTTGTTTTTTTTAGATGTCGTGTTTGAGGAGAAAACAAGCTTTAAATCTGATTTGATATATATTATATGTCTGATAGAGGAACTACAGGTGCAGAAGAAGCGCTTTTGTATTAAAACTGTTATGTTGGAATGGCAGAACTGAGAATAATGCAATATTTTCTGACATGATTCCCTGACAATATGCATAAAGATGTGGATGAGATGACACTATCAGGTATGCATGCACATTTAATGCTCGTGTACAAATACAGTGATTACGTTTTCTAACATATGCAAATAAATCAAAGGAATTTTGTTTGTTTGTACGTTTATTCATGTGAATTTCTTAAATATTCTTGATTTACAATCTTGTTCTGTCATTTATTATGTATTTTTAAGATCATAAATATTTAAAGATGACTTTATCAAACATTACATCAGGCCTGCACGATAATGAAAATAAAACTACATTGCAATATTTACATTTTTCTGTTATATATATTGCAATAATGAGTATAATTTTACCAGATGATGTTTACATTTACATCGTCATTTAGCAGACGCTTTTATGCAAAGCGACTTACAAATGAGGACAAGGAAGCAATTTATACAACTATAAGAGCAACAATGAATAAGTGCTGTAGGCCAGTTTCAGGTCTGTAAAGTCTAAGAAGGAAAGCATTGGTAATTTCTTTTTTATTTATTTATTTATTTTTTGTACAGTTAGTGTGATATCCAGAGAGGCAATTGCAGATTAGGAAGTGAAGTGGAGACTAAATAGTTGAGTTTTTAGTGGTTTCTTGAAGACAGCGAGTGACTCTGCCGTTCTGATGCAGTTAGGGAGTTCATTCCACCAACTGGGCAGATTGAATACGAGAGTTCGGGAAAGTGATTTCTTTCCTCTTTGGGATGGAACCACGAGGCGACGTTCATTCACAGAACGCAAGTTTCTGGAGGGCACATACATCTGCAGAAGTGAGAGCAGATAAGAAGGAGCAAGGCCAGAAGTCGCTTTGTAAGCAAACATCATAGCTTTGAATTTGATGCGAGCAGCAACTGGCAGCCAGTGCAAACGGATGAGCAGCGGAGTGACATGTGCTCTTTTAGTTTCATTAAAGACCACTCGTGCTGCTGCGTTCTGGAGCAGCTGAAGAGGCTTGATAGAGCAGGGGCGCAACTACACATATACTGAAAGGTATGCGGGTTCAAGTTTTGTAACTAAAATAAAATAGTTTTGAACAAAAAAAGTTACCAAAAGGCCTGATGTATCAATATGACACATAATAAATTTATAAAAACATGTATATTGTATAAAATGGATTTTGATAGAAGGATTAAAAACATTTCAGTTCCAAAAAATGTGAATATTCGGACAATTTGTTCATGTGTCAACTTTAACAGGGTTAAGAATCATTATAATCAAGTATATAATATTTATATAGGTGAATTTTTAATCCAAATATTTTATCTGAAATATCGGTTTATGTGAAATAGGTCTGTACTTACATAAACATACATTTTGTGTGATCCCTCTTATTTAGACAAAATAGTTAAATAATTAATAATGAATAATAATAAATAAAGAAAAATTCAGATTAATCTTATAACTTTTGACCTCAGCTGTACTGTATGTATGATTTGACAGTTTTATTTTGATAAAAATTGTAAAAAAAAATCTAAAGTTACATTTACATGAACACTTTACACTTGGCTCTGCGACTGCATGTTATTGTGTTGATTTTGAATTAAAATGTGTGTGCCAACGTATGCAACTCATGGTATAATTTTTTATTTATTAAAATACAATATTATACTCATACAAAATGCAAAAAAAACATTTTTAACAAAACATATTTATTTATTTTTTTAACTTTTAGTAAGAATAATTTCAAAAATAGTTTTGGCACAATGGCGCCCCCCCATGTGTGGCGCCCCTATGCGACGCATATACTGCATACCCCCTTTTTGCGCCACTGTGATAGAGTTAGCTGGAAGCCCGGCTAGTAGAGAGTTGCAGTAATCCAGTTTGGAGAGAACAAGAGCTTGAACAAGGAGTTGAGCTGCATGTTCAGATAAGAAGGGTCGGATCTTTCTGATGTTATAGAGTGTGAATCTGCACGATCGAGCAGTTCTAGAAATGTGGTCAGAGAAGATTAGTTGGTCCTCAATCGTTACTCCAAGGCTTTTCACCATTTTGGATGCAGTAATGGTTGCCCCATCCATCTGGATTGAAAAGTTATGGTGTAGAGTCGGGTTGGCAGAAACTACAAGCATTTCCATTTTTGCGAGGTTCAGCTGAAGGTGATGATCTCTCATCCAGTGTGAAATATCCAACAGGCAGGCTGAGATGCGAGCTGGAACCGAAGTTCTGTTGGCTTTATCGAACATGGACCTTCAGCATGCACTGGGGTGGTTTGCTGCCCAGTGTGACACGGCTGGGATGAGAATCAGCACCTCCAAGTCTGAGGCCATGGTGCTCCACAGGAAAAAGGGTGGTTTGCCATCTCCAGGTAGGAGGAAAGTCCTTACCCCAGGTGTTTAAGTATCTTGGGGTTTTGTTCACGAGTGAGGGAAGGATGGATTGTGAGATTGACAAGTGGATTGGTGCAGCAGTAATGCGGTCAAGGTACCGGTCCGTTGTGGTTTAGAAGGAGCTGACCCGAAAGGCAAAGCTCTTGATTTACCGGTCAATCTGCCTACTCTCACCTATGCTCATGAGCTTTGGGTCATGACCGAAAGGACAAGATCTCTGATACAAGCGGCCGAAAGGAGTTTCCTTCACAGGGTGGCAGGGCGCACTCTTATAGACGGGGTGAGGAGCTCTGACACCCAGGAGGAGTTAGGAGTAGAGCCGCTGCTCCTCCACATCAAGAGAAGTCAGCTGAGGTGGCTCTGGCATCTGTTTCAATTTCCTCTTGGATGCCTACCTAGGGAGCTGTCTCTCGGCTGGCCTGGGAACTCCTCGGGATTCCCCCAGAGGAGCTGGAGGAAGGGTCTGGGGAAAGGGGAAGTCTGGGGTTCTCTTCGAAGACGGCTACCTCCCCAGCCCCGGAAAAGCAGACAAAAATGAATGAATGAATTTTAGCAGATGAAATACAGTCAATGGCTCAATATGGTAAGAATTCATCATTTTAGATTGACTTTGTAGGGAAGAGCATCTGCATAAAATACACTAAACCAATCACGAGCGTTGATAAATGCAGCACAGCGGAGATACAAACTAAATAAACAGAATTTATGAATTTCTGGAGGTCGAGCAATATACAGTGCAAAATGTATAATCAAATGTAAAATGACCCAGTAGTCTTCATCGTATTATACATAAATACAAGTACAGTTTATTAAAAATACAAAACATTATAATTCGGTGTGCCTGAATCAGGGATAACTGGTTTTAAGGTATACCACGATTTGGAAATATCGAGGATTTAAAAACCCTATTTATAAGGTTTTTTTTAATGTGTTCTTTTTTTTTTTTGTAAATAAATTTGTTTTATTGAAAATAATGAAGAAAGCAGAGGCCAATTATTTATTTAAAGTATTTAGCCTGACATGTTTACTGCTCCAAAATATTTCCTGAAATAAAATAAATTGTGTTCAATAGGGGAGAAAAGCTTTTGTTTTTTTTACCCGGACATTTAAAATATATATATAGATATATATTAAACCAGTAATCACAATACATAGAAACTGTGAAATTTTTATCCAAAGTTATCACACCATCAGAAACTTATACTGGCCCAGGCCTAGCCTGGGTCCTCCACATTGCAGATCCTGGAATGTGACTTTTGTGGATGCGCACATTGCAATATCAATGCTGAAACAATATATTGGTCCTAAATTGGATGGATGGATGGATGGATGGATGGATTGATGGATGGATAGATAGACAGACAGACAGACAGACAGACTGAAAAAAAATGACTCCTTGAATTTACTACATTTTTTAAAGTTGTGGTTGTAAACAATTTATTTGGGGTGAAATTAAACAATCGTATTTACAATCATAGTTAAACATTACAACATTAAATTTTTTTTGTTTGAATTCAACAAATAAATTGTTTCAACAATTTGGCAGACATTATTTTATTCAATGTACATAGATCGACATACACTAAAAAAATTATGTCTGCAAAACTGCTGCAAACAAATTATTTGTGTTGAATTTAAACAAACAAATTAAATTTAATAAAATTCTACTTAATTTGTTTGTTTGAATTCAGCCCAAATAAATTGTTTACAGCCACTTAATGTAAAAAAATTGAGTAAATCCAAGGAATAATTTCTGAATTTTTTATTCAGTGTATGAAAGGATTTTTGAAACATGAATTCCTGAACTAGATCAACTAAAAACGTGTCCAAATAATGTTTTATTTTTAAATTTATTTTTGATTAAATACCAGGTTTACTAAATTTGCACAAACTAAAACATTAAATTGATTAAAATATTCAATCTGTAATGAAAATATTTATTTGATACTTTTTTAAATTCAACTTTATAAATTAAAAGCTGTTTTATGACTTAAATAAAAGCAAACAAACTATAGATATATTTAATAATAAAACAAAACCTTAGACAAACAACACAAAACTACTACAACTTTAGCTAAATAATATTAATAATAAATGAAAAATAAAACAAAAACTACTGTCATGACAATTTATTCCCTGCGTTGGGAGAGTCTGTATAATTTATATTATTTTTTAAAATAAAATCTTTCTTTTCGGCTTGGTCTCTTTATTATTCAGGTGTTGCCACAGTGGAACGAACCGCCAACTTATCCAGTTTTACGCAGTGGATTCCCCACCAGCTGCTAACACATAACTGGGAAACACCCATACACTCTCATTCACACATACACTATGGACAATTTAGCTTACCCAATTCCCCTATAGCGCATGTGTTTGGACTTTGGGGGGAAACCGGAGCACGGTCAAGGACGCCGACGTTAATATGGGGAGAACATGCAAACACACAGAAACACCAACTGACCCAGCTGAGACTCGAACCAGCGACCTTCTTGCTGTGAGGCGACAGCGCTACCCAATTGCTGCAATTAAATAAAAGAAACATTGTAAATACATAACGTAATATACATTTATCTTTGTAGTGTACTGTGCTCATATTAATTTACGTCTTCAAAAGCCTCCTAAGCAAGAAAATAATCACGAATGTTCATAGTTTTGCCTCTAGATGGCGTCATTGTATTTTATTTACAAATGCATGATCTGTTGAGTCCTCAGCACAGTGAACTCAAAGCTGGGTTATGTTTTAGATTGTATTTGTATGTGATGTTTATTATATATAGCACAAAACAAGCATA